ATTCTAGTATGGTGTAAATTGAGGTGCAAATTGTCAGTGAGTAGATTTAAGAGAGGTGCAAATTGGAGTGCAAATTGCTGCTTAAAAGAAAAAGTAGGGGTGTATAAAGTGGGTCTAAAACAAAATATTAAAAAAATAATAATAAAAACACTAGATCAACCCACATTTTCCCACTACTTAGACCCCACCTAACACTAATAAGAACTATAATCCGGGCCCACCGCTCACTTCCCCTAGACCTGGCAAATTACAATCCGACCCATTCACCCGACCCGAACTCGCCCGAAAAGTAGAAGTTTTTATAACCCGAAACCCTAATGAATCGAATTCGATAATCCGTGATTTTTTTGGGTCGAGTTGGTTGGGTTAGCGGATCGACCCGTTCTATTTTATATATCACTACCAAAATGATACAATCCCTCATAAATTGGTGAGATGTTTAAGAAAATTCACAAAGATTTGAAGACATGTTTGTAGTTTAAGGATAATCAAATATAATGTGTATCTTGTAGTAGTATTAATCTTGGGATTGTTTTTTGATGATTTGCGCAATTTTAATTTCATTTCTTAGCAAGGGAAGATTTGACAATATGTTAATTGACATGTGTTAGGTAAACTATTGTCATGCATATGTGAAAATTTGTGTTCTTTAAGAAAATATGAAGCACGTTTGATATTGTTTCTGAGAGCGCTCTTAACCCGAAACGACTTGTAACCCGAACCGAAACCGAATGGGATTGGATCAATATTTAACCCGAAATCAGCCAACCCAACATGACCCGATCCTTAACCGGAGATCCCAACCCAAAATTACCCAACCCGACCCGATTGCCAAGTCTACTTCTCCCTTCTCTCCTTCACATTTGCACCCAAAATTGAGGGAAGGCAAAATAGTGAAATTGCTCCCCCTTGGTCCCCCATTCTTCTCTTGCAGCATATCCAAACATGTGCATTTGCTTAGAAATTTGCATTTTGCACCTTGTTTTTCTCCCCCTCCCTTTTGCACCCAATCCAAACGGAGTGTAAAAAAAACTATAGAAAGAATATGCAAAAGGTATCAATGACGCAACTAGACAGTAAAGAACACCAGAAGACCATAAGTATGCTAGTACAAAAGTTAAATGGCAAATAATAAACCGAATCACTATTCGTCGACCTAAAATTCAAATTTTATTGCCCTAAAACGCATCAAATTGGCACTTATATCCTCTTACCCCAATTTCTAACCGAAACATTAAACAAACAATTCCATACCTACTAGGCCGCCGCAGAGCTCCACTGTCCTTCGAGCGCTGTTGCCGTTGTCGGATTCTTCTCGCCGGAAGCTGCCCACCTCAAACTGACTGTAGCCATTGTTCTGCTTCTACTGTCGGAGTCGATCCAAGTAGGAGGAGGAAGAAGACAAAGAAAAAGCCGCTGCCCACCTCCTCTCCCTACTGCTGTCAGATTCTTCACTCCGGCCCACTGCCCTCCTTTTGTCAAGAGCTGTTATAAACCTTCTCTCCAACAACATGACCCATTCTCAGTGAGAAATGCCTTGAACTTCATTTTCTTCTTCTTAGCTTACTTCAAAAGGTTTAGAGTAAGAGTTTCCAATTGAAATCAACTAAACACAATCCATATAATTTTTCATAAAGAGTTCCAAATTGGCCCCTTGACAATTGATATGACAATTTGTTCTAGTAAACTCAGACATACTTGTGAATTTGAGGGATCATGATTTCTAGAGAGAAAGCCAATGAAGAACATTCAAGGGAGAAATGTATCTCCCTCCCACTCAATGATATGGGCAGCCAGACATTACAAATATTAAACGAAGGATATTTTAGTCATTTTCACAAAAGTTAGGGCGCCGAATAAAGTAGTTTAGGGCGACGAATAGTAATGGGTAAATTGCAAGTATGGTCATTGGGATTACTAAAAAATTCACATTTGATCATTAAAAATATTTTATTCCATTGTGGTTACTAAAATAGTAAAATTAATTTAATAGTTTAAGCTTGGTCACTCTCCGTTAGTCTCTGTTAGTCTCCATTAATGGCGTTAGTTATTTGTTGATATGGCTAACAAAAATGCATAGTCAGCCTAATTTAACCCAAAAAAAAATTTATACTCGACCCGCCACATCATATAACCCAACCTAACCCATGATCTAACCATGCTCATTGACTCGCCCAACCAAAAAACCTCAATAGCACAAATTAAAGCCCCCTTCCGACCCAACCCTACCTTCTTCTAATACGCCATTAACCCCTGATCCCCGCCATAGCCATCAAATCGCAACAATGACTAAAAAAAGACTTCACATGAAATTGATGTGTTGTCTGTAGCCATTATTACCAGCCATGAAATTTGAGAGCTTAGCGATGAAAAAACCGTCATCATCCTCGTCGACCTCCAACGGCAAGTACCTGGTCGCCATCATCCAATTCACTATAAGGATTCATAAGTTTCCTCAATTGAAAGCTGAAGGAAACATTGCGAAGCTAGTAGCTCATAGACTGCGTTTTCTAGTAAGAAACCCTAATACTAATTGTTGGAAGTGCTTGACTGCAGTAACACAACCTCTCCCCAAGAACAAAAAAATCACAATTCCTATTATCTGCTGCCTCCTCTTTTTGGGACACAAAATTTACCCAGAACCAAATCTTAGAACCCCAACCCCGTAACCCTAATTTCATCTTCGGAATGAGAAGAATCAGAGGTAGCAATGCGGTTTGAGGATTGGGGATTTTTTTGGTGGGGGGGGGGGGGGGGGGGGGGGGAGGGGGAGAGAAGAAGAAGACTGATAGGGGAATTGTTTGGATAGAAGAAATCCTCCCCGCTCGGCCAACCTCTTCGCGTCGCCAAGGTAATCCAATTTCCCTCCTATTCACTTCTATTTACCGCCAGTAGTTCTTGAGGGATCTTTGGGACTTGGTGGCCAACGATTTTGGTGGGTCGGTCATTAGGGAGAATCATGGTTTTGTCAAAGTGAGGCGAGAGTAAAGAGAAATAAGGGTTAACAAGAGAGGGTCAGTCGTCCAGGTGGTTAAATTGGGTTGGGTTATGCAATCGGTCTAATGTGGCGGGTTTTATGACGTGATGGGTTAAAATTGGGCGTATCAGCATTTCTATTAGCCAAGTAAGAAAATAATCGATGCATTAATGAAGACTGATAGAGACTAACAGAGAGTGACCAAAACTGGATGCTCTGCAGAATCACATTTCCATAACGCTTTGATATGATCAACCAGATTTTAATTATTACGGCCTTCAAAGTGTCTGACATTCCAGACCGTATGGATCGCTGATGTTCTTAGCTCGAATATAGGTCCAATAATTGGAGGCAAGATGATAACAATCAAATTATAATAGTATTTGAAAGTTACTAACTATCGTGTTCCTTTTATTTCTATTTCTATTTTATTGTTTTGTATATGTTGGTTTATGAGTCCTGTTTAAACTAGAAATGAAAAAGAAAAAGATAACCAAAGGATTGTTGAGCAGATGATCAAAGAAGGAGGAGCATTGAGTTAAGCCTTGTTGAGATCAAAGGAAAAAGCATATAGCTCAGAAGAAGAGGATACTTCAAGTAACACCCATATCAACTTGAACTCGAATAGGGAGAAGAAAATAGACAAATTTAGCAGCTTTTGTCCAGAAGACGAAGGATCCTCTATTTGATCTTCTACCTCATCTAGGATGGGTGAAAAATACAGTGTGACTATTCGACCAACTCCTTATGAGTACTCAAGACCAAAATCCTCGAACATTAGTTCGAGCATTGTTGCATCACCAACTACCATCGAGATTAAAACATCTTTCATGCAGATGTTGCCACAAGTGGAGAGATTTATGAGGAGGAATGATGATGATCCAATGCAACATCTAAAGATTTTCTTGGAGATTGTTGATTCTGTTCATGAAGATGAAGAACCAAATATGCTATTCAGCTACGTGTGTTTCCTTTCTCATTGACTAGGAAAGTGAAATAGCGGCTTGACTAACATCCACCAAACACCTTTACCACATAGAAGACCCTTTCTCAAGCGTTCATAAAAGAATTCTTTCCACAATAGAAGATGAAGGAGTTTAAAAATGACATATTCCAATTTCAACAGAAGGAAGGAGAAACACTCAATTACGCTTGGAGGAGATTCCAAGGATATTTCAAGACATGCTCCCACCATAGACTCAAGCTAGAGCAAACAACCATTTACTTTGCCAAACAATTAGATCAAGATACCATGATGTTGGTGAATCAATCTGCCGATGGTGATTTCTCCCAGATGACCAAAATCCAACGCCAAGAGCATTTCACCACCCTCGTAAGGAAGTCAAAGGTCTGGTCCAAGAAATCAATGCTAAAATCATTGAAATCCATTCAACCAAATGATGGCATAGCTGTCACAATCCACGAGCAGATGAAGGAGCTCTCATAGAAACTGAAGCACATTGTTGTAAAGTCAGAGAATGGACCAGTGACATCCTTGTATAAGTGTGATATCTTTGGAGAAGAAGGCCATGATGGTCAAGATTGTTGCAAATTTGGAGGGAGAGAACATGTTGATGCCAATTTAGCCCAAGGTTACCAATATCGAGAACAAGGATGTTACAACCCTTATCGAAGCTGCAGTCCACCCAAAATACCTTATGGTCAATGGCCAACCCCTGGAGGATTGAAGCCAGAAGATTATCTAAAGATAAACTCTTCCAATGCACCTTATATTCATGAGCCACAATGGAGCAAGAGCCCAGTCCCCCAAAGTTCTTCAATGCTTAATCAATTCTTCCGTAGGTTTCTTTATACCTTCATAATCATAAAAAAAAAACATACCCTGAAGGAACCAAAGAATACAAGAAAATTGCCTAGATATATTAAAAGCTCATTGATCAAATAATTGTGATTTAGACAATAAATATAATTGAAATGACTAAACATGCTTCAAAAGAAGGGAAAATGTATCAAGAATGGGCGTGACAAACACTATAAACAAAGTTTCATTAGATATGCTTCTCTTGGTACATATTGAGTGCTTCCTAGAGGCGGCTATGTTCATACCATAGCTAACTAAATCAATAGTCATCAAGAAAAGTATGAGTATGCTCTTTGAGACTCATTAGCGGTCTATGGCCAAATCTTTAGACAACCGACTTACATCTTTGGAGTCACGAGGGTAACACCAGTGGGATTTGACCTAGCTTAGGATGTATGCCCTGTGCATTCTACTTGGGTGACTGCAGCGAAGTAAACTGTACGACTTGTTATAGGAAGAGATCTAACTCCAGGTCAATCAATTTATCATTTAATAATCCGTAAAAATCTAGGTTTCCACCGACCCGAATAATCTAGGGTTTTAGCTCAACATAAATGTGAAGAAGATTACAATTACAAAGGGAAAAGAATAAACAATCTTGTGGATGATCTCTTCTAAACTCTAATGGAATCTCCTAAAAATGAGATTGAGTTTCCTCTTTGTCTTTATCTGTTGCAGAGCTTTCCATAGTGAATTTTTTGTGATTATACCTCATATGGGAGGAGTAAAATGTTGTGGTCGATTCTCTGGTTTTTTTTTTAATATTCGTCAATAAAGGGAAGATGGGCCACGGTGGGGTGTTAGACGGTCAACCAAACCCATCATGAGCCGGTCCACTCGTATTGGGCCAGACTCCACTATTGGGCCTACCTGGCCCACTACTAGGGTCCATTGTAAAGTTCCAACATTATGGACCCTTACTTCTTCTCCTTCATGGTTCTGATCCACTCATGCATCCTTCCTTTGGAGTACTAAGGCATGTATACCATGTAAAATATCCAATTGGCATCGAAAGCATACAAACTCTCTTAGAAACGGTTAAATGCATGTCAGAACGAATATGAGATACAATCGTGGTACAAACAGAGTGTATAGATTCTCAGTCAAGGAAGTTTGGATTGATCTCCAAACTTGTAGTCCAGGATTAGCAGGCTTCTTAATTTGGACTATTTACTCAATTTTCCAACATAGTGTTTGTTAGTCGAAACCGCATTACCACTGTGGGATACGCTAAATTAGTGGGGGGCAAAGTAGGATTTGGAGACTTGGGTCGCATATCATTTTTCACCTTCCATGCTCCTCCGATGCTCTTGAACAAAGTATGAAGTTTCCCGCCCATCGGTCTGGACTCTGATCGAGGCCACGAGGGTTACTTGAATTGGGTCGTAAGTCACTTCGCAGGAAAGAACATGAAGAAACACATATCGTGATATTAGCACAGGGAGAGAGCAACTATGGCGCGTGACAAGTGCATGAAATACGCTGACACAGCAAACTGGAGATTTGATGAGCTGCGCCCATGCCGACGCCATGGTGGCACGAATAGCGGAGAGGAAGTAAAGTAAGTGGTGCATTATCTGTTGACTTTTGATGACTCTCGAGGAAGTTTCCCCATCCCATGATCAGAAAGAAGCTTACTGTTATTACTACGCATTAATTAATAAAATAAAATAAAGATTAATGAAAGCTATTACGTTCTTCTTGTCGGTCGATTTTCTGATTATATATAAGTACAAGAGCCATTTCCTCCTCTCCCCTCCCACAAATTTCATGCTCTAGCTCTCGAGAAAAGAGATCGATCGAGAAGCAAACTGAAAAAATGGCGAGTTCCCGCTCCTACTGCCTTCTTCTTCTGTTGCTAATCGCCTTGGACTCCTTCAGTTGCCACGTACTGGGAGCTAAGAAGCACTTGGATGGTAATTTACAAAAAAAAAAAAAACCCTTGAATACATTGGTCGCTGTTTTCCCTGCACCTAATTGATTCCCCCACTTGTTTACATTCTTAATTAACAGGGTTCCTGAACAACGGGAACTTCGAGGAGAGCCCAAAGCCCAGCAACATGAAGAAAACGGTGATCAAGGGCACCAGGTCGCTTCCAGGGTGGGAAACAAAGGGCCTGGTGGAGTTCATCGCTGGTGGGCCGCAGCCCGGCGGGATGTACTTCCCCGTAGCCCACGGGGTCCACGCGGTGAGGCTGGGCAACGAGGCGGCCATCTCCCAGACCGTGGCCGTGAAGCCAGGCTCGCTCTACGCCCTGTCCTTCGTCGCCTCCCGAACCTGCGCTCAAAATGAGGTGCTCACCGTCTCCGTCCCGCCGCAGTCCGGAGATCTGCCGCTCCAGACATTGTACTGCAGCAACGGCGGCGACACGTATGCCTGGGGATTCAAACCGAACACAACCCTCGTCAAGATCACATTCCACAACCCTGGTGCTCAAGAAGATCCCGCCTGTGGCCCTCTCATCGACGCTGTCCACCTTAAGGAGCTCCACCCTCCATTTCCCACCCGAGGTACGTGACGCGTGTACAAATTGTTTGTCTTTTGCAACCTATAGTTTAGTAGATGGTGATACTTGTGTGATTAGATTATGGACGATTGTTCGTATGTTATAGGAGGATGGTGTTAGCATATGGTATATGATGAACGATTGAATCTCTCTCAACAACTCTAGTTATTAGAATCAATTGGTTCTTGACATGGTATCAGAGCCTTCTCTGTAACCGAAATGTCTTATGTTCGAATCCCGGTTAACCCTCATTTGTTAGCACATGGTGTCTGATGTCTGTGCAAACTTCAAGACCATATATGGTGGCGCTTTCGTTTGAGGGCAGGGGTGTGTTAGTATGTGGTATATATGATCCACGATTGAACCTCTCCCAACAACTCGAGTTATTGGGATCAACTGGTTCTTAACAGATGGAATGTTCTACATGATCTGGTCGTTTGATTTACATCGATAAGTTTCGACCAATTATCTTTTTTAAATTGAATTTTGGATTTGGATTTATAAAATTGGACCTGCAATTTATCCATTAGAAATTAGAGTATAGTATCATACACCAAACTCAGTTTAATTTATGATTAAGAGATCCTTTTGAGGAACACGGAGACTAGCTAGTTGAAGTAACGAGCCTCCCATATATATATATAAGAGACTCATGACTTCAATTACGATTTAAACTAATGAAAAATCATTTCATTTTTTATTTATTTTTTAGTTGGAATTTTAGGCTGTTCTCGAAAAAAAATAGCGAAAACAATTATTTCTAGAGTCGAGATATGGACAATTCCAATAAGATTTTTTTCTTAAACAAAAACCTATTTTTTTATTTCTTTCATCTATTCCAGGATCGGAACGTGAAGGGTACACGTAACTCCACGATTTTGAATCAGAAGAGATATATGAAGCATATTAATCTGATCCATATATATGCAGACAATTTGGTGAAGAATCCAGGGTTTGAGGAAGGCCCCCGCAGGCCTTTGACCCACAGCGGCAACGGGATCCTCCTCCCGCCAAAGCAAGACGACAAAGTCTCCCCACTCCCCGGCTGGATCATCGAGTCCCTCAAATCCGTCAAGTACATCGACGCGCAGCACTACAACGTCCCCGTCGGAAAGTCGGCGGTGGAGCTGGTGGCCGGTCGAGAGAGCGCCATCGCTCAGATCATCAGGACCGTTCCGGGGAAGCTCTACGGCCTCACATTCGCCGTCGGAGATGCCAAAAACGAGTGCCACGGCTCAATGGCCGTCGTCGCCTTCGCCGCCAAGGACAGCTTCACGGTTCCCTTCCAATCCAGCGGGACCGGCAAGTTCAAGAACGCCAGCTTCAAGTTCAGAGCCGTCTCTGCAAGGACGAGGCTCACTTTCTTCAGCTCCAATTACCATACCAGGAAAGACGATTACGTCTCCCTTTGCGGTCCGGTTATTGATCAAGTCAGGGTTGTTCCAATTAAGGCCTAGTTACATTGGGTAGATCAATAGTTAATGCATGTAACGTTTTCGTTGCTTAACCAGTTGCACTTGGGATTAATTAAACTACACACGATGATAGTCAAATTGGAAACTCGGAACACGCAGCTCTATTTTATATGTGATACATTTGATGATGTTTTTTCTAGTCACGACAACGTTATCGGAATCAGTGTCAAGTTTTTTCCCCCACTATTGCATGTAATTTAACTTGTGGTGTGGAGATCAACCTTGAAGTAAGAAATTTCCAATACTTTGCTCTTGAATGAAACCCTAACTTTTCCTCCTTCTTGATCTTGTTCATCACTTTCTCAATTTGGAAATTTGAAGAAGAAGAAGTCTCTCTCACTAGGTTCTCCCCCCCCCCCCCTCCCCTTCCCTTTCAGCTCAGCCCTCCTTATATACCCAGATCGACGACATTTCACGGTCCCTCCCAGTTCACGGTCGTGAATATTGGGCTTGGACCGTGATGTCAAGCAAAAGCATGTCGTTTCGCTTAGGCGCTTCCCGGTCTGGAGCGGCCGCGAGGTATGCAAAACCCTCCTGGACTCCATGTGCTTAACGGTCTGCGCCAACCGATGTTGTCAGAACCGAAGCGGAGCATGACCCGGTAATGCGAACGACTCGCACTTTAACGGTCAAACCGGCATTAGACCGTTTAAAAACCGTTAGAGAACTGGTATCTAATAAACGTTATTAGTATAAATAGTGGACATTTCTTAATCAGAGCTCATCTCTTTCCTTCGAAATTGTGAAATGGAAATAAGGATTCAATTTGAGAGCCCGACGTTTTTGGTTTATTTCAATTTTCAATTTTCTACAATTTTTTTAATTAAATTTAGTGGCTGAATGAAAAAAACCGGACAAGCGGCTCGATCGGCTCGAACGGTTAACCACCTCGGCCGCTCGCCAACCGCTACATAAAACCGGAGCGGCTTTTAGATTGTTCCGAGCCGGTTTTGTGACCGGGTGGCGGTTTTACCGGTCGGGCCGAGCGGCTTGGCTCGGCTTTAATAACACTGGCGCCAACCACAAAAAACATTCGAATGCATTAAGAACGTGAAAATGAAAAGTTCTCACCCTGTTCACAAATCAATACCAGTCTCGACATGACTAATCACCAACCACAACTAACCATGCATAGAGTTCAAGTCCAAGAAACAAATGAATTGACGACATAGGTATTGCTTCATGTTGCTTCATATTGCTTGTGGTTAGAGATGACAACAAAACCCGAACGCACGGGTACCCACCCGACCCAACCCGGTCAACGCGGGTAAAATCCGTGTTGACGGGTTTCGGGCCAGATTTGGGTTTAAACTTGTTCACTATTCATCGTGTTTTGTTGGGTTTGGGTGTACCCGACCCATGGGTACCCGCCCACACGCATATAATCAATTTTCCCGGTATATTAAATATTATAAGCAATTAATCTTCTTTATGTTTGTGGAGACATATCTAATTTTTTCTTTCTAATTGTGTAGAATGAAGTTGATATTGAGTGTAGAGTGAAGGAGCTTAATTGATGAGGAAGAAACTTTCAATTAATCATGTTGTTTATGTATAATTTTTGATTTGCTTCAATTTTCTCTAGTTTTCTAGATTGGTGTCGAACAATTTGTATGGTTAATTTGTGATTTGCTTGAATTTTCTAGAATGGTGTTTTATATATGGATTATTTGTATTGAAATATTGATATTTGACGGTTATTTTGATAAAAACTTGTTATTGTAAATTTTTTACGACAAACCCATGGGTACCCATGAACCCGTGGATACCCAGCGGGTTGGGTTGGGTTTGAGTTTTCCAAACCCAGTGGGTTTTACCCCGGGTTTTTTTTCACGGATAAACCCATGGGTTTGGGTTTGGCAAAACCCGACCCATTGCCATCCCTACTTGTGGTGTGCTTTTATAAACTTGTGGTATGCTTTTTGAGACTTATGGTTTACTTTAATCAACTTGTGGTGGGTTTTTATAAACTTTGTGGTGTGATGAGATTGTGGTATGCTTCTTGGGCCTTGCGATATATTTTATGATATTTATGATATGATTTAAAAATTTGTGATCTGCTTTAATAAACATGCAATCAACTTTATGGGATTTCTAATATGTTTCAAGGGACTTGTGGTGCGTTTTAAGAAACTTATGGTTAGCTTTAGAGAACTTGTGATATGTTTTATGAGATTTATGGTTACACCACAAAAAAGACAAATCACATCACAAAACTATAAATGCAAATCATAAAATATAAAAATTCATAAATATATTTATATATATTAGCCTTCTCTCCCACCAACCACCATCATGTCCATCACAATGCCCACTCCTACACCTCACTACCATTGCTAGTGAGGACTTCATAACCCGACCATGCATGTACATGAATTCAGTGACTCCTCAATCTCCAAGCAGCATCGCTCCATCACCCCTATAAATTAATAAATACTTTAATTTTCCCCCAACCCTTATATACACCATCGTCCCTTTCGAAGTGAGAGATGGAGAAGTTAACCGGCGGTGGTCTCCCTCCAATCTTCACAGCTTCCCCCATCAATCTTGTAACAACATCCTAAATCAAAACTACAAGAAATCTCATCAAACCAAAATATATTGTCTGGATCTCTTCCATCGTCGATACCAACACCATTGAAATCCTCCATAGCTTCTTACCCGACTCAATTAACTCCGGATTCAATTCGGCGAGATGCAGTTGTACGTTGTTCTCCGGGAGGCCTTCCACGACACTTGGTCCTTAATTCGAATTAGCTAGCTTCGAGTTTCTCACCAACGACGAAGGTGGTTGCGACCCTCTCACCAGCAAAACTGGAGTCGTCGATCCACCAAATGGCGGCGCCGATAGTGGAGGAGGAGCCTCCTTCTGGTGCTCAATTCTCTTTCGGCTCTCCTTAGAAGAATGTTTCGGAGAACATAATGATTTGCTTGCAGCCCTATTTTTATCATGCTTTGATGAGGACGGTGGCGAAAGTGCAGATGGTGGCGGCAACAACAATAGCAGGTATTTGGGGATTCTAGAGCCACATGTATTCTTTGGGGGATTTATGGATCTGGATCTGACATAGCGTTGCGGAATGATGAGGATGCCAAGCAACGAAGAACGGGAAGGAGGCGGCAGCGGTTGTGGATTTGTATATGACGGAAGCTAGTCGGTGAGCAGATGTAGGTTGAAAGGTAATAATCAAATTAATGTTGAGAAAGAAAATGGTGACGAGAGGAGGGATCGTGGTGGTTCTGCCAGGAGCAAGTCGGTGGGGTGCTCATGGTGATTCTGGCGAGAGGAAGCCGATAGGGGGTGAGAACTGAGAAGAGGATAAGGAAAGCGAGGAAGAAGACGAAGGCAAGGGTCGGTGGGTGGGTGGGTACACGAAGGGAATACAAAGAGAGGCAAATCGTCAAAAGTTTTTTTTTATGTTTTTAATTTATTTTTGTTTTAATTTTTCATTAATCTATGTGGCATTGTTTGTTGATGCAATATCGCCAAGCCAGATTTTCCTTTTGTCCAGTCAATTTGTTGGATGCACCGTTAAAGTATTGGACGGAAGTGGCTATAAATTGTATTTCTTCCAAAATTGGCTATTATTGACAAAAAATGTGAAACTTTTGACCATACATATGTGTTTTGCATAAATGATATTCGTCACAATCTTGGAGTGTCCAACTTCTTCAAAACTTTGTCGATGGGATAAGAGATGAGAGAGGGAGAGATGAGAGATGACAAACATGTCCTTTTCTTTAATAATTTTGTAGTTAATTGTCGTCAATCCTTAAAAATTAGAAAATTATCAAAATAAAATGTTTTTATTGGCTGGAGTTAGAGTGAGTATCATGCTAACAAAAATAGTGTTAGCACACCAGGTTTTTCTAATTGGGAAGCGCTATTATCAAATAGTAGATTTGAAAATATTTTCGTAAATGGTGTAATATGAATAATAAATTTTAGAAGCATTATTTTTGGGTAAAAAAACCCAACTTTGAGATGGGCATGGTTGTTACGCCGGTCGGCGTGCCACCGGTTGTACTGTGTTCAACTTTACCGGTCATAAAACCGGCGTGACACCACTGGTATGGCCGGCATGATCAATATACAAATCTCTAAGTAAAATGACCTTATTTTAGAGAATTTAATTGATAAAAATTATTTTGTTATTTATTTTATGAGTATAAAAGTTAAATATTGATGTTATTGGTTGGATTTAAGTATAAATGTTTCAGTATTGACGTTAAATGGCATGTTTAAATATGAGTATTTATAATTTTATTTGTAATATTGACATGTATGAATCGGTACAAACTGGTATGTGCCACGATTGAACCATTCCACTTGCTAAACCGGCACAATGGGATAAACCGATTTGACAATCTTGTAGATGGGCTACAAAGGGAAAAGAAAACTCTGAGGCGGGGCCACATAGGCTCCGTTGGTGTCCGTCCTACCTGTTAACTCTCTTTCTCTTCTCTCTCTCTCTCTCCCTGTCCGTTACCTACAACAAATCAATTCCGCCTATTCCTCGCTCTTCCTCTGACGCTTCAAAAAGACAAGGATTCGCGTCCAACTCGTAGCACCATTATAATACTCCATCGCGGTAGGCTCCTTGTTTCGCATCTCCACTTTCCTTGCCCCCAAGAAGATTCGTCGTCCCCGGCATCCTGTTACCTCTCTCGTTTTCTCTTGTAATCACCATTGCCAATCACTCTGCCTCTCCTCTTTACTGCATTGTTAATCCTCCATTCCATTAGGGAACCTTTACACTCACCCACTTTCCAGTTCCCCCTCCTCTTTGTTGAAGGACTTGGGAAAGTGTCTTCCCTTTATTGGATTCTGAATCTGGGTTTCTGGAGATCTCTCTCTGTCTTGGGTTTAGTCCAGAAATCTGATATTAAATCTGTATCTTTTTTTTTTCCATCTCTTGGCTTTACTGGGTTCCAAAGCAGAGGAAGGAGGAGTCGAAAGGGTGTTTTTCTTTTTCGGAGAAAACGAAGATGTCGAAAGCTGGTGCATTGGATCTTGCTTCTGGTCTTGGTGGGAAGATCGAGAAGAAGGAAGTTCTTTCCGCGGTCGAGCAGTATGTCTTCTTCCTCCTCTTTGATTATTTGTCCTTCATGCATCAACAATGTAGGTGGTCATAATGAAACCCCCTGCATCTTTCTTCAATGTCCATTCCGCTTCAGTTATGCGCTTTAATCTCTTCACTTGGATGGATTAACCCAAAACGATGCAATTTCTCACTTGGGATTGTTGTTTGGATCCATAACTCTGTTCATTCACTCTGTATCTGACAATTTGATGACTAGATTCGTACCTTTATTGAAGTCCAATTGGTCCCATCCAATGCACGGTTACTACTTGGATTTTCTTATTTTTCTCTCTTCACTGTAATGATGAAAGTGTATTTAATTTAATTCTTCTCCCTCTCCCTCTCTCTCTCTAGTAATTCACTTGTTCTTCTCACTGCGCTGCCCTTTCTCTGTGATAGATTCTGCTTGAATGATTAACCTCTGTTCAAATTTGTTTGCATGAATTCTATTGGATTGTACATGCATGATGCATCCATTACCCTCTTGTCACGGATGGATCTAGTACCCTTTATTTCTTACTCCATGTCAAACAAACCATTAACACTTCAGTTCCTCTTTACATTAGTTGATTGGTCTCTAAAAGTAGTAAAAGCCTCTTTGTGTGTAAGGTATAATGATTTTTGTGAAGTGCGAGGACTCTTTTGGTAGTAGTGACAAAGGCCTCATGCGCCTAGCTATTATTGAGAACAGGTGTCTTTGACTGTTCAGTTGGAACTTTGTTCCTCAGCTGGCCCAAGCCTTTGTGGGCAGAGTTAGTGTAGATATTGGCTCCTGCTTCTGGTTCTTTTTTCCTTTTTTCCTTTTTCAACTTTGAAACTTCAGTTGTTCGTTCTTCCTTCCTCCTATCAAGCTTGTCCTGATCTGGAAAGCGGTGGGGCGGGTCCCTGGCCACGTTGGTCTTCTCCTTGTTCTTTTCTTGCTGCTTCCCTTTGTATTTAAATTGAAGACTTTTACATGCTAGAGTAGTGTTTCTTTTCCTTTTCACCGCCATACTTAATCTAGCTCGGCCCGGTTGCTGCAAAGAGTTTATTGAAATGAACAAAGGTGAGAAGGGGCCACCACGTCTCACCTGTGCTGCAAGCCTGTAAACAAAGTATGGCCATACATACACCTAGATGTGATACTATTGTCCATTGGCCGGATCCAACGTAGTCAATGCATATGGAATGTCCAATTACAGTAACTTGGTTGGTATCACTATCATGGTCCACGAAACCTGTGGTCTTTTCTGTGATTTTTGTCTTCTTGGTCCCCCTTTAAACGTCTATTTTCTCTTCACAGCTTTGTATGTCATGCGCAAGTGGTGGTTGTAATTACAGGCAGCCCTCTGATGATCTTAATAGTTTGGTTTTGTCTGTTTCCCTAACAGCCGCTACCATGGCTTTGTGGTTCAGGTATGAAAAGTACCACAACCTATATGGAGGTGCTGATGAAGAGAGGAAATCAAACTACACTGACATGGTAAACTGTGAATCTAATGGGATACGTAGCATACGGCTGTTCTTGTTCTAACCAAGTTAATTGTTTTATCATTAAATCATCCTTGGCTTGGCTTCCAGGTTAATAAATATTATGACCTTGCAACTAGCTTTTACGAGTTTGGCTGGGGAGAATCTTTCCATTTTGCTCACAGGTGAAGCTCTTTTCTTCGTTTTCTGGCCTTCATGCTGAAGCATGCACCACTTCCTTCTCTAAGACTGGAACCCACATATTTTCTTACCTCAATTACTATGTCAGGTTCAATGGTGAATCTCTTCGGGAGAGCATCAAGCGGCATGAGCACTTCCTCGGATTGCAACTTGCCCTGAAACCTGGACAAAAGGTTGGCTACCCTATTTTTTTTTTTTTTATATATATATATTTTTAACTATGCAAGGAACGTGGAATATCCAATTTCGTTCATTTAATTGGTCTTGGTTGTTTGTTTTCCCCTTCTTGGCGTTAGGTGTTGGATGTTGGATGTGGAATTGGTGGACCACTGAGAGAAATTGCTAGGTTCAGGTTAGTGGAATCGAGTTTGGTTTAGTTTATCCTGGCTACTCCACGCTTGGAAGGTATTTTAAGCTTTTCGTGCAATCTCTTGCAGCTTAGTATCAGTGACAGGGTTGAACAACAACGAATATCAGATATCAAGAGGAAAGGTGAGTACAGACTCTTCTTTCTACTCTGTGTCAAGCAACATGATTTGGTTTACTAGACTTCCTGTCAACAAAGTCAACATTGCTCTAGCATGCTTTTGTCTTTGATTAATCCGCTGCTTCTGCCATTTAGGAACTAAATCGTATTGCAGGAGTGGACAAGACATGTGATTTTGTTAAGGTATGTTGCTGTTTCCTCCAGAATCTACCCTCTATACATATAAATAAAAGATCTTTGGGCCCAAGAATCCCAGCGTTGTTTTCTCTTGATTGCTTATACAGGCTGACTTCATGAAAATGCCAATCCCAGACAACAGCTATGATGCCGTGTATGCCATTGAAGCCACCTGCCATGCACCTGATGCGGTATGCAAAAAGTTATCCATTCATATCAAGGATATTCTACTTGCTGAATTATAATTTGTAATCCTTCCGTTTTGTTATATTTATGATTTCCATCATCCACTTTTTCATTGTTGTTTTGAGCAGTATGGATGCTACAGCGAGATCTACAGAGTATTGAAACCTGGCCAGTGTTTTGCTGCTTATGAATGGTGCATGACGGATGCTTATAATCCCGAAAACAGAGAACACAACAAAATTAAGGTTAAATATTGGCTCCATCTCTAATGCTAACCCCAACCACAAAGCTCTTGCCTGAAGATGGAAAATGTTGCATTTACAGGCAGAAATAGAGATTGGTGATGGTCTTCCTGACATTAGGTCGACGACACAGTGCATTGAGGCTCTGCAGAAGGCCGGTTTTGAGGCAAGTCATACATCTTCTCCCGAAACCCTTATCCATCCTTATTCTTCTGTATTGTGATTGTCTTTTTGGAGACTCTTCTGATTCAGTTATGACCATCCATGTGAAGGTTATATGGTCGAAGGATCTTGCGAAAGACTCACCTGTCCCGTGGTACTTGCCACTGGACAAAAGTCACTTCTCGCTGAGCAGCTTCCGTTTGACTGCTGCTGGAAGATTCTTTACTAAAAATCTGGTAAGCATTGCTCGAACTTTGATTTATCCTCGCTTCTGTGGTATTGTTGTTGCTTTCTCTGAACAACATGCTTTATTCGTTCCGATTAAGACGTGCATTCACCATCAATCCTTAAGCTGTTCACATCGCTTACTAACTGATTGACATTCTTTTGCCTTGCAGGTGAAGGCCCTCGAGTATGTAGGACTTGCTCCAAAAGGAAGTCAAAGGGTTCAAGATTTTCTTGAAAAGGCTGCTGAGGGATTAGTCGATGGTGGGAAGTAAGTGACTGTTCTCTTGTTTACAACTTAACTACACTCTGACTTGTTCATCTCGACATACATTGGTCGGGTAAATTACTAAAAGATGGGCTGCATTGTGTTTGTGTCAACCCGCTTCCAAACAAATGGAATCCGGCTCTACCAAATTACCAACTGAATCGTATTGCATTCTTCCTTTACTGCAGGAAGGAGATATTCACACCAATGTTTTTCTTCTTGGCTCGTAAGCCGCTCTAGGAGAGTCAAAGGAAAAAGGTGGTAGCTGTATGTGCTCGGCTTGCTCTGTTCTGCAATGAACAGAAACTCATTCCGAGTTTTGTTTTTCTCACTCTCTTTGGAACAGTTTCAGCGTACTGTGTGTATCAGCATTGTTCAGTTTGTGAACGTTGTGAGACTCATCAGTTTTGGTTCTCAAGTAACGTAGACTGTTAGCTGGTTTTTAGTAATCGGTCATTCTAATCTATTTTAGCATGTGCTGGTTAAGATTAAACTGCCTCAATACTCTTCCGAAGCCATGAAGTATTTCAGTTGTTGAGAGTCATATTGATGGGAGCGGATATGGTGATAACACCATATTTGTTTTTATAGTGACAACAAATTAGGGCAACCAATAGAAAGTCACCATTGCACATAGTCAAGTGTAGATGAGTAATCAATCCATTTCATAAACGCTTAAGATAATAACATATCACATATGTTGGGTTTTCCATGCAACATACAATGACATTATAAGCAATACTATAATAGAACATAATAGTTGGTGTAGACATCACAATTCACATGACTGAAGTATTGTATAACTAAGGCATTCGAATATCATAAGCATGACATGACAAAGACATCCTTAACAAAAAGATGCTATAAGCCTTAATAAAATTCACATCCTTAACAACGAAGTTGAACTAATAAGTCTAACCGAACATACTCTTTTCTTTTTTCCTTCTCCCTTCTGTCTCTTTTCCTTTATTCCTGTTCATCCTTTCGTCGCCAGATTCCCGTGGCTTGTGTCACCGCTCCATCGTTAGTTCAGTCCTCACGTCACTAGGTTATGAGGTTGGTCACTGGCATTCGACGGGAGTAGAAGATTTCTTCTATGGGGCTGGTCGATGAAAGTTGACTGGAGAGGGGATTTCTTTGATTTGGTTATGGGTTTTGGGGGCCTCACTAACTCGATTTGGGTTCTTCGATCCAAAATTGCTTCTCAAATCTGGGTTTGGATTGATCTGACGAGAGTGTAAATTGTCTGATTTCCAACCTGATTACGGATATGGGTTCTTGCGCGAAGTGAAGTGAATGATTACTTATTTTACCTTTTTCTTTTTTGTTGGTTTTCGAAGTGAATTGAGTCTTTTCTTTTTTTGCCTTTTCTTCGACGTGACGGTTGAGTTGGCGGCGTGCTATTGTCTCTCTTGCAGATTGGTTTTGTTGAGAAACGCATTTAGCAATTAGTAAGTTTCTTTTGTTCACTGCGAAAGCCCAAATGAATTGGGGAAGCATGGTCGTTTAGTATCGAACCACTCCTGTTGAATCCGGTAGCAATGGCTTAATGTTTACTTGAATTCGTCCATTTCTTCAATTTGTAACCATAGATTCCTCTTCGCATTGGTGTGATGTTTCAATTCAAACTCTTCGATGTATGAGTTTATAATGTCTATGTGCTAAATAATAATAATGGACAAAGGTACAGGCTGTGTGTTGTATTTATATATTAAACCTATTCTCAAAGACCTAGGCCTGATCTTGGGAAACTGCTGGCTGCTACTGTTGTTTTTTCAGCCCCTTCCTACTCTATTTTTCTGCCTTCAGTCCTATCACTAACTGTGTTTATCTTTGATAAAATATCTCAAAAACAGAGTTTTTGTCATAGACCGTTATTAGGGAGATCTCCATGTCTGGCTGAGCAGACGCCGCGAGACGCAGAGGTCATCGTTATTGGCGAGTTCTCCAACTCCAGCTAAGTAGCGAGGAAGAAGCGAGACGGCGTGAGGGAGGGAAAGTGAGAGGGACGTGAGGAAGAGTGGGCAGAGGGAGAAAGGGAGGCGTGAAGGATGGGTAGAAAGAGAAAATTAATTGTAAATTTTTATATTCTAATTGATTTAAGTTAAAATTTTAATATACCGTTGGATGTGAAATTAAAAGGTGAAGGGTGATTAATGGGGTTAATATGCCGCTAACTATTCGAAGGTTAGCATGCCATCCCATTGCGGGGATGTCTCTTCTTCCACCGCAAGCTCTAGCCACCAAAATCGATTGCCACCTTGGAGAGGAATAAATCATGAATTCATCAATGACCTGCTCCAAATGGATCGAGGTTTTGAAGTTCTCTGAATCCCTTCTTCTCAAAACACTTCCTCCCGTCACCGATGGTCATTTTCCTCCATTTATCGATGACAATTACGATTTCAAATTCAATTTCAGTGGTTAGTTCGCCAAGAGCTCGTCATCTACTGTATACGAGCTTCCAGGGAAGTAAGATCCGATTGTTGAAACCCTCTCCCGAATACGATTCAGGCATCCCATCATCTGGTACTTCTTCAAAGTGCCCGTGGTGGCCTGAGAAAAACAGACATTGATCATTTTCAAACATCGATTGTGGCTGATTTCAGGGTGCCGATTATGGCTAAAGAATCCATCTTGTAGACCCCAACTAGAAAGGATGCTAAGAAGATCTTTCGATTATCTCAATCCCTCAACAATTGACAACGAGAGGGGATTTAGCCAATATGTGTTTCTGGGTTTCATACTTTTATAGACTCCGATTCTGTGTCTCTGAGTTTGCAATTTGGAATTTTAGGTGGGACGATAGGGGATTTTTGACAAGATGGGAGTGGGTGGAGGGAGGAGGTGGAGGAGGGATGGAGGTCACTATCACTCTCTCCAATGATGCTCGAATATCGGCTGCAAGCGGAGGGAAGGGATATTCAGTTCCTTGCGAAAAACATTGTGGCGGTGGTTAGCATCTTGGGTGACGGTGGTTGTAGGAAAATTTGAGGAAAAGAACTGTGGGATTTTGTGAGCTCGAAGTATATGATTTGAGGACAAGTATCTGGTGAAAAATTGAGGGGCGATAGAGGGCGAGGAATGAAGACTAAGTAGGTGAGGCGGAGCCGGGAGGGGAATAAGGATTTGAGTTTTTTTTTGTTGTTGTTTTTTAATTGTAATAATTTGAAATTAGAGAATATATGAATTTGATTTATTTTTAAGCTTGTTTATGTTAACAAGGCAGATATGACAAGTTGACCATTAGTCAATGGTATTGCTTGTCCAATTTAATAGACACATTGGCAAGTTAGACCAAATCAGTAATTTTTGGTGACCGTTAAAACAATGATAAACATTTTATAAAAAGAATGGTAATAATAGAAATTTAAAACAAATTTGAAGCCAATACCAAATATTAACCTTATTAAAATTATAAAATTTCCGGATCACAAGTGGCATGTGCGATATAAAATCCAGAAGTGCACCTGTCTGTATCAAATCCGCGTCGGCCAACTCCGATCAACTTGGGAGGTGCACTTGTTCGCACATCGAAAAATTACAAATAAATACAACGCGAAACAGCCGAATTCCAGAAATTTATTACCGAAACGGAAAAGAAATAATAATTAATAAAGCGAATACCGTAAATAAAAGGAGCAGGGAAAAACGAGTTGTCACCTCAGCTATATATAAAACCGACTCCCGCCTCTTCTGCTTCTCTCGCCAGACGGAACACGAAAACCATCATCATCGCCACCGCTACCGCCGCCATCACCACCACAAACTAGTCAATGGATTCCCCTCGCCGTTCCTCCGCCATTGTAGTAGGCGCCGGCATCTCCGGTAACCGCCGGACCTCTATTCTCTTGAACTTATGAACGATTTCTTCTGTTTTGACCGCACAATTCGACGATTCTACGCCGCCGTTCTTCCTTTTATTTGTTGATTCCTTATTTTTTTTGTTGATTCTTTTGCTTCTCGAAATTTGCTGGGGATAAGGTATTTCCGCGGCGAAGGTTTTAGCCGAAAATGGGATTGAGGACTTGGTGATTTTGGAAGCTACGGATCGTATCGGCGGAAGGATCCGGAAAGAAAATTTCGACGGCGTTTGCGTCGAGCTTGGAGCCGGCTGGATTGCCGGCGTTGGCGGCAAAGAGGCTAACCCTGTTTGGGAGCTGGCTGCTAATTTGGGGCTCCGCACTTGCTTTTCGGATTACAGCAATGCCCGTTATAATATTTATGATCGAAGGTAATTACAATGCCTGCCTCTGCTGAAACGAAAAGGAGAAATATTATCGTCATCTCGATTGCCTTGTTTGTGTTTGTGAAAAGTTCTGAGACGTCGTCCTTTGGTTGTTTGCAGCGGGAAGATATTTCCCAGCGGTTTGGCCGCTGATTCTTACAAGAAAGCCGTGGAATCGGCTATGGAGAAGCTGAGGAAACTACAAGCCAATCAAGCTGGCGAATTAATCGAACCAACTTGGTGGTAAATTAATCAATATCATGATCCATCCTTGTTTCATTTATTGTTTTCTCCTTTTCCTTGAATTCGTGGTTGATGGCTCTTGCTGCTGCGAAAGTAATATAATAAATATTAGCTCCGAAAACGATGTAATGAAGTTGAATTGTCTTTCTTGTTGGTGTTTTCTGCTCGTCCAGCACACCAAAGACGCCTATTGAGCTCGCCATTGACTTCATCCTCCATGATTTTGAGATGGCAGGTTGGTTTTGTGGTGAATTCTCTTATTTATCTCACCGTTTCTGCCTGCCTGCCTGACTTATGTGCAATATGCTTTCTATTTTTTGCAGAGGTAGAACCGATATCAACATTTGTCGATTTTGGAGAGAGAGAATTCCTAGTTGCAGACGAAAGAGGGTATGACTATTTGCTGTACAAAATGGCCGAGGAGTTTCTTTTAACATCAGAGGGTAAAATCTTGGACACTCGCCTCAAACTCAACGAGGTACAAGAAGCTCATTCTTTGTCCATCCACCCTCTTTTAATACTGAAAATTGAACCAGCTTTGATCTTTCTTGTCTGCGACCGATCTTTTTGGTCGCTTCTGTGTTGTTTTGCTCTCTGTTGCGTACCTAATCATAAACAAAATACAAGGAATTGGATGTGTGAGTAAGGGCTGAGGGGACTGGCTGTGGCTGGTAGATGGAGAAGTATGTATGTGAGTTCATTTAAACCCATAAGGCAAATGAAATCTATGTTTTTCTAATGCTTCACTGCTTTCTTTTTCTCTAAACTGTGAGCTTTGTGGGAGCCGCCGTGGTTGGAGTTTGTGGATAAGGAAGTTGAACAAAGTCATAACGTTTTGCTTCTCTTTTATTGTATTAGTATTACCCACCCACCAACGCAATCCTTTTCTCCCTTTTTAACACTTTTGTGCTCTCTTCATATTCCTCTAGGGTCTTTTCCAGATATTTCCTTTCTCTGGCATTTTGTGCTACCATGTAGATGTGATGCAATTCTCCAACTGTAGATGAAGTAGACTTTTCCCCTCCGTGGATTCTTCACATTAGCTACTGGACTTGATTTGTGGTAGCCGTGAATAAACCCTTTAGCCTTCCTACCCAATGAATTTGAATATTTGATTAACCCTTTCTAGTAACTAATGGTTCTACACTCTACTAATGTATGACTTAATTAACTGGTATGGCCTAAGGCCCTGAGTATTAAATGTGCACATCACTCTGTCGTCTGTCCTAACCTTTTTCGTTTTACCTTTCCTCTGCAATAGCTACAATACCACTAATTTCTTCTGCTGTATGGTCAATTCAGTATTTTTCTTTCCATAAAAAGCGGAAAGGTGCTGGTTACTTTGCCCAGATTCTTCTTCAAGAGATTCCTCTCGTCTACTCGTTTCCCCATTCCTAAACAATGAAATAGAACTACGATGAATACAGCACATATTTCTTGATCTGACTTCACAGAATCCTATGTGGGTAGTTGGCTTCTTGAACAGTGCAATTGGTTCTCACGCTCTCTCATGCTATCTGGGTAGTTGGTGATTTGTTTGAAGGGTTATTCACTTTTTGAATGGATGATGATTTCTTGCATGGATTTGGAACAGGTTGTCAGGGAAATACAGCACTCGAGAAACGGCGTTATTGTTAAAACAGAGGATGGTCGCATCTACGAAGCCAATTATGTGATTGTGTCAGCTAGTATTGGTGTTCTCCAAAGCAATCTCATCTCGTTTTCGCCTCCCTTGCCCGTATGTCTTCTCTTCCTTTATTCATTTATATTCCATACCTTCCTAATTGCCAATCACCATGCATGGCCGGCTTGGTCCCGCCTAAACTAACACGGAGAAGTTCCATTTTATGTTTGTTTTAGTCGTTGGGTTTCTCCCATTTAGATCTCCATAGTAAAATGAAAAGAATGTGTGTCACAATTTGTACAATTGAACATGTCTTCGAAACAAGAACAGTAGGCAACAGTCATGTTGAATTTAAAACTAGCAGAGGAGAAATTGATAATGATTGCGTAATATGCTTTTCGCCTTGCTTACATTTGAGGTACTTTGCAATTTGTTGGTTATAATATTAACACATATATTTATTTATTTATATAATGAATGAATGAATGAATGAATGATGCAGAGGTGGAAAACAGAGGCTATAGAGAAGTGTGCTGTAATGGTATACACCAAGATTTTCCTCAAGTTTCCTTACAAGTTCTGGCCATGCGGCCCCGAGAAAGAATTTTTTATCTATGCTCACGAGCGGAGGGGATACTACACATTTTGGCAGGTTGGTATCAGTCTACTTGTTCTCCCTGGCAAGTTGATCCAATTGCTGGGATGGACGCACGGATGTGCCATATGCATCTATCTTTGATGTGTTCTAGTTGTTGTGATTCCTTTCTTTCGAAAATCTTTTTTTTTTAATCAAGTTAGGTTAATATTCTTTGACATCTCAAGCGATAGTTGTCTCCTTGTGCAGCTTACATAAACGCCTTCTGGCACGAATAAAGAATGAGCTTCCATGTTCTTTGCCAGATGCATTATTTTTGCGAATTCTTTATTTTATTCCCAAGGACCATAAATCTTTCATTACCCAACTTCCAGATGCATTATTTTATCCCTACCTGATCAAACTCTTTCTGACTGTCTGGTTGCTGTGTGTGTTATCATCAGCATATGGAGAATGCATACCCAGGTTCCAATACCCTGGTTGTAACCCTGACAAACGGCGAGTCCAAACGTGTGGAGGCGCAATCAGATGAAGAGACGATGAAAGAAGCCATGGGAGTACTCAGGGACATGTTTGGGACCGACATTCCAGATGCCACAGATATACTAGTCCCTCGATGGTATACCAACAGATTCCAACGTGGCTGCTATAGTGATTACCCTATGATTTCCAACAACCATGAAGTCCAGAAGATTAAGGTGCCGTGCCCTATTGCTGCTAACCATTACTAAAATAGCTCATATCTCAAACTGTTGATTACCTAAAACGCTTGGCTTTGGCTTTGACCATTCAGGCCCCGGTAGGACGAGTCTTCTTCACAGGTGAACATACTAGTGAAAGGTTTAGTGGTTATGTTCATGGTGCATACCTTGCAGGTAATGAACTGAACGAAGGGATTCCCTCTGATGTAACAAATCCTTTTGGGTCGGATGATCTCGGAAATGATATTTTTCTTCTTGTTGTTTCAATTTTTGACAGGTATTGAAACGAGTCGGTCAGTACTAGAAGATATCCGATTAGTCAAAGAAAGGGAAACAGAGAACCAAACATTCTTGTTAGAGCCTTTTCTTGCTTCCTTAACTCTCTCACAGACGGAAGCAGTCTCAAATATGCACAAATGTGACATCCCGGCACAACTTTGTATCAGCAGCAATCTCGGCTTGTCGGAAGCGATATTATGACTATATGGACAGACCAAAACCTTGCAAGTTGATAATGATGATGAGACGGAAAACAGAATGACCGATCAAATAGGTGGCCGGAAAGCTGCTTCATCAGATGCACATGCAGCTGAGGCACTGCAAACTATCACGAGTCAGATGGAGAAGCCACCAGTGTTGGGATGCTTCCAAAACTCTTCACAAACTTGATGCCTGCCAGATAACAAAGTGAGCGGTCGCTTATAATGCTTGCTTGGGATGTATTTGCCTCTGCTAAATTGTCAATCCGACGAAGTTGGTTATTGATCTTGGGGCTTTGGGAAGCTGTTTTGAGGATGTACTTCGACATTTTGTTATAAAAATGCTAAAACGTTGATATAGCGCCCCTCAGAGGTATTGCACAGCGATCATATTTGTTCTCCGTTACTTGTTCATTATAAACAGAACCTGATATGTCTAATATTGAAGCGATTTCTTATTAGTCTGTATCTATGACATCAATGTTTTGTTTTGAGAGATCAAACTGTGAGCATTCTCCAATGCGTAAGCCGAACAAGATTAGGACTGTGATTAGTAATTCCATTCAAGTAGGTCTAGTTTAGAAGTCTTGGCACATTGAAAGTACATGGATATTACCCGTGCAAGATCCAAGCATTTGTGAGAAATGTTGTTATCAATTTATTTGGTTGAGTTCTGTATTCTTCAACTTATATCAGTTCAGTTGGTTATCATCTCAGGTACTTTTCATACAGCGCTCTAGAGATCGAAAGAGCATCCCCTTGTGCCTTCACTGGATAGAGATTTGAACCCTGCTTGCCATTTGTTTGATAATGCTAATCCATTTCGACCCTCCAATCCATCAGCATGAACTGTTCCTTCTTCTCCAAGCTGTTTATCAGCTGGCTAAAGAAGGTTGAAGCTCGGGGAAGATAATAGTCTTCCAGCAACCCGCTCCATAATATTTTGGCTGCATCAAGGGTTCAGGGAAATGCAAGTTCAGTGTCAAAGCTTACAAAATTTGAATATTGATGTAGAAAAGGAGGGTTAGATAGAGTTTCTTAGTTACCATAATCATGAAGCTTGCTCTGAAGAGCTGCTGAGTGCTGATGTATCATACCACATTGTTACTTGTGTTCTCGCTTTCCACTAAAACAAAGAAATATAGCCAAAATCACTCGTCACAAAATTGTCTCAAGCAGAAAATGATCATCAGAAGCAAGAAGCACATCATTGTCCTTGATAAGCTCTAGGTCCACCAAGTCATATCTGTAACATTGTAATCTACGAGCAAGTACAGAAACATAACTAGTGGTTCCAAGATGCATAGGACACGAGGCTCCAAAATAATGACCTTGTAAGTGAGACTGCCATTTTACTCCGTCTCCCCCTTTAAGGAATAGTTGCAAGGCTTTCGTTGTATCACGATTCGAGTACCACAAGCGTGCCTCTGGGAAATCGGAACTCCTCTGTTGTTGGAATAGTTGCAAGGCTCTCATTTCATCTCCAAGGAAGGTATGTAGCTCGTCCTGTTTCGATATGCTCTGCCTGGGATTCGCCCATGGATCCCAGTCTGGAAATTTTACTATGAAGTCTGTGTTATGGTCCTGCAAAGACATTTATCAAGTCCGGGTAGGATAAAGTAATGTTAAATAGTACGTAGTGAGGTAATCATGTTAAGACCGGGAATGTACAGCAATTCCGTCTGTGCACTGCAGTTGTATACAGTGTGATAGAGGATGTCCCAAGTTGCCTCAATCCGAGGAACTGATTTACCATATCGTCTGCGAGCATAAGCCTTTAACCATTCATGCATTAGCACCAATGCTATGTATGTTCACGTTCAGATCCCAACTTCTAACTTATGGGATTTTTTTGACAGAACATTTATAACATTTCGGACCTTTTTTCTTACCAAGATATAATTCGCTTTGGGCCTTGATACTCACGGTTTTTTACTTAGGGTACAATTCAAGGTGACTTCCCATAAGATCACCCATCCTTGTTGTACTCCACACTGAACACATTTAACTTCGGAGTTCTCATATGAATTCATCCATTTCACCCCAAAATGCGTTTTGTCGGTTAAGACCGATTTTTCAATTATGAACCATGGATCTCTCCCGTGCTTTGTCGATGTGGGATTTGCCTAAGGTGTTACATACACCCCCCTTGGGACTCAACGTCCTCGTTGACGTATGCCCCACCATCGTTCAAGAGGGACGCAGAGAGGCTCTGATACCACTCGTAACATCCCGAACCTTTTCCTAACGAAGATATTGTCCACTTTGGGCCTCGACCCTCACGGTTTTTGACTTGGGTGCAACTGAAGCCGACTTCCCATAAGGTCACCCATCCTTGTTGTACTCCACACTGAACATGTTTAACTTCGGAGTTCTCACAAGGATTCCTCCATTTCACCCCAAAACCCGTCTGTAACTTTATCATTTTTGTCTGTAACTGAGGCCTTGGGAGGCAGAATCGATTCAAGAGGTTACGACCGTAACTTGGCATCTACTGCATGTATAAATGCATTTTTGCGGATTTTAGACGAACAGAGCTAGGTTTTGGATCCCAAACACCCAAGGGACGAAGCCTAGAGTGAGAGAGCAATTTGAGGGCAATATTGGAGCAAAATTGGAGGATCTCTTTACCTTGAAAGCTCGAAGAACAAGCCCATATATGAATATTGAAGATATGAAAAGTAACACTGCATGTTCTCTCTTCTCTATGGAATAACTTCCCTTAACTAGGTTTTGAGGAATCCTAGCTATGTTTTTTCGATTGAATGATTCTATGAGTACTCGTACTTGATTATCTTGAGTTCATATTCAATCTAATGTTTGATTGGATGTTCAATTCTGCTTTAGTTGATATTAGAGATTCGTCTTTGATTCTAATTCTATGAGAGGGAATACTTGATTAGGTTAGGATAGCACCATAGGTTGATAGTAGCCGATTGATTGCTTGAATAGTAAATTGATTCCTGCTATGTATCGATTGAGAATCTCATTTTATAGAGGGAGTCTAGTGTAGAACACCTTGATCAGTTGTTCTAGAGAAGGATTCGTTCCTCTAGGCAGTCGACTCAAGAGGGCCTTGATTGATTTAGTCGAGATTCAAGTTTAGTCAAGGATTATTCGCATTTTGAAAGAAAGTGAATCAAGTTAGAGATCATTCGATCATTAATCCGGCTAGTGGTTAGAGGGAATCATACCTAAGTGAGTTCTCAACTTGTAATTAGTAGTGTATACTAGTTTAGTTTGTAGAGTAGTTTAGTTAATCAAACCTTAATATGATTTTCTAGATAATGAACTAAAGCATAGTAATAGTAACTCTAGAGACTCATGGATTCGATATTTATTAATTATTCCACTATACTACAATCTCTTTCATTGATTACACTTGGCCATTGTTAGAAGTTGTGTTTTAGCGAGTCAAGATCCCTTCAACTTGGAAGACTTGGAGCTATTTGCCAGCATTTAAGATGATGATTCCCGATTTCTCCTCTCATGGGGTTATTTTTTGGTGCTTGGTCTAAGCCCTTCAATTAGATGTAGGGATTTGTGGATTGCAATGAACAATTTTATTGAATTTCTAGTGACCTATGTCTATTTTATTGATTTCTTGCTTGTTCATGTCTTTATTTTGTATGAACGATCAGTTGGTGCTTGACCCATGAAGGAGACCATCCAATTGGATCAAGTTTTTACCTAAAATCAAGTAGAATAATTAGGTATCTACACAACCGTTGATTTACCTAGTTATGTTATTATGGGCTTGTTTATATGACAATAATTGTACATATTCCTAACTATAGTGGTCAATTGCATGACTATTGGGTTGATTACCATAGTTAGAAGGAAAATTGGGAGTATCACCATTAACTCAATTGCCTTATTAGAAATTCTTGCACATCAAATCCTGTAAAGGAAACAAATGAAGTTCATTATCACATTCCCATGAATTAGGTTAGGGGGAAAATTCCTAGGTACTCTCTCTTTCTATAGACTTTAAGATTGTAGGTTGGTAGTTAATAACTATGTCAGTTGCTAGACTACATAACAATACTCCATCACCAATCCGGGGCTTTATATGGGGTTCACAGCAGGGGAGATGCCGCATGCACTTGATTGATTGGGACACCATCTGTCGGCCCAAGGATCAGGGTGGGCTGGGCTTGCGGAGTGCTCGGGATCTCAACACAGCGTACCTCATCAAACTTGCTTGGACCATCCTGAAGAACCCAGATGAATTGTGGGTACGCATCCTCACGGAAAAGTACCTGAAGGAGGGTTCTAACGGGGAGATTAGTGCACGCAGGAAAACGGGCTGCTCATCCCTTTGGCGAGGCATCCGTCGGGTGTGGGCTATAATGGACGGCGGTGCACGGTGGAGTATCCGGGATGGCAAGGCGACCTCCTTATGGAACGCGGGGTGGCTAGATAGCGGAGAGTGCTTGGCGGATCATGTCACCAGCATTGATGAACACTTCCCAGGGGACGCGAGTGTGGCGGATATGGTTTCGACGGAAGGTGAGTGGGACCTGAACCGTTTTGAACGCTACTTACCCCGTGATCTTAATTTGCAGGTGGCAGGTACCCCCACCCCGAAGGAGAACCTTGGTCAGGACGAGCTTGTTTGGGGACTGGAGCCAGAGGGGCAATTCTCCCTCAAATCGGCTTACAACCTGGTGGCGGAGATCAACAAGAGCGAGGAAGCCAGCCCGTGGAGGTCTATTTGGAAGTGGCCAGGACCGAGCCGAGTGCGCCATTTCCTGTGGCTTGCGGTACATGATCGGTTGTTGACAAATGCTGAGCGCGCCCGCCGCCACATCGCCGACAGCTCAGGTTGCCAACGCTGCAGAGGTGACTCGGAGACCTTGGATCACGTCCTCCGGCAGTGCCCTTTTGCTAAGGAAGTGTGGGCGGAGGTGCTCCCCGAAGCGCTCCGTCCGGATGACAGCCGCGACATCAAAACTTGGCTAACAGAGTCTCTCAAGTGCCCCCCCAAGCCAGGTTCGTTTTGGCTTCACGTGTTGGTTCCTTTGGCGTGCTCGGAATGGTTTCATTTTCTCAGACATCGTAGAAGCCCCTAACAAGTTATCGCAAAGGATCCTCGCCTGGGAGGTCGTCGCTCAGCAGAGTAAGCAAGCGGATCAAAATCTTTCACTGGGGATGTCGGGGTCGCGTCGAGACGTGGCTGTGGGGTGGAGACCGGCCCCGACAGGGTGGATCACAGTGAACTCTGATGGGTCGCTCCTGCGGCCCTCGGGGTCTACCGCTGCAGGAGGAGCGCTTAGAGACTGGCAGGGTCGCTTGTTAGGGGCCTATACGATGAACCTGGGGAAGTGTACCATCACCCGTGCAGAGATTTGGGGGGCATTGAAGGGTCTAGAGCTTGCTTGGGAAGCAGGGCATCGACAAGTGGAGCTCCAGCTCGATTCTCGTACGGCGATGTCGCTTCTCAAGGATTCGGGACAGCATAACCACCAGCATGCCAACCTCACATTATCGTTCCAGGCCTTGCTCCGCAGGGATTGGATTGTGCGTATCACTCACATCTATAGGGAGGCCAACTTTTTGGCCGACTGTCTTGCTCACAAGGGGCATTCTCTGACCCCGGGCTTTCACTTTGTTCCCGTTTCGGATCCTGATGTTTGTCATTGGACCTTATTTGACTCTGTTGGCGGTTTTACCGTTCGATCGGTTTATGAATAAGAGGTAGTGGTGCTTGCACCCGTTTCATAAAAAAAAAAAAAAATACTCCATCACCAATCCAGGATATATTTGTCCTAGATTGGACTTGCAAGTAGAATGTACCAACCAAGTCTCTTTTAATACTTCCTACAATACCTTGAAGTTATTGTAACTTGATGTTTTTGACGTGCTATAACAGGTTTCACAAGTCGCATTATGTAAAATACAATAGACCTAACGTAAATGTTACGTAATGTGTGTTTATCTTACGTAATAGTTGAAAAATGTAATCACGGAAACCTTACGTAACAGACCCTTATTTTACGTAATGAATATTAACCTTTCGTTACGTAATCTGTCAAATCATGCAGGTCAAAAGGTTCAAGTTATAGTAACTTCAATGCATGGTAGGAGTCCCTCAAATATAACCTATTTTATTGGCTAAATATATTAAATGGTAATAATTTGGGTCTAATACGTCATTTATTTTAATCTTCGTAATAAATATTGCATACATGTATTTAGTTTTAGCTTAGTAGAATTTATAAATTATAAATAAAAATTAAATTATGAATATAATGTAGTAAATTATGGAGCTTTCTAAGTCATACATGCCAAAATTTTCTTAACAAACTTCATTATTTAAGTTAGGATTTGGAACTTCCTCCTCATCTCACTCACAACAACAACAAAAAAAGAGAAGCTACTATTACGTTGAACTCCAAAATTCATAGAAACAAGGGAGCGGTTACGGTGCTAATTGTACAATAGTTAGCACCGTCCTAACCAAGGGAAAAACTACTACTAGTTTGAATTAGTAGTGATTTAGCTTAAGTGTTGTATTGATTTTATAATAATCCGTAGTGATTTCGTTATTTTTAGTAGCGTTTTTTGCTAGTTATCACGGTGCTAACCCTTATAGGGTTAGCACCTAATCCCATCCCTAGAAACAACCTAAAGAAACTGATGGACAGACAAAGAGAGAGAGATTACAACTAATATGTGGGCTCTTAACACAAATAAGTTTGTATGTGCTTTCTCCACCAACAAATCTAGGAAGAGGACGGGAGAGAAAAAGAAAGAACTTGACTAGTATCTCTAAGTTAGGAAACTTCTAAAAATGACAGGAAAAACATTAACCACAACTTTATAAAACCCTTCTCATTTCCTCTCCCAAATTTTATTGTGAGTACACATTTTCTTTCTAGCGCAAGAACTCGAAGTCCCCCTCTCTCTTTTTAAAATTTTTTTCTTTTCCCTTCTTTGCTTTACCCTTTTCATTTTCCTTTGCCATTTTTTGGAAAGCTAATAATTCTTTCCAAGAAATAGCATAATCAACCATGGGCAAGTACATGGAGATCTTAGACGTCGGTGTCAGGATGGTCGCGAGATTTCACTCTCATTGTCCTCAGACTGCTCGGTTGTACTACCACCCGCCCATTGATAACCATCACGAGCAAGATCGAATCAGTGTCGATTCTTTTGGAGGAGCGACCATTAACAATGCGTGTGTAGCCCCATCAAGTTCTAGTGTTGCATCCAATGGGGCACATAATATTGTTCTGGATGTCAAAGAGTTTGTTTTCCATTGTCCTATTTAATTGGAAGGAAAATGAGGGTAAAAGTGAAAATTGGGAAAAGGAAAATGGAAAAAGGGTGAAAAGAGGAGTTCAATATGTATAATTACTTTTTTTCATATATTATTGGAATATTTTTTTGAAGTGTATGCGTTAGAAAACTTTTTTAAATATTTTACAATGTAGGATTTATATTTTAAATATTTAGTAATTAATCCAATGATACTATTCACAATTATATTTTAATGTGATATAACTATCATGTTATCCATGTTTGATTGTGTATTGCAGATTTTAGAAAATTAATAGGGCTAATTTTACTAGATCATCCCAATTATCAAATAAATGTCATTTATATCATCGAGTATTCAATATGACAATGCTAGCACAAACTTTTTTTTTTTGTTTGGGTTGACCATCAATAGTTAATGATCAAGGAGTTAATCGGTGATGTGTTAGTTGGCATTGTTTTAAAAGTGATGATGTGGTCGTGAGATGCAATTATATTCACATATGATTTAAAATAAAGAGAATTTTATTTATAAAAAATAATTTGAAGTCGGTCTTGGCAAAAGGGAGGGGATGGGATAGCGTCACTTCCCCTATGAGGGTTGTGATTTTCGCTTTCCCCTTCTAAGCCGTAGATTCTCCTTCTGCATCCAATGGTTCAGAAAACAACAATGGCTTTGGTGTAATTAAGTTATTGGAGTGAATTTGAAAATAAAAAATAAATGGAAGGGGAAAATATCATGCAGCGTGATTTGTGGGATAGATTACCACTAACCATAACCGCCCGCATCTCTTCCCTTTCCATTCTCAGATTTTTTTCCTTCCATAATCGCTTGCGTCACTTCGCTGAAAATACCGAGTCGGTGCCACCGGTATACAATGGACAGCTACATGAGCCACGTCGATGGCATATATGGGGTGGGAGCTGAATAACCTTGTTTCATTGGGTTCAAAGCTTCAAACCAAATGTCCCATACACAAGAAAAGACGATGTGGTAGTTGAAGTGGCGGAGAATGGTGGTGATGTTTTCATGCTTGATGATGCCGACGATTTGGACATCGACGACCTGCTCAATGAAGATATGGTGCAACTAAGGAGATGTTCATCATCGATGATGGTACCCTCCTTCTCTTCTATGTATAGCTAGTTCGAAATTGAGTGTTCTGAGAATGTTAACTGGTTTATCTGAGTATGTATTGATGTTATGATTTCATATGATCCTTGTGTTTATGCATATGAATTTTGATGTTTATGATCTATGCATGGATGCTTTGGTTTCGATGCTTACGTGATGAACATAATTATTTATCCAATATTAACGCTTTCTTATCATTGATTCTTATTATTCTATAGTGTGCTACTATATACATTGTGCTTAGTATCATTTAGGTTGTTAAGAAATTACTCTATATTGATACCTCATTCATGCTACACGAGTATAGAGGGAATGATCAATCATTTTGTCTCGAGTAGTATCAATGTTTGATGTTAGATCATTAATTATATAGACCATCGATAATGGCTCAAGAGGCCCACGCTTCTCTGCTCTTCATTGAGTAAGTGATGGCATGAAGTGAAAACACGCATTAGCTAGTCAAGTTCCTATTGCATGTGGCAAAAGCTTGAGTATGATGGTCTTAATAACTCATTTTGAGTTATTTGGGTGCAATAACCCGTTTGTCTACAAAAGTTGGTAATGAGTTATTTGTACTTGAGTTAATTTGAAATAACTCATTAATGAGTTAATTTGTCTACAAAAGTTGGTAATGAGTTATTTGTACTTGAGTTAATTTGAAATAACTCATTAATGAGTTATTGTCAATACCTCACAAGGGTAGTTATTGTGAAATAACTCACAAATACCACATTCTCATTTTGTGAGGAATTCCACTTTTATATTAACTCGTTACACAACAACTCATCCAAACGACCCCTTAGTATGAGTATTGATATATGTAATAGTACTAAAGTGTACTTTCTTGTTCAATAACGTATCTTTACTTCCCCAAACAATTTTACTCTTCTTACTTTGTGTCACTTTGCTTGGTTTACTTGAATAAAAATTCCAAGTCTTTATTATTCCTATACGAGCATAGATGATTCCAAGTCTTTATTATTCCTATACGAGCATAGATGATATGGTGTGAGTAGTTATGCATTAGAAGATCTTGTGAAATACTACCCTAGAACATCCTATGATGTGAGTAGTATTATTGTTATTATTATTATTATTGTTATTAGTTATAGTTGGGAATTGGGCTGCATAATTAGGTTTTAGTGTGGTTGATGGCCAGGTTTAGCTAATTAAGTATAGGTTTGTTTATTAGTATTTCGATTTATTTCCTACATATATATGTACTTCACATATGTAATCATTAATCAAGAAAAGTGTTATCAAAATATGTTGTCTAAACCCTATTCTTCTCATCTCTCTTTTCTCTCTATTCAGGCCGCTGGCCATCTATCTTCTTCTTCCCCAATTCTTCTAATCTCTAAATCCCAATTATGTTATTCCAATCACAATTTTCCATTCTATTTGAAACCCTAAATACTCATACGTCTTTCACAATATATACTGATCCCTTAATATTCAGACCAACAGGGACTACCAGTTAGTTCATACAAGTCGACTACAGTTTGCATACAGGTACAGATTGTTTCAATTGTTCATCAAAAAGCATTCAAAGCATAACAAAAGAAAGAAAGACGCTTGGAATTGGAGGGAGGCCACCATAATAGAACTCATTCCCAAGCTTATTGACAGGCTGCATCTAAAGCACATCAAAAGAACTTTTTCTCCTTCAAGCTTTCGACTGTATCTTTTAAGCTAACCTCAAGAGGAGTGTATTTGATACCTAGGGCTTCGACTCTCTGTTTGGAAACCTGATATTTCGGCATTGGAGGCTTGTCATCTGCGCATCTGCCATGAATCAAACATTGAAACACATCAGTTCCAAAGCCCAATAAAGAAGAAAAAAACACAAATGCACATCAACAATCATAAAAAAAAAAAAAGTGGAAATTGGCAAGTTCTTGTCTCAACCAAAAAAGATCAAGTATTATCCTAACTACATATCCTGCAGAAAACAAAGGAAATTACTCTTGAGGGATCTTAAGGTCTGGGAAAAGCCCATGTAAAGTCGCCACAACTTCAGAAGAGTGAACAACTGCTCCAACTAAACAGTATCTCCCACTAGCCGAGGGATTCTCAAACGCGCAAATATGTGCATATGCAACATCTCTAACATCAACCCACCGGTAGGTTGTATTTGGATACTTCTCTGACCCTGCGACAAGATAATCCAAGTTTTACACGAGATCATGTATAGGAATAAGATCAAAATGGAAGAGGGCACAAACCACAAATATGAATAAACAGCTATCCCAACACTAGAGATTAGGTAATACTTTTTTTCTTATGGAAGAGATTAGTTAATACTTAAATGTAATTGGAACGACAGCAAAATCTGATGTTGTCGTGTACAAACATTTTAAAGCCTTGGGAAAAGGCATGAATTACCATTAGAATTACTACAACCAAATAAAACAACTTAGGTCCTTCTTCATGTATGAACTCATAAGCAATGACTTGGCAAAAGATGATTACCCTTCACAAGGTTGAGAATTGACTCTGCACTTGTGTTCAGAGTGGGTTGTAAGAGAGGACCGATTACCAAACCCGGATTTAATGAAACCATGTCGAATCCAACCTCTTTTGTGAACTTCCAAGCTAGTTCTTCAGCCAATGTTTTGGAGAGCATGTACCAAAGCTGGTACAGAAATAAACCACTGGTCAACATAGGGCAGACACACAAACTTCCAACCATATCCACAAAGAAATGGGACAATGATGTCACCATCTGTGTCATATATCGCATCAAAACGAGAGATAGCATACAGACATGGAAGCATCCGTGTACCTTTGATTTTTCACAAAACTGGGCATCTGAAAACCAAGTCTCATCAACAACCACATCAGGAGCGAGAGTTCTGCCATTGAACACAACTGCTGCCATGGATGAGGTGATGACCACTCTCTTGATGGACGGAACTTTCATACATGATCTGAGCACATTAAGAGTTCCCTTCACAGCAGGGTCAACAAGTTCAACCTAAAATTAACGAAACATAAAACATCACCGAGAAGAAAACAGCGAGGGATCTTCGAAACATGGGAGAAAAGCATTAACATTGTTGGACTCAAGTACTACGCTCACAATGTCGCAAGGTAATTGGAGATGCTTCAAGAAAGAGAAAGTACCTGGGGATCAGTCACATTGAAATAAAATGGGGATGCTGTGTGGAAAACACATTCGCATTCCTCGACAATAGGATCAAACGAGCCTTCATCCAGCAAATTAGCCTTGAACAGCTTCAGTCTTTCCTTGGCCCCATCAAGTGCAAGCAAATGTTGGGTCTTCTTGGCATCATCTGCAACAAACAAAGACTTCAAATCCATGACCATAACTACCTGCAAATAGCTAGGGTTCTTAATTTTTTAATCTCTTTCGTGCCACCAAAATGGGGGGATAAGAACTAGCTCCCTAACTAGCTCACTTTCATCAACATTCCAAGGAAGTTATATTCCGCCTTAACAAAACTTTGTCCGCAACCATACAATCAAGTTGAAGAGAAGCAAAGTCACGTGTAGCAATTCAAAGCAGAAGTTTGATTGACCACAATCATAGAGCGACAGAAAAAACTCGACTTTGACCTCACATGATAAATACCGAAGAAAAAGTTCGCTGGAGAAAAAAGGATGAATCAGCTGAAGATGAAGCTCCAAATTGCCAAACAAATTACAGCAAACAAAGAAGAAAAGAGTGATTCTCTCTTGTTCAAGACTCACTTGGGTCACGCACCGAAGCTTTCACAGTGTATCCACGTTGAAGCAGTAACTTCACCAGCCATGAAGCGATGTAACCCGAAGCTCCAGTTACACAGACCACCTTCCCTTCTCCGCTCATCGTTTTCACCCTTTCAGACTTACAAGAGTCGAGACAGTTCAATGTCCGGACAGGATCGGCCGAGTCTCCGACAAGTCGATTTCAAGGGAGAAAGAAATTGGATGAGAAGAGAAAATGAGACGAGAAGGAAAGAGAAGAACGGTAAGATACCGAGAAAGAGGGAGAGAGAGATAATTGATTTTAATATTAACAGCGAACATGTGATTATTATATTATTTTTAATTAATTTTTTATTGTTACAATGTACTCAATAACAAAATAGTATATAACATAATGAGCGTTACACTTTAAATACTAAAAAAAATTCATGATGTTTCGAGTGCGGAGCACAAAGTTATGGTCATCCAAAATTTGGCGAAATAACGAAAAAGTTCGTTCGGAGTAGCAAACGACGATTTTTCGAGACGAAGGCGGGACCAAACCGCCTGTGACTTGCAAGATCTCGAAAAATTATGCGGAATAAAAAAAAAATTCGCTAGGATCATATACCCGAGCTTAAAGTTAAGTTTGTTTGGAAAATTGAAAAAGCATTAACATATAATAAAACAGAAAGGGAAATTAAAAAAGCATCCATCCACTAGGCTATCTAGATTTATTGTTTTGTATACGCGAAAAAACACATAACAAGCGTCCATCCACTAGACTATCTAGATTTATTGTTTTGTATTAGCGGGAAAAAAAATTATATACATACAAACAGTAGGGGGCATGCGGTTTGTATGTGAACTGCTGCTTCCCGACGCGCTTTATCATACCGCTCCCTCCCAATGCGATTTTCATCAAAAATCGCGCCCTCACCAAGTGGTTTTCGGAAAATGTGGTATTTTTGAAAATTTTCGAGAATGAGTGGTATTTTTGGAATTTTTTTCTTTTTAGTGGTATTTCTGGGGGAAAAAATCCGGTTTTAGACGAACATTGTAACATCCTGAACCTTTTCCCGATGAAGATATTGTCTGCTTTGGGCCTCGATCCTCACGATTTCCGACTTGGGGTGCAATTCAAGGTGACTTCTCATAAGGTCACCCATCCTTGTTGTGCTCCACAATGAGCACGTTTAACTTTGAAGTTCTCATAAGAACTCCTCCATTTCACCCCAAAACGCATCTTGTCATTTAAGGTCGATTTCTTACTTATGAACCATGGATCTCTCCCGTGCTTTGTCTATGTGGGATTCACTAAAGGTGTTACATATAAAATAGTATCGTGACATGTGCTGTGAGATACGAACTCGCGCGGGGAACCCCCACTTACTTAGTAGGCAAGCGCCTTAACCACTCGGCCAAAGTTATGTTTGTTATAATGCTCTTTCATCATTCAAGTGACCAAGGTTCGATCTCCAATGATAACATTTCATTTGTAACATCCCGAACCTTTTCTCGACGAAGATATTGTCCGCTTTGGGTCTCGACCCTCACGGTTTTCGACTTGGATGCAATTCAAGGTGATTTCCCATAAGGTCAACCATCCTTGTTGTGCTCCACACTGAACACGTTTAACTTCGGAGTTCTCACAAGAACTCCTTCATTTCACCCCAAAACGCGTCTTGTCATTTAAGGTCGGTTTCTTATTTATGAATCTCTCTCGTACTTTATCAATGTGGGATTCGCCTAAGGTGTTACATACCCCCCCTCCCCCTTGGGACTCAACGTCCTCGTTGAGGTTTTCCCCACCATTGTTCAAGAGGGACGTGGGAGATCCATGGTTCACAAGTAAGAAACCGACCTTAAATGATAAGACGCGTTTTGGGGTGAAATGGAGTTCTTGTGAGAACTCCGAAGTTAAACGTGCTCAGTGTGAAGCACAACAAGGATGGGCGACCTTATGGAAAGTCACTTTGAATTGCACTCCAAGTCGGAAATCGTGAGAATCGAGGCCCAAAGCGGACAATATCTTCGTCGGGAAAATGTTCGGGATGTTACAAATGTTAAGTAAAATTGAAGCAAAGAATGGGCACCACAAGTGTGGGTAGGGCTGGAAGTTTGGTACCGGTATTTGGGATATACCGAATACCGTACCGAATTTGTCTATATTTGGTATTACCGAATACACGTATTATTTCTTTGGATTGGGATTGGGATTGGGATTGAGATTCAATTTCAATTGTTATTCGGTATTAGGGATTATGGGATTGGGATCGGTATATACCGAAATATCGAACAATACCGAAAATAAAAATAGTGCAGATTTTATCCTCTCAACTAGACTCTCTCATTTACTACTACACAACCCTCAACCACCAAGAGTGTCATTTAGTTATACATAGATCATTTCATCACTACTTCGCAACTTAGAGAAGTTCTCATCCAACTCAATTTTGACTTTCCAATTTAAGCCACTCTCGTCTCTCACTAATCTCTTGTTATTTTCATAACACCAAAAAGCATACACTAGTATTAGTCATCTCTCAGCATCCGATTGGTCAAATTAAAGCTTACCAATGAAAGAACTTGAGATGTCACCTCTCCACCATTCTCCTTATCGATATCCTAGCTGTAGGAAAATTCAAAACTCTTTGCTTAGTTTCTTTACCCTATATTAAACAATCTAATCTAATTTCTTATTTAATTATTAATTACAAAAGTAATTAATTTCGTATTCGATAATACCGATTGGGATACCAAAATATTTAGAGATTGAGATTGAGATACCGAAATTATTTAGGGATTAAGATTGATTTTAGGGTGTAATTCAGTATTCGGGATTTCGGTATTTGGTATTGGATACCGTATCAACTTCCACCCTAAGTGTGGGAGAGGAACTGAAAGGGATTTCCACCCCTAAGTGTGGGAGAGGAACTAAAAGGGAGTTCACGATCTCCAAGCAATGCTTAAAGCTGCTGCCTTTTCGGAAAAATGAAGCTCTTTACAAGAGAGCTATTGCAAGAGATGCTCGATTTTTAGAATGCCAACAGCATTCCGGTCTCTCGATTCTGTAGCAGCCATATCTGGACAAGTTGCAATAGAGAAAGGTGAACGAAATCAATTCATATTTCATGGTCCAATGAGAGGAACTGCATCATATTGAATAAATTCAATAGGCAAGAGGAACAAAAACAAAAACATGTGCCTAGAGTTTGAAGATGAGACTACAACATCCAGAGGAAAGAGCAACATACTTCAGATGAAGCTGTTGTCTTTGATTAGCTAAATAGAAGTCTCCGAGAAGAATGGAAGTTGATACTAATGATTCATCCACATTGTTCATCCCTGTATTTCTAGTCCAACGTTGAAAAGATAGGAACATAGAAGGCTCCAAGTAACAAGTTCATTTCTACCAATGTTTCAATCCTTTCTAAGCTTGTTCCTGGTTTAGTAGGTAATTCTCTGTCGAGCTTCCGAAGTCCCTATGCTTCAGAAAGAAAATCAAGTCCTAAAGAAGCTGACTGGAAACCCCAAAAGCTTGAAAAGGTATCGCAAAAGAGCAGAGTCAGGTAGACTAAATCTACGAATCACGTACTCAGAGATTCAAAGACGGTACAATATATAACAACTTTAAAGACGGTATGTATCACCAAACAAGTCCTTCCTGGAGCCTCATTTCACCACCCAACTATTCCTTGTTCCCAGAGTTAGAGGCTTCTGCCTTGACAACACTGAGCTGACCACCTTCTTTGTTTGCCATAGTTGCTGCTTTCACCTCATTACATCGGTTAATGAACTTGGTCAGCTCCTGCCATTCATTCACATTACAAAAAAAATTAGTTTTTTTACATGCAGACAGAATGCAGAGCGGTCTAAGCGTGGAATCAGAACAACAAGGGGGATAGATAATGAACATTGGGGAAATAGAACGAAAAATTGGATAGTATAGTCATCGTCGACCATCTGGGAAAATAATCACCCAGTTCATCTCCGTAGGAACCAAAGGAGCTTTACAGCAATGAAAAATAGTTCCTTTTAAGACACCCTCCCTCCCATTTTCAAAGGCTGTGCAGCTGAGATTCCAATACTTTCTTTGCAGCATAATGAATAACCCAGCTCTAGTATTTCTCAAATCAAACCACCATATCCATATTTAACAACGTCAAATGAAAACCAAAAAAATCCACTGAATGATACTGAATCTAACTGTAGCAATCAAAACATTAATCATAAAAAAAATTTCCCCCATACCCGCACAATGTGGGCAAGCCAACAATTAACATTCCGGCAGGCAGGCCCTGCTTGTTTGAAGCGGATACAGGAACAATTATAGCGTCAGCTCATACTCAACGTCTACTTTCAGTAATCAGACGGCGGTAATCAGTTTATTGACGCAAAATTGAAATGGCCAAGCAAGTTGCCAAAAAAAAAAAAAAAAAGACGGGATGAACTCAGGGCTGTGATGCGACTTACTCTGTCCGCATCCATCTCCGACGTCATCTTTGACGGCTTCACAACTCTCTTTCCTGCAGAAGAAAAAACCCTATCGAAGAGATGAGAAATCCCCACACTTTTAACGGATAGTCTGGGGAACGAAGATAATCAATTAGGTTGAAATAAAACGGAAAGCGAACCTTTGCGATTCTTTGGAGCCTTGCCATGGCGGCTGGGAGGAATGGTTTTCTTCTTCTGTTGGCCTTTGAAGAGGCCAGCCTTTTGAGTCATTATCCTACTCTCGGAGCGAATGGTTAGGGTTTACCACTGCAGTTTCTTGGCGTCTGTTCTAATTCTATGGTGATATCTAGGGTTTGGGGCTGCGGCTTACCCTGTCCGGGTTCGGACTTCGGAGACGAGCACTACCTGTTAATATATAAGTTTTTTTTTGGGAACATCGAGGGTAAATTGCAAGTTTGGTCACTGGATTATTAAATGTTTAAGCGTTTGCTATTAAAAATATTTTATTCTATTTGTGATATTTTGGTTATTGGATGTTATATTTCATCACTCTCCGTTAATAGTGTCATCTTTTTGTCAACGTGGCTAATGAAAATGCATAATCACCTAATTTTAACCCAAAAAATTAAAATTCGACTCGCAACTTCATAAAAACCAACCAAATCAAATACCCCTAACCCAACCTATAACATAATAACCCAAGGACATTCATTTCTCTTATCATCCTATCGCTAACGTTTTCTAAAGCTACTCTAATTTCATCTCATTGGCATCCCTCTTTCCGTAGTTCTCATATTCGCTCACACAACCTACTCCGAGATTCGTCGATGTAGAACCCCGTCGTTTCTAGGGTTCCATTGTGTTTGTTTCTCCGCCGCTCGTGTTTCATAAGAAGATTTTCCCCCAACTTCTTTGCCGCCTGATTTCTAAGTAGGCGATGAATATAAGTGTTTACAAACAAATTAGAGTTCCGCATATGAAAGCTAGTAGTTGTGAGAGTGATTGTCACTACTAGCAACAAGGAATGTGCAACCGAAACCATTGCAAGTTTGCTCACAGCAGAGAACTATTAGGGATAAGATTTTAGCCGTGTAGTATTTAGTTACCTTGTCTATGTATAATTGTATTTTCTTCTCCTACTGATAAACATATAATCCAGTGAGTACAAATACTCTATACATCAATACAAACACACAAGTTCATAATCCTTACATGGTATCAGAGCCTCTTGTTTCACGACTTTGAATCCAGAACCCTAACCTGTTCGTGGGTCTCGGCAGCTTGGCGCCTACGATAAGCATCGATCCTCCTGCCCTTTGTTCTTGTGAGATCTATCATGTCTGACTCCAGCTATATCATGTCTGGAAACCCTTCTGGTGATCAACCTCCCTCATTGGCCACCATCAATCCTGCAGCTAGCCTTCCTCTGAAACTCACGCCCACCAATTTTCCATCGTGGTGTGTGCAGCTGTTGTCTCTTCTACAAGGCCTAGACCTTGTCAGCTACCTTAATGGCTCGACTGTCCCACCCACCGAGAAGATTCAGGTCGATGGCGCTGAAGTCCCAAACCTAGCCTACATTAATTGGTTTTGCCAGGATAAGCTCCTCTTCAACAGTCTTCTCGCCTCGGTGTCTGAAGGAGTCAACCCTTTCATCACTGCAGCTCCCACTATGGCCAGTGCTTGGAAAACCCTAGTTTGGATGTATGCCAACTCTTCTCGCTCACGCATCATGACTCTCTGTGACCGTCTCTTAGCGGAGAAGAAAGGCGATCGTGACGTCTCAGCCTTTGTTCAATCCCTTCGCTCTACAACAACTGAGATGGTGATTGTTGTCATGGTCATTCATGATGATGAACTCGTCTCCCTCTATCTTTGTGGCCTCAACGATGACTACACTGAGTTTGTTATTGGCGTTAGGGCACGAGAGACTCCTCCCACGATTGAAGACCTACTTGACCGCCCCTTGTCTTTGGAAGCTGACATCAAGGCTCGACGTACCTCTCACATGTCCCTCGTGACTGCCTACAACACTCAACGCGATAGTGGTGGCCGTCATGGTGTCGGTCATGGAAGGGGGCAGCGGTTGAGGATCTTCCTTCTGTTACAACGACTCCACTATTGCCTGGATTTTTCTCGATCGCATGATGAAGGAGAATCTCGTTGCCCCTCCGTGTTGAATGCCAATAGTGTGAAAAACGGACATACCGCAAAACAATGCTTTCAACTTCACCATTAGACAGACACTCAGGCTCATCACACCTAATCCATCTCCTCGACGCGTGATGGCTCATGGCTGATGGACTCGACTGCTACTCATCGCGTGACTAATGAACTCGATAACCTTGCTATCTACTATGACTATAATGGTCGAAACAAGGTCTATCTTGGTGATGGCTCAGGTTTCCGCATCACCCACATTGGTTCTCCTCCTTATCTTCCTATGTTAGATCTCTTGCTCTCAAAGATGTCTTATATGTTCCTGCCATCAAGTAGTGGTAAATATATGTTGCTAAACTTTGTTGCACTAACCCCATCTCGGTTTAATTCTTCTCTAGGTTTTTTCTTGTGAATGACCTCTGCACGAGGGTGTCGCTCCTGAGAGGAAGAAACAAGGGTGATACTTACGAACTTCGCGGAGGAGCCTTAGTTGTTCGCTTGCCGTTGGTGACCACTCGAAATTCTGCGTAGTCATGTCATCAACGTCTCGACCACCCCTCACCCAGGGTCAAATACCCGGTCGGACACTAAAATTACCCGGATGGGTTTTTAATGCCACTGCCCGGGGTTGCTTCTGCCTGTGATCCCCGGTCCACTTTTCAATTCCCCGATCAGGTAATTACTTCCCTCCAGCTAGGGGTCTTGTGCGGCAAAATTGCATTAGTCCTTCCCCGTTGGAAAAGCTTTGCCTCTAAAGCACGAGTGTTCCTGCAAGAGAAAACATCACCAAAACTTCCAAACGAAATCCTCCTTAGTGAAGTTAACATGTGTCTTCGAACAAGAAGATGCGTTCCACCTCTGTCTTCTAACTTCATTCCTGACTTGGATGACTGGGGTCGCGTTCCTAGCAGCTGGCTTGTAACCTTCTTGCTTAATGAGATTCATGGTAGCCTCATGAATGTTTTTTGCAATAGTTTTGGACGAAGGTGGATACGTTTTTCCCGAGCTCATCTTCAGCTGCCTCTCCATCTTCATGGCCAAATGCACCATGACTCTCTAAAAAACAACACCAAACTACGACCAAGTGTAATGGTAGAATGGAAATACTGTATAGTGAGACAAGTAATAAAAGTCAACCCGGGACCTAGATGTACTGCCTACTCCGTGATTATTTATTATCTAGCGGGAAAGGTAGAGTGTAGGTGGATTTAAACTAAAGCAAAAAAAAGCAGCAAGTTGTTCAATTTACTTAAGCAATAGAAGAGTCACTTGGGATTGAGTCCCCCTAGCTCCTCAGTTAGGTTCAAGTTGTAATTCCTTTGGTTGTTTTTACTGTTGATTAGACCGCGGAAGATCCAAAAATAGCTTGGAATCTCTTAAACTGACCAAGCCCTCTTTGACAGAATACCCGACAGGCACCTAGCCTTCACCGGTATAGATTGTTAAGGCCATTCACATAGATCTTCTCTACTTGGAACGAATTCCAGTACAAAGTAGTGAATTGTCTGACTCTCGTACAATTAATTCACTACTATTAATTGAAGACGCTCTTATAACCTAATAAGATTCTATCTATCCTAGGTTAAAGCAGAAATCAAGAGAATTTGATCAGTATCCAATTGACTCAATAAACCTGCCTCAATCGCTTAAAATCATCCAGTATAGCATCAAAATGTCATTACAATCAAGATTCCTAACACATGGAACTAGGGTCTTCATACCCAAGTGAGAGAAAGGTTTACTCCATATATATATAGAGAGAGAGAGAGGAAAACATAAATTAAAGCAGTCATACTCATACTAATGTGTATAATCTACTATAGGATGTCGATCTTCACCCCTTGGGATGCAATATGGGCTTCAATGGTGAGAAATCCACTTCAAATAGCTCTAAGGGTTTGTTCTTCGTCACTTTCTCTCTCTAGAACTCTGTTTTTGCTCAGAAAACTCAAATTCCCTTCCAAAAACCCAAAATTGGGTTAAAACCCAGCTTTGCTCGATTACACGGCCAACACACGACCGTGTGAATCTCGTGTCTGCTCGTGTAACTCCAAAACACCGTGATCCACTTAATTGGTCAAAGGGGGCCACCTTTCTCTCTCTACCACTTAGTTGTTGGTAGTAAGTAGAAACTCAGAGCAGAATTCAAGAATCATAAAATGAGCCGCAAATCGAAAAAAAATCAAGCCATATCGAAACTGTGGGGAGAGGGGTAAGCTATTAAGGTGCATAATGGTATTTTAGTTTATATGTGGTAGAATACCACATGTTAAATAACTCGTTTGGACTCTTCAGCCAAACGAGTTATTTGAAATCAATTAACACACAAATACCACAATCATAAATAATGAGTTATTTTGTACCAAATACCACACCTCAACAAATAATCCGTCCAAGCGCCCCCAAAGTGTTATGCACTCTATTTATGGACCAATATGATGACATGAGTAGGGCTAGAAGTTTGGTACCGGTATTTGAGATATACCGAATATCATACCGAATTTATCACTATTTGGTATTACCGAATACCGAGTTATTTTTTAGGGATTGAGATTCATTTTGGAGTGTTATTTGGTATTCGGGATTGAGATAGTTATATACCAAAATACTGAGAAACAACAAAAATTGAAAATTAATGAAATATAGCACACTAACCTTTGGTCATTCTTTACTCTTCCACATTTCACAAGCCCCCATCCAACTCAATTTTGGCTTTTCAATTTAAGTCACTCTCGTTTCTCACTAATCTCTTGTTATTTTCATTGCTAAAAAAGCAAACACTAGTATTAGTCATCTGTCAACTTCGAATCCGTCGAATTAAAGATAATCAATGACAAGAACTTGAAATGTCACCTCTCCTTCCTTCTCCGTATCCATGTCCTAACTCTATGCAAACTCAAGACCCTTTACCTAGTTTTTTGCCCTAAATTAGACAATCAAATATAATTTATATATTTAATTATTAATTACAAACATAATTAATTTCGTATTCAATAATACCAATTGCGATAACGAAATAATTGGGGATTGAGATTGGAATACCAAAATTATTTAGTATTGAAATTAAAATTAATTTTAACGTGTACTTTAATATTCAAAATTTTGATATTTGAAAACAGAATACCAATACTGAACCGATTTTCAACATATGCACGAGTAATCCGCGTGTTTGGTAGACCGTGAATTTCTATTTGAAATTTTTTTGGGTGTGATTTTCTATTTGAATTTAATTTAATTATTAGTATTTCTGGAACTGCCTGCTATCCACAAACTCGGTTCGGCGTCGGCCTAAGAGTAAGAGTTGCCTCTTATCTCCATTTCCAAGTTCTTATGGATAGACTCCCATAAATATCAATCCAGAAAAGAAACTCGTTCTCCCTCCGTCCCTCCCCAATCGACTGAGTCGAGAGCCTCTAATCACACGGAAGAACAGAAGGACGCACAAACAGGATAAAGCAAATCCCTTGGACAAGAAATAGGAAATGGCTACAACATGTAGCACGCGAGCATCATCTCTGATGTTAACCTACGCCACCTCTGCCACGCACCCACAAGATCTCAGTCAATCCCTTATCTGTTTCAAGCCCAAAGCTCCGTCTTTCTACTCCTTGGCTTTGAATTCTTGTGCGGTCGGGGAGAGAACATCAGGCAAATGGGTCAATTTCGATGCTCGCAGAGACACCAAGTTTGGAGGTTTCCGAGTGGTTGTGGCTGCTGTGGCCGCGGAGGCGGAGGTGGCTGACGGAGCGGTGGCAGAAGCTGAGGTGGCGGGAGAGGGAACTGGTGGTGTGCCCAATGCCACTGTAGCTACTACGAAGCCCAAGACCGGAAAGGCTGCATTGCCTTTGAAGAGAGACAGAGTAGGATCCTGTTTACCTTGATATTTCGTCTGCGGATGTTGTTGAATCTTGGTTCCCTATGCCAAAAGAATCCTCCCTGACGTGTGGAAATTCTTGGAATTTGAGTTGTGATCATCAGCTGGAGTTACTCTCTGGTTTTGATATATAATTGGGTTTGGTTACGTTCGTGGATTAGCTTTAGTTGCTACTAGAAGTTCTTCCAGCTGTGGGAGAAGGTTTCAGCTGATATATTTTTTGTTTGTGTCTTCCGTTTGATGGTTTAGTCTGTGATGTGATTTGAGATGTTTTCTTGAAGAGGGTTGCAACTTCGGGGTCGTTCAAAGTTTTATCTTGTAATGACAGACTGGTTCAGTGAATTACATGGTCACGACTACACGTCTGTTGTCTGTGTAGGACTGCTTTCTTACCCACATCATGCTGCTTGTTTTATCAGAGTATTTGATTGTTGGGGTTAGAAGACGTTGCTGTTAAAACTGCTTTTCCACCTTAGACTTGAAATTTCTTGTTTAATCCAGTTAGTACTGATTGTGTGTTAAACCATCTACTTGGTGTACTTTTTTGTTGTTGTTGCTTTCAACATATGACATGACCCCCCTTTTGTTGGAAACTGCAGACAAGGTCTAAAAGGTTCTTGGAAATTCAGAAACTGAGGCAGAACAAACAGGAGTATGATGTAAAAACAGCAATATCTTTGCTGATGCAAATGACAAGCACAAAATTTGTAGAAACAGCCGAAGCGCATTTTCGGCTCAACATTGATCCAAAATACAATGATCAACAGCTAAGGGCAACAGTAAGTTTCATTCTCTCTGCTATTTTTTCTCTGGCTTTCAATATGAGTAAATATTGGGGCAGCCTGTAACTCCACTGTTCCTTTGCAGGTAAACTTGCCTAAAGGAACTGGACAGCCAGTGAAAGTTGCTGTCCTTACACAAGGTTGTTATTCCACACATCTCTATTAGTTATGCTGAAACTTAATGCTGTATTATTGGCTGTGATTTGTCTTTATCAGAGGTTCCTAAGAACTATTGGATTGGACAGTTAAGGAGAGAATGGTCAAGAAATGGATCAGCTATGTTCATCAATAACATATTCTTGACAATAGTGCTCTCTGGCTTTCCTTGTGATGTTATGGACTGAGTTATCATGTGATGCATTTCAGTTTTGCTTCTTCGCTATCAAGGTTTATTTATCGATTCCTTACTTCAATTCTGCTGGCCAGGTGATGTTAGTTGGTCTATGTTATCTAATTTGCTTTTTGAGGTAATGCAAAATTAGTTTCTTGCTGCCATAGCCCTTATTTGGAGATGGATAGCCCTTTAATGGGACCAGAAATTACGCTGAGTACTGATCCAAGTTAAGGGCTACAGAGATGAGTGTTGTTGTAGGAAAGGAAAATAATGGCTTCACATGTGGCAAGCTGGAAAATTCTAGATAACTAGCTTTCAAGTTGCAGAATTTTTTAATTTTGATTTTTTAAACAGAGAAACATATCATTCTAGGTGTCACTAACTGATGATGCTTTTTTGAGAGCATATGGAGCAATTTCCTACCATACTAAGCATCGCTGGCAGTCAGATTTAGAGCATTTTAATGCTGTCTTGTTTATGATGACACACAATTCTGACCTGAGGACATTGTGGTTCTCGAAGAGCGTGATGACGGGTTGCTAATTCCAATACTCTCAATACTTAGTAGGGTGAGGGATGATTTGGATATCTTACAAGCAATCCTCAAGGCGTGTCTTTGAAATGGATGAGTATACCTATAGCAGTTATTCAGGGTTGCGAACCTGTCATTTTCTAGCAATGGTGATGATAAGTGTGGCAGGATGGGGGTGGTGAAGAAACTCCAGTGTCTGGTTATTAGTGCAATGGCGACTTGTACGAGAAGCTTTGTCCTAGCTGCATAGTTTTGGAAATTGGAATGCTTGATGCCTTCTGTCTTGGACCTGGAAACTGTCCTTGATTCTTTATGCGCTTCAACGTCCATACCCCAGATAAAGTGATAAGCTAAAGCAATTTGTTTCTGTGGCACTCATACGTGTAACTTAAACTGTCTGCAGGTGAGAAGTTCGACGAAGCAAAAAATGCAGGAGCAGATTTGGTTGGCGGGGAAGATCTGATAGAACAAATCAAGGGAGGATTCATGGAATTTGACAAATTGATAGCATCTCCAGATATGATGCCTAAGGTTTTAGTTACTTTATTCATTCAAGGATGATTATAGTTTACTTGCTGTTGTTAAATCTCGGCTGTTTTCTCAATTCACCTCTATGCGGTGTTATCTTGTCTTGTTCCCTATCATCGCTACTTGCATCAGGTTGCTAGCCTTGGTAGGATCCTGGGACCTAGAGGACTCATGCCAAACCCCAAAGCTGGTACTGTCAGCACCAATATACCTCAGGTACACTCGGCATCCACTTTTTCCTCAACAGACGACTCTTGTTCTTAGTATGCTTGTCCTTGGGTTCTGAACTATCATGCAACTCATTTGATTTTCATTTCTTAACTGGTGCAAATGGAAGATAAAAATAATAATTGGATAAAATCAATGTATCTGGTCGTGATTGTCAACTGGCGACTGGGTACATGTTGAACTTATCTGCTGTACTTTATTCAGGCAATAGCTGAATTCAAGAAGGGGAAAGTGGAATATCGAGCAGATAAAACCGGGATTGTTCACATACCATTTGGAAAAGCAGATTTCTCTGAAGATGACCTCCTTGTAAACTTGGTTTCTGCTATTGTAAGTCGCATGATCTCATCCTCATTCCCCCCACTTTCATGCAAGTATTTTCTCTTCATGGGTTGTCGAGGGGTTGACTTATTCTCTACGTCAACCATCTTTTTGCCAGAAATCTGTAGAAGCAAACAAGCCATCGGGTGCAAAAGGAGTGTACTGGAAGAGTGCTCACATATGCTCATCCATGGGTCCTTCCATCAGATTAAACATACGGGACATGCTTGATTACAAGCTTCCATCGAGTGTCTGATCACTGATGAACACCTGTAAATGGTGCGATCAAAACATCTCTTTATGGGGCTTGAGCTTTGCCAGTTAACGGTTGTTAGAGATGGCAGGTAGAAAAGTGAAGCGGCTAGGTAGGCAAAGCAAAGAAACAGTTCACAAAAGAAAGCGTCAGATTGGAGGCTGTTGTGTCTTCACTATGCAAGCTACTTGGTCGCTTTCAATCTGCCCCATAGGGAGAGAGCCTTGTGCCTGTTGCTAGTCATATAGGTTATCAGTACTTCATGCACTCCGATTCTTGTGTGATAAATCTTTGATCATGGCACTGTTTCTCATTTGTTGAATTATATCCCATGTTTCAAAAAAGGCTCATCTTACCTGCTGGTTATGGTTTATGTCGTTGCATATTTATGTTGAGTTCATAACTAAAGCTTTGCTGTTGTGCTCAGAATGGTAAAATACCTCACATTTGACAATTGGGGTGTACATATCACTTAAAGTTTAGAATAGGATGTTGGGTAAACTATCAATTGTTTTCCTATCAATTGGGACAGACATACCACTTAAATTAGAAATCATTCGAACTCACCACAAGCTCGCAGGGGCGGTGCTAGAATTTGAGTTTGGGGGGGGGGGGGGGGGGGGGGAGGTGAGGAGGGGGGAATTGTTGTGTCATAATAGCGCGATTAATTTGTTATCATAAAGGCACAAATATTATTAGAAATAATCAAATCACTCTAATCTAAAGTTTATACTATGTTATGTTTAATATAAACTAGAAAACTACGAATAAAAATAAATCATGCAATTCAATGTGTAGCATGTTTTTCCCCAATATTCCATGTTTGGAAAGTGACTGTCTATCTATCGTTGTAAAAAGATTGCTCCTTCATTTGCTAATCGTTCTCATGTACAACACATGATCTAGTTCCTCCTAAATTATTATTGAAAATTTTAATTAAATGTATGACCAAAAGACTAGTTCCTCTTCAATTATTGTTGAAAATTTTAAAAGAGAATGTCGCCTGGCATCCTGTTCTCGAGTGAGCTGGGAAGACACACCAGCAAACTAGTGCTCGAGGGCCGAGACTCGGATCTCAAGGGTACCCGAGGAAGAATAGGGGTCGGCTCCGGTTGATGATGATGATGCCCCGTGGTAGACTCGGCGGCGTGATGGTGCTATCCATGATGGCTCTGCCTCAAGTTCCTCCTCCACCACGGGTCGGAGCAAGGCAGAAGGTCTGATACCATCATTGTACTTGATGCCCCACTCAACTCGGACAAACCTCATATTCTGGAGTCTCCGCCAAGAAGATTTATGTTCGGCCCACCACTAGGAAGCGGGTTAGTGTGGGCATTCGGTCGGTTCGGTTCAAACCGAACTGAAATTATTCATACCGGGTCCCCGAATTCTATCAAACCTCAAACCGAATTCGAACCGAATTATAATTCGGTTCGGTCGGTTCAAACCGAATTATAATTCGGTTCGGTTTTTTATACAAAATCGAAATAGTGAGGTTAGCTTGTATTTTCTCTTTTTTAAATGATTTTTCACGCTAATGTAAACAATAAATATGTATCATCAATGATAAAATCAAACATTTCAACACATAAGTCATATGATTCAAATATTTAAGTCTCATAATAAGTAGAAACATAAAAATCCACCATTTAGAGCTTGCACTTATAATAATTCGGTTTTTCGGTTCGGAAATTCGGTTCGGTCGAAAGGACCCTGATTTCCGAAATATGCCCTTTTCTCTTTCGAATTCCGAACCGAATAACATTAATTCGATTTCGGTTCGGTTTATATTCGGTTCAGTTCGGTTAGGTTCGGTTTTACCGAATCGTATGCCCACCCCTAAAGCGGGTGGTGTCCATCCTGAAGTATCGGGCTAGTCTGGTGATGATGGTACCAAGGTGCATGGTGGAAACTCATGGTCGACCAATGGAGTAGAGTACCATCATCCCACTAAGAGTGACCTGACCACTAGCAAGGAGACTCGGTATTACAGAGTGAGTAAGCAGAATGTGGATAATTATCCACCGGGCCTGAACTAAGTCACCCTGATGTGAGATGCATAATATCAATGGTGTCTCTCATCCGGAAGGCAGATAACCTCATACAGCTACTGGGGATTAAAATTCCTAGTGTATGCCTTCCCCGACATCGTTATGATCCCGGTATGGAGACCCAGAGCTCCAGCCAAAGTGTCATAACCGATGGAATGATGGATTCCTCCCAACATGAACTACACAAATGGTGAGTTGAGTCGCCCCTTAGGTTGCTCATGCATGAACGTGGAGTAGAACTTCAAGTACAGCTCCTGGTAAATAAGCTCGTCAATGTTGAGAAGTATGCGCTACTGAGGATGGGAAACAACTGCAGAGATTTCCATTCAGCAGTGGAAGTGATCGAACATGTCCAAATCAAGGCGCCAATGGGGACCAACATCCACATTCTGCCATGATTTGTACTGGTCTCCGTAGACCGGATAATTCACCAACTGATGGATGTACGGGTGCATCAGATTAACCATCCTGCAAAAATTCCAAGCAAACATGCACCACACATGAAAACATTTATCATACAAAGCTCTACGGGGAGAAAATAAACTCCCCCGCACTTAAGTTCCAACATATTCAACATGCCTCTATAGGATTTTCACAAGGTCAAAGGGCCATTATTTAACCTCGAACATCCATAAGGCACACTAAGGCATGATAATAGGTGTTTCATAGATCATATAGGTTGCAATTGCAAGCCTAGATCATGCCTCGATGACCACAACCCATCATGCACAAAAGTGAATCAAGACATTCATTCAAAGAATGTTCTTGGTGGGCATTTTTCAATTCAAACACCAAATCAAGCCCACAAAGGCTCAATTATCTCAACAATCACGTCAAGCATTATTCAATCAACATAGTTCAACAAACCCCTCCCCCAATATCATCATTGAAGCAAAAGTTCACAAATCTCCCTACCTAAGAACTCTAGCTCTGATTTTCCAAAATTGACCAAGTAAAAGATGAAAACACACATGGAGACTAAAGTAGGATCGAAGAGGAAGATAGAGAAATGGCGAGGGTATAAAAAAATGCCGCAAAAGTGATCGACCAAGGTCGCTTGAGCTTTGCCTGAAACTCGTCAGAGCCTCGCCGAAAAAGATCGTCGGACTGAAAAACGAATCTTACCACAAGCTCGGCGAAGGTTCGCCTGGGCTAGGGAAGATTGGATATGTGCTTGGTTTCTAATTTGGAAGGCCGGAAGTAGATCGACTCGTTGAAAATTGACAGGGGCAACGCTTTCCAGTGAGCATTTCAAAGGATTCCGTCGGTTAATGTTCACTTGAAGAGGGAGGGATCACAGACTATTTATATATCCCGAGGTTCGAGATCAAATGCGGAGTCTTATTTTCACGGTCAGCTAACAACGGTAATAACTCGCTGGTCGTGATCTAGGCCGAAAACGGTGAGTTTTATGCCGATATCACAAGAGGTTTGATATCACGGGCTATTGACCGTGATAATCTCAAGCTGACCGTAATGTTTGCAAATCACGAGAAATGCATGGCGACATCACGGTCTGGGAAAAATTATCATGGTCGGCTGACCGTAATAATGTTACTAAAACCATGATATGTACCAAAAACAGGGCAAACCCATAGTTCTCAATACTCAATCGTATCAACCGTGCATCTAACTCAAACACGACACATTCAAATAGTCAAACACATAAACCATGACACGATGATCATTCAAAACTCACCCATTTGACTCAAACACTTAAACAGAAAGAGAAAATAAGGAAAAGAAATACGAACCTACGTTGGGTTGCCTCCCAACCAATGCTTGTTTAACGACCGCATCTCCTCATTTATCACATCATAATCAAATAAGAAGGAAATATGGATGCAATCGACGCTATTCAAACTATTATGCACATGAATTGATACGAAATAAACTTCAATAGGAAGGATAAATAACACCAATTTAGGTTTTATCAATTAAAAAAAATAAAGTGGGCTCGCTGGAATTTTTCCCTTGCTCCAACGACTTTGTAATATTTGTTCTTTTTGAATGTTTTTATGTTTGTCATTTTTGTCTACCATGTTTGTAAGTTTTTATTTTTGTATACCATGTTAGTAATGTTTATATGACTAAAAATAACCTGGTTGTTTTTTCTTAATGTATGGTTTGTAAATCCATTATGAATGGTTTGTCATTTTTGTCCATGTTTGTAATGTTGACTTTGGACAAAACTCCTTTATATATAAAACAGAGCCTCCAAAGTCGGTCAACTTGTTTCCATTTTGTATTGTTTGTTGGTCTAGTTTGTATAGTTTCTAAGTTTTGTATTGTTTGTATGTCTTGTTTTATATAGTTTATATAGTTTTATCATCGTGTTTGTATATACAAGGTAAAAAAAACTGGTAAAAAAAGGACAAATGAGAGAAAAATAAATTAAATAAAATTTGAAATAAAATCACTTTTTAATAATACCAAAAGTACCCCTATAACTAATTAAAAAATCATTCCTACTTTTTAACCGTTAAATTAGTGTATGTAGATATAAAGGCGAGGAGGGGCTTAGTCAAGTGGCTAAGAACCTCCTCCTTAGTCACTTGATCTGGACTCTGTAAGGACCTCGCCAAAACCGACAAGTGGCGACACAGATCATGCGAGGACGAAGGCCTCCACGAGGATCTGCTGCGACAAGGGACGACGATCATATGTCATCCACCCAACCAACCGAACAAACCATTGCACTATCTAACTTTCGGTATCATTGGACGATAGTATTAAAAAACTCATACGATAACCAATAAGCAAAAAACTCATACAGATAACCGCCGATAAGCCTTATCAGTTAACCGCTCTTATCGGTTCGGTTAGCGGTTAGTTTGACGATCAACCAATAATCACTAACATACGTTCCAATAAGTACGAATATACCTAATCAAACCAAATATCAAACAAATAACTTCTATTTTCTTTCACAAAATATCATAAAGTGAAGCAATAACCACTTGCAATTCACAAATCATCATCCAATTAAGTTTAAAAAGTATCAGTTAATCCTAACTACTTGTCCAACAATTTAACTACACTTCTACATTATTAACAGAGAATACTATCAATAAGAAATAACATCAATAAAACATCCATCGTGAATTCATAACTAGGTTCAAGAAAGCGCTAGGCGTAAGGCGGGCGTTGAGGCTTTGCCTAGCGCCTAGCTCGCCTAGGCGTTGGAAGAAAAATAGCTATTCACATTGCATAATGAATGAAATAATAATCCGCAACACTTCCTCACTTCAGTTAGAATGATTAATAACTTACTCAACACTTAATGACAAGAACATAGCTCACGAAATCATAGCTCAATAGCTCAGAAAGTTCTTAATCTTTTGAAAATATTGATATCAAATTAATTTCGTATGACATTAACTTCCTCCTTTAATATTGACTTCCTAGTTCCATCTAGTTATGTTTAGGAGAAAATTAGATGTCGCCTTACTCCATTGACGTGTTCCAGTATCTAACTAGGCGCGAAACCCCTAGACGAGGTGTTTTGTCATTGCCTTGCACCTAGTAGTGCCTAAGCGTAAGGTTAAGCATACTTTTTTGAACCGCGGTTCATAATCAAAATTCAAATTTCATTATATAAAATTAAAAAGAATCAAACGTCTTCATTCATTAGTGAATAATAACTATCGAGACATCAAAGACAAGAAACACAAGATCAACATCATTCACAAACATCTAAGAAACAAAGACTACTAGGGTGCGATGTTTGCTTTGTCGATTAAAAAGGGGAGTCACAGAGAACGGCTTTTGGGTTATGACTCTTAAACACATTTAAGACTTTGGGTGGAGGGTTGTTTGCAATAAGTGGAAATAGGGATGTATGAAATTGCGACTTTGGTTTGTTTTGAACCTTGAGACTTTTTCTCTTAGTCAAAGACAAAAATTATGTGGTTATGCTAGTAGGCGGTTATCGGTTAACCACTAACCGATTAGTCGGTTAGCGATTAACTACTTCGGTAAAAAAAATGGGTGCATACAATGCACCCAATTCTAAAAATAACCTTAAGACATCGCATTTTGGATTTTAATTGGTAGCATTAGTTTGATATGATGATATAACATATGATCACAACTAATCAACCTATTACCCTATACCTTAAACCTTCAATTTTGAACACAAACCCAAAACCCCAAATTAGAAACCCTAACCCTACATTGCTAAATCCTTAACCCTTCAAATTGAAGTAAATCTTAGATGAGTTTTTTTTTTAAATTCATGTGTTTCTTGTTCATCGCATCGCAATTGATTATCGATACCGTTTTGACATGAATCGCATGCTCGGAATGCCAATTACGAAGTGAGTGCATTGAATGCAACCAAAAAAATAAGTGCATCGAACTGGAAGTTGTGGTTTTGCTCCTGCCCTTGCCCGTTGGCCACTTTTACTGTTTACTTATGTCATTTTTACTTGCTTAAGTGTCACGACTTGATTATGATTTAAGGTGCTCTTTGCTATGTTTATCTATTTGGTTGTTTGGTCTGCCCGACTAGGGACAACTTTGTTTGCTTTTTTGCAGGTGACATTTCAGCGTTGGCTACCAAGGATGGAGTTCTTTTGACTGCAACTTCAACTTGGCCAAGTCTAGTTGGGGCGTCGTTTGGTGCTTCGTGCTACTTGTGTATTTGATGGGGTGATTTCTAGTGGTAGTTGGGCGTGCTCTCTGTATTAGAGTTTGATACTCTCAAGGATGTGATGCATGGCGGTCTTCTTTCAGTTAGGGCTCAGTTCTCAAAGTTGTATATTCATTGAACTGCTTCAGTTTCAATGGACTCGATCCTTGACTCTCTCCCGCAAAGAGTAGAAGTTTGGTTAGGGATTAGATCCATGCCAAAAAGGTATCAAAGAGCTGCCCATATCGTGGCAAATCAAGCTATCTTATCGTTGATCGGTAGTTGGTCGACTAGCGTCCCCTCTTTCTATTTTAGGTAAGCCTGCAAAGGCTTTACTTTTGTATCCCATATCTGTTGTTTCCCTTTTGGGAATATCTATGGAAAAAAAATTCGGATGGTGAAACAGGTCGGGTAGCTGGAGGCTTGAGCAGTCTGGTACTGGTAGTAACTGGTGTACTGCGTTGTTGCGGAAAGAACGCTGCAAAACTTTAACAGGCCATTATCACTAGCTTAAAACCAACACGAGTTGTTGAAACAAACGAACTTGTCTAATCATTTTCGTGAACAACTAGCAACATGTGTGTTGGCCTTAGAGCACATTCTTAAGATGAAGGGTGATCCCACACAAATGTCCCTACTAATATATATAACAAATCCTCCCAAAATTCCAAGATTCATGTCCCGCAAAACTCGACCTTCCCCTCTCCCTCTACCTAGAAGAAAACAAATCCCCATTCCCTCTCTGAATTCACACATCACTGATCTGGATTGACGCCACACTTACCTTCTGCAACACAATTATCATCATCATCGTCATCGTCATTCTTTCACATCTTCATTCGCAACCTCCACTTTGGCGGCCGTATTGACACCATTGGGGTTCTCCACCTTCTTCTCTCCCCCCTCCTTTGGACCTTCATTTGAGTAGTGATTCTTCAAAACCATAGCAATGTCAGCTTCTGAAGCACCAGCCAGCCTGAATCGCTCCACTGCTGCATCCAGGTTTTTCCTCCAATCACCGGTCCCTAGCTTGCATTCAACTTGAGACCGCTCGAAAAGCATGTTGCCCCAGAAGAGATGTATCTGTGATCTCATCACTGCTGCTTGCTCAGCTGCTTCTTCTGGTGTCAGCTCACCATGACCACCGCCACCATTCACCACAACAGCCTCACCTTCAGCGGTGTTGCTTCCGTGTTTCTTTTTCTTTCTCAACCATTCCTCTTTCTTGCTTGAAGTTGGATCCTTTAGCTCCTTCGCTCTCTGTTCCTCCATCTTTTCCCACATTTCAGTGGCTGCTTTCATCTTCTGCTCTGCACTATCAAACAGCTCAAGTGTCTCCATCGAGTCCCAGCCAGAGAGATCCATTTTCTTGGCAAGTGCAAAAGACCAGTGGAGCTTAGCCATTTCAAACTGTTGTTGCCCCAGGGCAAGCAGACCTTCATAAAAGTCTGGCTTGATCACCAATGCTTCCTCATATTTCTGCCTTGCTGAACAATATTTCTCCTTCACCCAGTCATAAGCCGTCTGAAGCTGAGTAGCCACCACGTCTTCCCCAGCAGAAGACTCATCCAAGGGAATCCGTTTCCTAGCAGCACACATGTGGACATTGCCCCAGTTGAAGAATGCCAAGGCAGCCACCTCCTGGAACTTTTGGGCAGCTTTGTCAAACAGAGCTTGAGCTTCCTCACTTGTCACCGTCTCCTCGAGAGCCTCTGTGCATAGCTCCATCCCAAATTCATGCAAATCAACATGTGCATCAGGGTCAATGCCAACGTGAGTGCGGAAGAGCTGAGCAAAGTCAAACAGCCAGTCATCCATTTCTATTTCCTTGCTGCTCTCTGGATCCTCTGCAATTCCTGCTTTCTCCTTTGGAGCTTCTTTCTCAGTGTTATTATCCATTTCACTATCAGGTGCCTCCAATACAGATTCTTCGCTGAGTGATGAGTGAGTTATGCTTTCATCCCCCTTATTACCTTCGCTCTCAACAAGCTTCTCCTCCTCTTCTAGTAAAGATGGCTCTTGCTCAGGTGAAACTTCAACGATATGCAACCTCAACATCCCAACGGCATCCACCATCTCTGGATCACCATTCTTGGTCAGAAGACTGTCTGCAGCTGATTCTGCTGACTTGAGCTCAGATGTTGACGTGACAGTAATTAAGTCCCCATCGTTATCTTTGTACTTGATCAGAACTGACTTTGAGAATGGCAAACGGTTGCTTACAATCTCCCTTAATGCCTTGAAGGAACAATTGACAGGCATCTGCACAAGCCTTATGTCATGGTCATAAACAAGTTTCACCGGCCTCCACCTAACTGCGACCTCGGATCCCTGTGCACGTGAAAGCATTGATCTTGATGAGGAAGATAATGACGGTTTCTGTGCATGGGGATCCTTACCTGAATCAGCAGTCACTTTTGCGGAACCAGTTGAAGGGTTCAAGACAAGTTTTGGTTGCTGCTGCGTTTTACTCTCCTGACCATTTTCAGTCACAGCTGCTGCTGTCACTTGTTGCTTTTCAGATTTGTTGCCTGGTGACACAGATGGTGCAACTGGAGCAGTTAGTCCCTTCTTCGACATGGGACGAGCAGGCAAACATGGTCCCAGGCCTGCAATGGGGGCACCACGAACTGCAGAAGCTCCAAGAGCAGCAGGGGATGGGCGGCTATGGAGGTCCTGCTGAGCCTCCTGTCGTTGCCCCAATGCAGTCCTCAACCTGCGAGCAATTTCTAAAGCATCTCGGTGATTGGAGTCTGCATCCAACAACACCTGAACATCCTGCATAGCCATTTCAAACTTGCCAACAGCCTCAAAAGCACGGGCCCTTCTGAGAAGAGCCCTGATGAAGCGAGGTTGGACCTGGATGGCCATAGAGCACTCTGCAATGACTGAGTCGTAGTCAATAGGCTTCATTTGCATCAAACAAGCAGCCCTGTTGCTGTGAAACACAGCACGTTCAGGGTGGGATTTGGGGGTCAAGCGAAGAGCACTCTCATACTGTTCTAAGGCACCCACATAATCTTTGTTCTGGAACCTCTTATTTCCTTCCTCTTTCAGCTCGTGGGCTTTCTTTAAGAGAATTGAGGAGTCCAGTTCAATCCCACCACCACCATTGCCGTGTCCCACAACACCATTGCCCGTGGCGGTAACTGTTGAATTGGCGTTAGCATGATTACGATGATCAGTAAGCGGGACATGATTTGAATTCGAAACGCCGCCGCTGCCGGCACCGCTGCCCTTCTTCTTCTTCCCCCCAGATTTCCCCATTCGACTCTCTCTCTCTCTCTCTCTCTCTCTCTCTCTCTCTCTCTCTCTCCAATTGACTAAAACCTCTTCGGAAAATCAAACAGCTATCAACTTAGTCTCCTACCCTTTTCTAACTGGAAAAGAACCAACGAAAGAATTTCGAGAAAGAAGGAAAGGAGGATCCAAATCCACCTGCCACAGTTGGACAATAACTTCAAAGACCGAAACTTTAAACTAAACCCCAGAAATGAAAATGTAAAAAGCAGAGAAGTGAAGAGCACTTACAGGGGAGGACTGGGAGCTGGAGCGTCCTTAGATTGGCAAGGTTCTTGTGTACTTGGATATGGGGGTTGTTGTAGCAGAGAAATTATATGCTCGCTCAGATAGAGAGAATCGGGTCGGGGCGGAGTTCGGATTGGGAGAATAGAAAAAGGTGCAAACTTCCTTTCGAAAACCCTACCGCCTCCGCTCTTCTAGACCAGCAGTAACTACTAAGTATTCCACCCCGATGGCAAAAATAGAGGGAACAAGACAAACCGAAAATTGATCCACCCGTTCGAATCCATTCAAACCTAAACCTACAAACAATATTAATTTTAGGACTTTGCTATGGTGATTTGCAAGTCACCCAAGTCACCGTAACTTACACTTTTTGATAGATCGAAGACAAAAATGGTCGATCAAATTTGTTGTTTCAGTTTTGTGACGCTCAACGACGCGATTGACCTTTTACAGCAAATGATCGACCTATTTGGCAAGTGAACAATATAGTAGGTCGACCCCATTATCTCAAAGGCCGACCATTTTGCTATTAAAAGGTCGCCCTCATAAATGAAAAAGGTCGACCTCTGTTTCATTAACTGATCAACATCAAAGTCGGAATTATTTAGGAAAATAGTAGAAAATGTCGACCTTGTTCCAAGAGGTTGACCTATTTCCTTTAATTTTGTCAATGTTAGAGTGAACAAGACAAACTGAAAATCGATCCACCCGTTCAACCCCAAATCTACAACCCATTCAAACCCAAGCCTACAAAGAATACTAATTTTATGGGTATGGGTGTCAATTTTTAAAAGCAGAAGCATTATGGTTAAAATGTGAGTTCCGATTGTTACAATTCGATAATATCCAAACGGATCTGTGATACTATATTATGCATCAAAATCTTATATATTTAATATATATTTCTTAATCAGAAAACCCTTACTTTAATTAGTAGTCATCATATAATTTGTTTATGGAGCTTTCAAGTAGTCTTTCAGCCCACTTATTCTAATTAGATTGAAAAAATAAAAGTCAATTATTTATCAAAGTGTTTCCTTAACATTTATATCAATACTTATTTTTGCATCCTCTCTTTATGTTTAATTTTTTAGTTTACTACAACGTATTAATAAGTAAAATATTTTTAATTTTTTTCTTTTTCTAGTAGGAATGCAATATGTTACTACAATAACTTACTTGTTTCATATAGTGTCACATATGTATTTTTTGTCATATTATATTATTAGAAGTATAAATCTTATTCTCATGTAATGGATCAGATTTTCATCCAACCCAGCTCAAATTGTGAGTCAAAAATCTGTAGGATCTTGAAATTTATGGGTGATTTAGGGTCACCATCATTTGACTCAAGACTCATTGGTTGGGCGGTTAAAAATGGTTTAAAATCGACCCAGTCAACCCATATACCTCTAGGCAAAATAACCCATCATATATTCATAGTGGTCCAACTAAACCCCATTTGGTTGGAGAAATTATAACTAATATTACTTTGGCTGAGTTTTTCCTTATCTAACAAAGAGTATGATGATTTTGATCGTAGATTTGGTATTTTAAGTATTCTCATCAAATTCATTTGAATATGTACTACAATATTAACGGTTTAGATTCGTTAATTTCAACAATTCGATCATCTGTATCCCTCAAATATTATAACCATCTCGTAAATAAATATCTTGCTCATTTCCTATAACTTTTATAAAGAATATCTTAAGAAAATTTGAAAGTAACATCGATTTTCTAAAATTTCACTTAGGGGTCGTTTGGAAGTTGCGATTGTTTTGTTGAGATTGTCATTATGCATGTATTGTTTACAATGCATCATTTTTTTGTTTTTTTAGCAGAAACAATACATGGATTGTTTCTATGAAATGACAGAAACTATCACTCATTTTGAGTGATTGTTATATCTCAACTTTTAGTTGTGATTGTTGAGATAGTTGAATTGAGATTGTTTTGTCTTAGCTTTTAGCTGATGCGACATACACAATCACACATACCAAACGTTGTATTCTACAATGCATCAAATTCGACAATACATGTATAATATTATACATGCATTCTCAACAATATATCTATTTAACAATCGCAACTTCCAAACGACACATTAGAATTAGAACTTTACATGGATGATTTAGAGAAGATGAGGATGACTTTTACCGGAATCACAAGCTAGTAGGTTTTGATATTTCATTTTACATCTCCATAGACTTTTGGTTTCATGGATAGCTATGATTTTAAAAGACTAACTTTATGATTGTATATTTAAAACCTGACCCTTCCAAATACGTTATCATCCCATACCATAAATGCACCTAGATGCAGTTAGTGGTGGTAATATGTTAGGCAATAACGGTTTAACCAGTTATCAAATTGGTAACTGCGATTAACGATACAATCGATAATTGTACATATTGGTATAATCGGTAACCAACAATATTGGTGGGGAGTAACTGATAGACTGCATTCGGTATATCGGGCCGTATCCAGTTATTAACCGGGGATTAGTCGGATAAATCCATAGCACCCACCCTTCCCTTCCTCTGCATGCTGCAATTTTGCGACCCTTCTCTTACCCTTCAGCTGGAGTTTCGCGACGAGGGGCTTTGAGGCCCGGCAAGCAGCAGCTTCTCACCATCTCATTCCCATGTTGATTATACTAAGTTTGGGTACCAATATGTAATTATGTAGTTAGAGTTTGTGTTAGCAAACCTATATATAGTCTGCTGTACATGTTGAGATGGTTAACGAAAATAAGAAAGCGTAAAACCTGTGAGGGAGATCCTCACCGTGGACTAGGGTCATATTGACGAAACCACGTTAAAAAAATTTGTGTATTATTTCGATCCAGCTATGCTTTGAATAATTGTCATCGTAACAGAGCTTGCGGTCTAATTCTTGTCCGTGGGAACGTTTCTGCCGTTGTGGGTCTGCTGCCCGCCGCTTTGCTTATTATCTTAGGATTTCTCGATTCCGGCCGGTTGATTCTTCGTTGGTAGGTCTTGGTATTGTGGCTTATTTGTTTCTTTCTTTTCCGGCCTGCTACCTCTTGTCTGCGGGTCTTCTCTAAGTCATTAGCTCAGGAATTCTTCTCTGGCCTACTGTCCATCTTCTGCGCACGGGTCTTCTCCAAATCATCTTCTCCGGCTTGTTGTCCATAATCTGCAGGTCTTCTTCACATCACCAAGCGCAGGTTTGACCTTGGTAAGGGGCGTGAGTAATATTGGGGCCGCCTCTATTTATTTGTCTTGAGCTATTTATTTGTCTTGAGTAATGGATTCCAATTGTATTGATACTTTAACGACTAAGCTAGATGGTACCAATTTTCCCTTATGGGAATTTCAATTCAGAAGTTTTGTTGAAGGACGGAGGTTGCTGCGAATTTTGGATGGGTCTCTTCCTAAACTGGCCGATAGCTCTCCCGCCAAAGATATTGAGGATTGGGCTGCTAGGAATGCCCAATTGGTTTACTGGTTGTTGCCTACGGTTGATGTTGGGACAGCCTTGAGTCTTCCACGGTTCTCACTGGCCTCTGAGATGTGGGTTCATCTTCGTATGACCTAATCTCAAAATAATGCTGCTAGACAATTTGAGCTCGAAACCGAGCTATCTTTTTTTCATCAGGGTGACCATGACGTCCGCATTTATTATCAAGCTCTCATGACTCGTTGGACTGAGTACGACATGCTCACGACTTCTCTGGTTTCTTCAGCTTCCTCTGCCGAAGTTGTCAATGAACGGTCTCGTAGCCGTTTTATGCAGTTTCTTGCAAAACTTCATCCTGAGTTTGAGCCCATCCGTGCCTCTCTTCTTCATCGTCAAGTGAGTATAATGGATGAGGCGCTTGCTGAACTCATTTGCAAGGAAACACGACTTCGAAATCAGGCCAAGTTGGATCACTCTCAAGAAGGCGGTGGGGCCTTTGTTGCCGCCAAGTCTGTCTCTTCTGAAGGTGGTTCGGCCTATGTTATTGGTAAAATATCTTCTGACCACTCCCCAGTTTCAGCCTCTCGGCAATACTAGTCAGCTGATTTGTCACTTTTGTAATGAGTCGGGCCACATTCAACCACTGTAAGCGCATGAATCTTTGTATCTATTGCAAGCAGACTGGTCATATCATTGTTGATTGTAAGGTTCTTGCGAAGAAGGGTGGTTATCTCCCTAATCACAGGCCATCTGGGGCGGCTGGTTCTTCTAGTCCTGGATATGTCGTGGCTGCCTCCTCGGCTCCTCCTTCGGCTTTGACTACTTCTGGTGCTACTCTCACTCCTGAGGGAGTGTGTCGCATGATTTCTGATGCCTTGCAAGAGGCTATTCCCCAGCTCTTGAATTCTGCCTTTGCAACTGGGACTACGCCAGGTAATTCTCCTCGTTGGTTGGTTGATTCTGCAGTATTTAATCATATGACTAATTCATCCCAGAGTTTCACTTCCATTAATCCTACTTCTATGCAATCCTTACAAGTTGCGAATGGAGCTCATTTGTCTGTTCCTGATAATATACGTCTGGACGATATGTTATACGTTTCTCAGCTTGTTCCAAGTCTGGTATCAATTGGACAGTTGGCAGATGATGGCTGTGCCGTAACTTTTAATGATCACGTCTGTATTGTTCTGGAAGTGTGTAAGAAGGATGGACGTGTGTATGTTCTGGATCAGTTTCAGCCTGTGCCGATGGTGGTTCAGGACGCGAAGCTGGAGGATCGACAAGCTGCTTGTTCTTCCCATGTTGCTGCCGCACATTCTTTTCCTTCGTTGCATAAGGATGTTATGTCACATTCATTGGATATTTCTCAGTTGTTTAGTTATTTGGTTAAGGATTTGGATTCTGGTGGTTGTAACTCGGCCAAGTCGGTTTCTCTATGGGATTTATGGCATTATCGCTTATGCCATCTTCACACTGCTCGGTTATTACAATTGTTTTGACGTAATTTATTTCCCGACTCTGTTGATCCGAAATTTCATCCCTCTCATTCCTGCGTTAGTTGTATTGAAGCTAAGGCCACTCAGTCCTCATTTACAGCTAGTGAAATGCAGTATGATTCCCCTTTTGATAGATCTCTAGGGCCCGTCCCCTGTTACTTCTAGGATGGGATTTTGCTATTTTGCTCTCTTTGTGGATCATAAGACCCGGTATGCTTGGATATATTTCTTGCATCAGACATCAGAGTTTGTTTATCATGCTAAATCATTTGTTCAGATAGTGGAGACTCAATTTGGTCTCAAGGTGAAGATTATCAAGTCTGATTCAGGCGGGGAGTTTATTGCTTCTCCCTTACAGGAATTCTATGCTACCGGTGGTATTCTCCCTCAACAGTCATGTCCTGGAGTCTCTCAACAGAACGGACTTGTTGAGCGAAAACATCGTCACGTCCTGGAATTGACTCGTGCTATCCTCTTCCATTCACATGTCCCTACCGATTTTTGGGTGGAGGATGTGGGTACAGTGGTGTATCTTATTAATCGCCAAATTACGTCAGTCTTGGTTGATCGCTCTCCTTACCATTACTTGTATTCCAAGCTCCTTGATTATTCACTTATTCCGTGTTTTTGGCTGTGTTTGCTTCGTTCTCCGCTCGAAGAAGGCTCGTCATAAGCTTTCCCCTAAAGTGGCTCGATGTGTTTTTATGGGGTACAGTTCTCAACATAAAGGTTATCTCTGTTACGATCGTGGTGAACGTCGAATGAGGATCTCTTGTCACGTTACCTTCTTGAAGAATGTCATGTACTATGCCGCCTCCTCCGAAAATGCCTTGCCTTCTTTTGATTTTCTTATCCCACTGCTGCCATTTAACTCTCCTCATGCGGGTGAGAATCCTCATTGTCCGCCCCTTGGTGGCAATAATGCTCCTCTTGTTGACAATGATAATAATCATCACCTATCACCGCCAGGCACTCCCTCCGTTTTGCAGGGGTCTGTGACGTCGTCTTCTGGTGACTCCATTCCTAGTGGGTCTTCTATGGGTGGCTCCTCTCCCGCCACCACTAGTTCTTCCCAAAGCTCCTCCTCTGCCACTCCTTATGCCAGCCAGGAAATGGCTTCCCCACCACCTCTTCCTGCCCCACGTTGTCTAATCGCTCCACCATGGGTAATCTACCTGTTCGTCTTCTGGATTATGTTGGCTACTCTACTGATCAGGCTATTTCTATTCCCACTCATTATCGCTTTGCTAAAGACTATCCCCGGTGGAATGCGGCTATGACTGAAGAGATTAATGTATTGGAAGCTCAGCATACGTGGGATGTGGTTCCCCGTTTTCCCGGTGTGTCAATCATTGGAAGTCGTTGGGTTATGCACTTACATTGGTACCAAATAAATTGAGAATTCATTTCATTGTAAAATGAATTATCGTATAGAATTCATTATCAAATGAAATCCTATGTTGGGTATGTTATATTCAAATCATTAGAAATAAAATGAAGTGTCGTGTAGAATTCATTGTCAAATAAATTTCTGTGTTTGGTGTGTCATATGTATACGTAATTTAGTTAATAAAAGAGGATCATCATGCCATTCTATTATAATTAGTATATTAATGATCTTTCTGCCACCGATTATCATTCTCGTCAACCGTGTAGTACTCCTATGTAGTAGAATTTGAAGCTTAATAGGGAAGATGGTGTTGTCGCAAGAACAACACATCTGGATGCAGTTCACTGACTTCAATTACTGGTGTATCATCATAGATGGTACACCAGTAATTGAAACATTTGCATGATGTCAAGATACGAGACAATCTACTTCCGGATGGTGCATTCAATTTGGGAGATCATTTGTGTCGTGGAGATGCCGGAAGCAGGATAAAGTATCTAAGTCTTCTACAGAAGCAGAGTACCGGTCAATGTCCGAAGTGAATTCTGAGATGGTCTGGTTAGAGAGACTATTTCAAGAGTTAGGTGTGAAGTGCGAGCAACCTATGTGCATATATGGAGATAATACGAGTGCTATTCAGATAGCTAACAATCCAGTCTTGCATGATCGAACGAAGCATATAGAAGTACATGCGCACTACATTCGCCAACTTGTTTCGGAAGGGATTGTTCAGCTAAGTTATTTGGCGACAGAGGAACAAACTGTTAATTTGCTGACAAAGGTTGTTTCCTCTAGTAGACATTGGTATCTATCTTCCAAATTGATGTTGAGAGACCAACATTAATTTGAGGGAGGGTGTTGATTATACTAAGTTTGGATACCAATATGTAATTATGTAGTTATATATAGCCTGTTGTACATGTTGAGATGGTTAACGAAAACAAGAAAGCCTAAAACCGTGAGGGAGATCCTCACCGGGGACTAGTGTCATATTGACGAAACCACGTTAAAAAACCTTGTGTGTTATTTCGATTCACCTATGCTTCGAATAATTGTCACCCCAACCCACCGCGAATCTAGTAGCTGATGCTCCTGCGATTTTTTCCTGTAAGAGTAGGTGACAATAGTTTGGCATTAATCGGCACACCGATAACCAACCAATTACCACCCCTAGCTGCAAGTTGATCTTCGTCGTCTGTGCAGGTGGGCGACTCCACATCGTTGCATGGGCTATTGCTTCCATGTTGTTCTCGTAGTCCTGATGATCTTGGTAATCCTTTAAGAAAGATTCAGCTCTCACCGCAATCTGATTCTCCTCCATCTTTTGTCCATTATGTACTTGTGCGTTACGTTTCTTCCAAAGGAACCACATAAGCACAAGCCATTTCTCAGGATCACTCGAGACCGCTAGCCCAGCGCGCTTGCGGATACCAGTCCACACAACTATCATTGTTACGGCTTTCAAATAGTTACGCCAAACTTGTTTGCCTCCAAATTCTACTCGTCCACTCGCACTCCCCGAACAGATGCACCTGTGTTTCAGGAAGGTTGCAGAACGGACAATGATGGTCACCTGTCTCATCCTTTTTACAATAATTAGCTCCTGTGGGCAATGCATTTTTCGAATGAATCCCCAAGCAAAAATACTTTACTTTCGGCGAGATATTTAATCCCCATAAGCTTTTCCAGCTCTGTGCATCTCCAATCGTGGCCACCTGGTTGGCCGTTCTCTTCATGCAGAGCCACATCTGGTAGCCCGTCTTGACTGTGTACTGACCATTCTTCGAATCCACCCACACCATTCTGTCTTGGTCATTTGAATGCCGAATAGGAACTTGAACGATTGTCGCAGCAATCTCCAGTGGGAAGCACCTTTCCAGTAGCTCCTCATCCCATACTTCCTCTTCCTCACGAACCAAATCCCGGAGTTTAGCATTCACCGGCAGAACCCAGGGAGCTGATGGGACGAAGAAACCTGGTATCGATGGAATCCATCTATCTCCCCACACCCCAATTGAAGCTACATTCCCCACATCCCAGCAGAGCCCTTGTCGAAGAAAATCCTGCGCACTCATAAGTGATCTGCAGCATCCAGAATCTCGTGGTGTATTTTGTCATTATTTTCATTGAAGTTACGGTTTTTCCATTTTTGCCAAGTCTGGTTATGATTTACGGTAAGCCTGTTTATGATTGTTGGTCACCTAACAAACCACTGTTCGCAACTTCTTGTGCCAAGATGCACACTTGATGTTTCGAGGAGAATCACAGGCTCACAGCACCAGCGACCAGCACCGTGAGCACAGGTTGGCAATGGGCTTACTTGGATCCTTTCGGTGAAGCAAATAAACTGACGGTCTGTATGATGGGACGTAAGGTATGTTAATGCATCCGTTTCTGCGACTTCCCAAATGGCCCAAGGAAAAGATGAAAGACAGGCCGGCCTTGAATATCATGAAAACTAGGACCTGGTACGCCAAATTGTAAGAGTGAGGTAGGAAAACAAACATCAGTGCAAGTACGAAGAACTAATTTGGTAATCTTCTTGGTTCTGCCTAATTTCCCAAGAATGAAAATGCACATCTCAGTTCCCTTCAATCTCAAGCAATAATGATTATTGCATCACATTCTTCTCCCAAGCTTGAGACTATTATAATAAATGTGATCTCATACTGCTCATCAGTAGCCTCTGTTGAACTGCTCGTTAGTGTCAGCTGTCATTTCCTCCTTCAGTCTCCTCACAATCTCAAATATTCTGGGTTTACGAGAATGCCACCTTTCTTCTGCCAGCGTCTCCCTCTTCTTCGATTTTGGATATGGTCTAGCTGGAGGCTCTTTGCCCTGAAGACGGGCATTTTCTTTTAGCCGAGCATATGCCGCCCTCTTTGCTTGATATTCCTTCTGCAGAGACAGAAATGAAGTTGTGGTTAGCACAAGGACATCCAAGTTAGGGTTAAGAGGTTTCACACTTGTGGTGTAAGTTCCAGCTTCAGAAACAGAGAACGCACCTCAGCTGCAGAAATGGCTGCTTTTCCATCCACTCCTTGTTCCTTCAACTCGAGCACCCGTTGAGCAAAGACTCGGGCTGGAGGTGGATCTATAGTAGACATCCTGCAAAAGCATAAATCATAGTGATTGACTCATCAGGCGTGAAGCACAATTAGTTCACCTGACAGCTGAGAGAAATAAAAGAGTACTAGCATATACCTCCACACTTGGCGGGGAGATTGTTAATTTTATTTTTTTTATTTATTCTATTTGGAGGAACACTAGGAAAAATTATTAACGTAAAACCAAAAGACAAGATACCATGTAACCACGCAGGCTGAAGCATTCTAGACATGGTAAGAATTTGCTGAGTTTGCTTGTTCCACGAATATTCAAATAAAGACCTCAGCCAGAAACTAGCTGCTCGTAATGCAGACATATCTACGATCAAATTGGCTCTAAACTTGGCTTAAAATGAGAAGTCTGACCAACAAGCTGCTCATAATGTCAAGTCAACCACAAGCTGCTTATACGTGCAGCATTATGTATATAAATCTGCTAGGACCCATTCCAAGATCCTGCTTTGCTTCTTTATCTAACAAATCACTGGATCCTATATTCTGATTACCAGACTCCATCGACAAATCAAGCACAGAACACTTATAAGACGCCCAAACTTGACCAGAGGAGTAAAGAGCATGAAAGAATAAAACAAACTTGACAGGATCTTCAGGTTGTAAAGCTCGGTGCTTCCGGAAGAACATCTTTATATAAGGATCTTCAGGGACATTGATCTTCTGAATCTTTCCATTAGAAAGAGGAAATGTTGCAGGAGGTGCCCTGGAGGCTCCGATCAAATGAGAACTTTCATTAGGCCAAAAGAAAGGTTTTGGTAGAAAACTTTAGTACGATGGGCTACCAACAAATAGAAAACAGCAATGCACACAATTTTCAGCTGTAACATTTTGGAGCTTATTAGCTGAAAAGATAAAGAAACAAGAAGATAGTCTATTGTGGATGCAGTAGCAGGAAGAGGAGAGAAGTAATCATCCTCTTACACAATCTACTATGCTTATAGGCGACCAAGTAAGTCATGTCAATGTTAAGATGAAAACTTCTAACTTAACTTACCGAATAAACACAGTTCCAGTTTCCAATTCTTAAAGACTATAAATCCATCTCGATTCAAAACTTCCATGACTAAAGTTTCTATTTTTTAGTGATCATTCCGTCTCTCTGAATCTCTACCCTAAATGAATTCAACAACCCAAATGATTAAAGCACTGGCAAGTTCCGAATTTCGCAAACAAGCCAACAGCGAATCTTCATATGCATGACTTAACTCTTAGCCTTCTCTAAAATTGAACGCTAGGAAGTAAGCCATCAGACTGTGAACAAAGTGCGAGTAAGAGAGCGACTTACTGCTCCATAGCCTTGAGCCAAACAGGCTCGGCTTTAGCCATGCCCTTGACGAGCCTCCTGGTTCTCGATAGCAAATCCCCCTTCATAAACGACATGGTTGCACTTCACAAGCTTCCCACCCTCTTAACTAAAAAACGAATTCGAATTTTTTTGGATTAGAGATCAATTAGTAAAGCTGATTGTTCCGTCCGCAAGGACTAAACTGAACAAAAGCCCCGCCAAAGACCGAGTCCAACAGCTGCAAGCAATTCCGCTCACCAGCCAATTCACCAGATTCACAAGGATCCGGAATTCTTTTCACATCCAAACTAGAGAGAAAGAAAGGAAGAGAGAGGAAAGTAATTGATCGTGTACCTAAACTTTAATCGCTCGGCGATGGGGAAACCAGAAGAGGAGGAGGAGAAGAAAGAGATCCAGAGAAGAGCACCTTCGGTGCGGTGGGAGATGAGAGAGCGAGAAAGGGCTTGTGACTTGTGAGAGTTCCTGCGGTATAGGAGAGAGAGAAACAAAACGGCTCTGTGTGAGTATGTGTGGAGTGTACATGGCCGTCCTTTGGGCCGCGCGGCACGAGATAATGACGTTTCGAGCCCGTTTATTTTGTCTTGTGCTTGATTAGTGATGGGTAGGGCGGAGTGGATACCTCAATACTCGTGATCCATTCCACATTATTATTGCTCAGGCGGACAAACCCGCGAGAATATCGGGTGGGACGGACCGACCCACTCTTACATGTTATTTCTTAAGTGAAAAAAATACACGCAAATTTAACTTTTTACGATAAAACAAAGAAGAAAATACTTTTATGAAAGAAAATAGTGATAATAGAATGAGTAAATAAGTCTAACAAGTTGAAAGATCGACTCTAACTAGTTGAATAAAAGTGAAAATATGAAAAATATGTGTAGATATAGTAAGAAATTGAGATAGAATTTGCCAAAAACGGGGCGGGGCAGGACAGATCGGAAGTACATACCCATGCCCCGCCCCACGCTACTCCGGGTCGGGTATACTGACTCGACTCTACTGTCACCCTAGGAACTGGCCAAGTGCAACCACTCCCTAAAGCGTAGTATAGCGGGTTTAGGTTTATATGTCAACCCGGGTCCTAGATTTGCTGACTACTCAGTGATTTCTTGTTATCTAGCAATAAAACTGGAGTGCAAGTCTAAACTACCAAACAAACAAAGCAAGTAAACTGGTTGTATTCAGGTTAAAGAGGTCACCCGGATATGGTTCCCCCTAGACTGCAGTTAAGCCGGATTGTAATTACCAAGTTCAGTTTCTATGATAGTTATACTGCGGAAGGTTCTTAAACAGCCTGAAGTCTCGACTAAAGGTCTTCAGACCCTCTCAATCTGACTCTCTAGCGGGCGACTAACCTCCACCGGAGTCGACAGATTGAGGCCCTAAGAACAAAACCTCCACTACCGGAGTAAATCCGGTACAGAATAGTGAGTTGGCTCCTCGACTAAAGTCACCAACTCCCTACCTTCAATCAAGGATACTCTATTAACCTAGGCAGATATTCTCATTCTAGGTTAAAGCAGAAACAACAGGAATTTGATCAGGATTCAAGTCATTCAATCATTAAAACCTCAATCGAATATAATCAATCACAGAATCAGTACTTGGGTTCATACAATCAAAGCCTAACATACAAATCTAGGGTTCTCCATACCCAGATGAATGGGAGAACTACTCCATGGAGAAGAAAGCAAAAGCAGAATCAGACACGGAATTCATACTGCAAAGGATGGATTCCTGCTTCTGGACGTTGATTGGCACTTCTCCAAGCTCAAGCTGGCCTCCAATGGTGTTGAAGATCAATCTAGGGCACTTGGGAACTCTTGCTCGTCACTTTCTCTCTCTAGGAACTGATCTCTCTCTCAAAAACTCGAATCCCATCGAATTGTGGCCGAAATTCTGCTTAAAAGGAGAAAATCCCGACTCGCACGGCCAGGGTGCACGGCCGTGCACCTTACCATTCTGGCCGTGCACCTCAAAACGCGGCGTATCAATAAGTTGAACCTCGGGCTTCTCGCACGGCCAGGATTGCACTTCGCACGGCCGTGCGGATTTCACTTGTGCCCGTGCAAGCTCTCGCACAATCCCGCACGGCCAGACTGGTTACATGCACGGCCGTGCGGGTTTTCTGCTCTGCCCGTGCGTCTTCTCGCATAATGTCGCACGGCCATAATTGTATACTGCACGGCCGTGCGACCCCCTGGTCTGGCCGTGCAGCCTCCTTGGAATCTCGCCATGCGTCCGATCCGCGTCCAATCGACATCAAACTCGCTCCCAAGCCTCCATTCACGTACTAGGACCTGAAATATCATAAACAAGCACCACCTAGCGTGAAATCGGCCTAAAACACGAGAATCAATACCTCAAACAGAGTAAGAGCAGGGGTAAAAGCATGTGTAACTAACGGTCTATCAAACTCCCCCACACTTAACCGTTTGCTTGTCCCCAAGCAAACCTAACTCAAACCAATGCAGCTCTCCAGACCTCTATAGCAACAAACAACCCAGATCGTAGGTAGAGGACTTCCCAGATCATTTAGCAACTTACGAGGTCAACCGACGCACAAGTCATCTCAAAGCTTCTTATCGAGTTGGCATCATGGCAAACAGTGAACAGAGAACAAATGAATTGTGGATGGAGAGATTCTCAAAAACAAAGGATCATGGACTCACATTTTTCGAGGTGCTCGATTTTCTTTGAAGATGGTTGGAACCCTTTTCTTTCTGTTTTGCTTGTTTTCTGTTATTGTTCTTTTCTTTTTCTTTTCAAGGGTCCCAACCTGCTCTTACCGGCCATGCCAGGAGCGGATGTCTCGAGCCTCGTGCGGGGGAAAGACATGTAAGGGGGCTGGAGGTAGTAGGTGGAAATTGGGAACGAATTCCCGTCTCCCCTTACACACTTTCGCCCTATTCGCACGGGAGACGTTTATTTTGAAGCACATTTTCGAGCACCTGTTATTTTCAAAACATGATACAAGAGTCCATGACAAGGGTCCTAAGATCACTAATTCACTCAATCAACCAACACAATATGAAGAAGAAATGAGACTTCTTAAATGCATCAACATCCTCCATAGTGCTACACTACCTCCCTAGGTTGCATATTACCATAAAGACTGTCAATTCAAAGCATACTGAGCAGGCAATTGCACGGAAACACTTACTTGGAGCCCTCAAATTTAAAAATTTGGACAGTGGACTAGGCTCCAAGCACACAAACAGATCTAATGCAGTCAAAGATAAACACCCCCCCACACTTAAGATCGACATTGCCCTCAATGGAGAAGAGGGAAGGATAAGGGAAAGATGTTACCGGTATGCACGGACTGCAGGAGACTGGAGGCGGGCCAGTCGGGGCAAGCACAGCCAAAGGAAAACACAGAGCTCAAACACAGTATGCTAGGTCCGATGGTCAGCCCAATAAAATATCATCCAAACCAAAAGAAACAGACCAAACCCAAACCGGGTCTACAAACCGACTCAAAACTCAAGAAAGAAAAACAAACCGTGGTGGGGTTGCCTCCCCAGAAGCGCTTCTTTACCGTCGTATTAGCTGGACGCCCATGGTGGATACTCAGGGCGGTGCAGGAACAGGTGCCCCCAAGAGCGGATCCACGTCGCTCTTGAGGTACAGCTTCAGGTTGTGGCCATGCACCCGACGGATGCGACCACCATCATCGGTCAGCTCGACCTGCCCATCTGGCAAGATGCAGGCGAGTGAGTACCCGGACGGCCACGGTGGTCGTGGTGCAGGAGGTGGGACCAGCTCATAGTGGTCTCCACTCTTCTTACGTGCAGGCTTAGCAACCTGCGGCTTCGGCCGCCTCTCCTCCTTGAGCTTTTTGTTCAGAGGCGTGGCTGGATGGAGTGGCGGCGAAGGAGTGATAGGAGGGTCCTGCAAAATGCGAGGAGCAGCAGGATACACGACAGGCTCGTGTACCTGATCAGACATAGCATGCACAGGCGTGACATCAATCATAGCACAGTGATCAAACTCAGTCACAGAAAAAGTAGCCTGTTCATCCCCAGCACGCAAGATCAACTTACCATCATGCACATCAATTAGTGCCTTGGCGGTGGCAAGAAATGGCCTACCTAGAATCAACGGCACATCCACATCCTCATGTATATCAAGAATAACAAAATCAACAGGATATGTGAATGCACCAACACCAACAAGCAGATCCTCTATGATTCCCCTAGGATGCACAACAGAACGATCAGCTAATTGAATGCTCATCCTAGTGGGGCTAAGTTCACCTAGGTCTAGCATTTTATACAACTTATATGGCATGACGTTAATGCTAGCGCCTAGGTCCGCCAAGGACTTGCCTACATGCATGCTGCCAATAGTAAGAGGGATAGTAAAACTCCCTGGATCCTTGCGCTTCTCGGGCAGCTTGTTCTGTAGGATAGCAGAACACTCTTCACTGAGCATCACTGTCGAAAGATCCCCAAGTTTCTTCTTGTTGGTGCAGATATCTTTCATGAACTTGGCATACTTGGGCATCTTTGACAGTGCCTCCATGAACGGTATGCTGATGTTGAGCTGCTTCAACATTGCCATGAACTTGGCAAACTCAGTCTCCAGCTTGTCCTTGTGTAGGCGAGTGGGGAAGGGAAGCTGGGGCACATGCTCCTTAACCACTGGTTGTGGCTTGGGAGCAGGGGCTTCCTTCTCCACCCGCACTTCTGCATCGTCGGCTGGAAGTGCTGAAGCAGGTAGTGGTTCCTCCTGTCTGGCCGGGGCAGGATCAGCAGATATCACCTTACCGCTCCTGGTAAAAATGGCATCTAGCTGCTGATGCTGGTGAGGATCTCGAGGATTCGGGACAGTGGTGGCAGGCAGAGTCCCCGGTGCCCTTGTAGTGTTCTGGCGAGCTAAGCTCCCTATCTGGTGCTGGAGATCCTGCAGAATGGCACCTTGGTTTCTCTGGCCTGCCTCCAGGGTTCTCTGGCCTGCCTCCAGTGAAGCTATGGTCTGATCCATCCTCGTGATACTTGCCTGGGTGGTGGTCATGAATGCTGCCAAAATGTTCTTCAGCTCGGTCATCTGATTATCGGGAGCTGGTGCTGCTGCTGGTTCGGCGTACTGACGCTGAGGCTGCTGGAATGGCTGCCCTTGCCTTGGCTGGTAAGGCTGCTGCTGTGGTGGTAGCCCCTGCCTAGCCTGGAAGGGCTGCCTCTGCTGGAGACCACCTGCTGGTGCTGGGAAACCAGGTGGCTTGTTGGCGTTGCTGCTCCAGGCAAAGTTGGGATGCTGGCGCCATCCCTCATTATAGGTACTGCTGTATGGATCCAGGCGCCGAGCATTTGCTATGAAGTCCACCTGCTCTTGGGGAGTAGAAGACTCCCTCATAGACTGACAATCTTCCACCAGGTGGTTTGGGCTCTCACACCACTGACACTGAGCGACTGGAGGCGGAGTTACACCTCGGCCCGGTAGGAGACTGTTGGGCTGCTTCAATGTCTGCACCAACTCAGCCACCTGCTGCTCTAACCCGGATCTGGTCTCCATGGCATGCACACCACGGTCCCGGGAATGCCTGCCTCTGCTGCTCTGCCCCCAGGAATGATCTCTGGCAGCTAATGTATTAATCATCTGGTTCAGCTCGGGTGGAGTCTTAGTGAGAATATCCCCTCCTGGGCATAGAGATTCAATCACCCTCTGGCTATCTGGGGAGAGAGCGCTGTAGAAGTTCCCTACCGTGAAAGCATCGCTGAAGCCATGATGGGGACACTGCCAGAAGTATCCCATGTACCGCTCCCATGCATCACGAAGTGACTCATCTGGCTCCTGGCGGAAGTGAGTGATCTCCCGCTGAATCTCTGTAGTCTTCGATGCAGGGTAGTACCTGTGCACGAACTTGTCTGCCAGATCGTCCCAAGAGGTGATGGACAATGGTGGCTGGGTCTCCAACCACCTCTTGGCATTCCCCGCCAGAGAATGGGGGAAGAGATGAAGGCGGATCGCATCATCCGGGACACCATTCAGCTTGAACCCGTTCGTCAGCTGCAGAAAACGGGACAAGTGCACCCTGGCCTCCTCATCCTTCAAGCCATGGAACTGGATAGAAGATGTGATGAGCTGAATCCAGCATGGCTTGATCTCGAAGTTGTTTGCTGGGATCGGCGGGTAGAGGATGACCGGGCGGATGTCAGCAATCCGAGGAGTGTAATAGTACTCCAAGGTGGGACCCGGCTGCGGTGGATGATGAGCTCCATGATCCTGGGGTATGGGGTTGTTCCCCAGGACCTGATTCACCGGGGGATTCCCCTGGTGCTGATTGTAGTCTCCGTCCATTCCGTGCTCTTCTTCAGAATCGCTGCTCAGGTGGCCGTCTATGCGCTCTTCCGTAGCCAGTCTAGCTCGCTGTTGTCTCCTGAGCTGGCGACAGGTGCGGTCAATCTCTGGATTCAACGGCAGTAAACCTCCCGACTGGCTACGGGTCATGCACTACCTGCACACACTCAAGCAACAAACCCGTGAAGGCACAAGTGGGACAAAGAAAACAAAGCAAAAAGAAAAGCTAAATTAACAGAAATCACTTTTCTTCAACAACCTAGCCGTCCCCGGCAACGGCGCCAAAAACTTGACTCGACTCTACTGTCACCCTAGGAACTGGCCAAGTGCAACCACTCCCTAAAGCGTAGTATAGCGGGTTTAGGTTTATATGTCAACCCGGGTCCTAGATTTGCTGACTACTCAGTGATTTCTTGTTATCTAGCAATAAAACTGGAGTGCAAGTCTAAACTACCAAACAAACAAAGCAAGTAAACTGGTTGTATTCAGGTTAAAGAGGTCACCCGGATATGGTTCCCCCTAGACTGCAGTTAAGCCGGATTGTAATTACCAAGTTCAGTTTCTATGATAGTTATACTGCGGAAGGTTCTTAAACAGCCTGAAGTCTCGACTAAAGGTCTTCAGACCCTCTCAATCTGACTCTCTAGCGGGCGACTAACCTCCACCGGAGTCGACAGATTGAGGCCCTAAGAACAAAACCTCCACTACCGGAGTAAATCCGGTACAGAATAGTGAGTTGGCTCCTCGACTAAAGTCACCAACTCCCTACCTTCAATCAAGGATACTCTATTAACCTAGGCAGATATTCTCATTCTAGGTTAAAGCAGAAACAACAGGAATTTGATCAGGATTCAAGTCATTCAATCATTAAAACCTCAATCGAATATAATCAATCACAGAATCAGTACTTGGGTTCATACAATCAAAGCCTAACATACAAATCTAGGGTTCTCCATACCCAGATGAATGGGAGAACTACTCCATGGAGAAGAAAGCAAAAGCAGAATCAGACACGGAATTCATACTGCAAAGGATGGATTCCTGCTTCTGGACGTTGATTGGCACTTCTCCAAGCTCAAGCTGGCCTCCAATGGTGTTGAAGATCAATCTAGGGCACTTGGGAACTCTTGCTCGTCACTTTCTCTCTCTAGGAACTGATCTCTCTCTCAAAAACTCGAATCCCATCGAATTGTGGCCGAAATTCTGCTTAAAAGGAGAAAATCCCGACTCGCACGGCCAGGGTGCACGGCCGTGCACCTTACCATTCTGGCCGTGCACCTCAAAACGCGGCGTATCAATAAGTTGAACCTCGGGCTTCTCGCACGGCCAGGATTGCACTTCGCACGGCCGTGCGGATTTCACTTGTGCCCGTGCAAGCTCTCGCACAATCCCGCACGGCCAGACTGGTTACATGCACGGCCGTGCGGGTTTTCTGCTCTGCCCGTGCGTCTTCTCGCATAATGTCGCACGGCCATAATTGTATACTGCACGGCCGTGCGACCCCCTGGTCTGGCCGTGCAGCCTCCTTGGAATCTCGCCATGCGTCCGATCCGCGTCCAATCGACATCAAACTCGCTCCCAAGCCTCCATTCACGTACTAGGACCTGAAATATCATAAACAAGCACCACCTAGCGTGAAATCGGCCTAAAACACGAGAATCAATACCTCAAACAGAGTAAGAGCAGGGGTAAAAGCATGTGTAACTAACGGTCTATCATATACCTGTCCATTCACGGGTCGGGTCAGGTAATACCCACGACCGCAGGGGGGGGGGGGGTCAAATTGTCATCACTAACCCTAGGCAACTATCTCATCTCTAGCTATCTCCCAACCACTTGGTTGGTTGTTTAGGAGTAGGTTAGATTAGATTCTTTACCCAAACCTTTGGTTCGATTATATAATAGTTCGGGCGAAGTAATAGTAAGCTTAGGGATACCTTGGAATACGAACGAGCCACTTTACTACAAACCTACGTAGGTTATGTTTGGCTTAGTTAGGATTGAATAGAGAGCGTGCATCAACTTATAGATTTAAAGCTCGATCAAGCAAGCGGATAAAGGTACTACTATTAAGTATTAATCTTTTATCTAGACATCAGATTCGAGTGATAGCAATTAAAAACTAAGAGAGCAGTAAGAAAGTGATTCGAGTTTCAGTTATCTAAAAGGTCACTCTGGTATTGATTTCCACTAGTCTCTAGGCAGACTAATGATTGTTGATTCCCTAATTTGTTTCACTCGATAATTATATGGGAAAGTCCTCGATTGCTCTCTCCGTTTTTCTTTTCATTTTCTTTTTATTAAGGGCCAAAATAGAGAGGGAGTAGCCAATTGTTCATGAATCATTTCGACAATCAAGGTAATTTCATTATATACCGACTTGATTGGGCCAATGAGGACATTGTCTTATCTAAAGTGCGGGGTGGTTTAGACTGCACTTAATGTACCACCTCGGTAGATGTTCATGCATATGAGGGATGATTTGTGCGTGCATTTGAGCATAAAGTTTCAAAATTTTTGAATAACGCAACACTCCCCAGAGCAATTTCAAAGCTCATCTTACTTTGAATTGTCAGTATATGCGTTAAGATGTGATCTAGGGAGGCTAGTATAGTGCCTATGAAAGATGTCCTCATCATGAGATTAAAAACATTCGAAATGTTTGGATACAGTGTTTATCACTATCTTTTGTGAGTTCTTATACTCCTCCAAACATGTCATCTGCTCTTAAAAAATGGTCGAATTGTATCTCTATACATTCGAAAATCCTACCATGACAAAGAGAAATAAAGACGATGCGGTCATAAATAAATTGTGGGGTAAAGCCACGTATGAGTCCATCACTCATTGAACAGAGGGAATATGAACGGTTCAAATGAGCATCGATTCATGGCCGTAAAATGTTGCTTATCTAATAGAATCCCTCGATGAGTGAAGTGTCATTTTATACTTTTGCTTGGAGGTCACATATAAAGCTTCCAACACCCTCGTTTGCATTGCATCTCCACACGGATCGAGGAAAAGGAGTTAAGTGAAGCCCGTACGCGAGTGCTAAGGCGCATAAATTGTTTTTGCTTCATAAGGGCTATGTATAAACTCACTTGTGGTACAAAATGTTCAAAATCGGTATGCTACATATAAAAGAGAGCACATCTAAAAACTCTCAATTGTTAAAAGGTAGAGATGTGCTTAAACATCTAAATAAAGCTACAAAGAGCTTCGCCCTAAATATTTGTGAAACTCTCAAGTCGAGATAGGAGGTTATGATTGGTAGAGATAAGCCTAATTGTCCTTATGATATATGCACCTCATGGGTGTGGTCTAGTTCTCTAATTGGGAGTGTTGACCTTGTAAGCTGCTTATGATCCATCACCTACAATCGAAAGTAACGTGTCATTATAGAGATCTAGTGAGCTATACGGTCATGAGGTTTGCTTGGGCAAGCAAAGTCCAAATGTGGCGTTATTTGATGAGACTTAGAAGTAGAAACTACTCTTTTAGACCCCAAATTATGACTAGAACTTCATAGTTTTTGACAAAATAATATTTGAGTTGCGATTTCAAAATCAATCACCATTTATGAGATATATCGGTGTACCAGTTAAAATAAAAGTGTTGAAAATCACAAGTTGCAAGTTAACACAATAAATTGTCACGTCAGCGAGTTCATTGTATTTGTCACAAAAATGACTATATTAGTTACAAATGTCCAAGTTTTGGTTATACATATATATTTTGTGTAAACTAAACCTCACATATAATTCAGTAATTAATGTTTGAGTCATTGCTAATTGAGTTTCGATTTCTCTCTTTATATAAGATATAAATAAATTCAGGTCAAATATAAATGTCAAAGTATGAAACCAATTATGTTTCTAAAGTTCAATAAAATAAATTGCAATATATACAACAGCCTAGTTGGACATAGTTTTATGTCTTCATTTTAGTGACCTACTTTCAAATCCAAATAATAAAAATTTTAATATATAAAGATAAATTGGATGTATTTACGAAAATAACCTTCCTAAAATCACTCTCGGACCATAAAATTTAAAATGGGAGCTGCAATTTCCCCAGTCCACTATAAGTAGATGTGTAGATATATTAGACAAACTAGTTAAAATTTATGAATTAGTTAATTTGACACGAACATAGTATATAAACATGAATCAATTAACGAATAATTTTTCTTAACCAAGATAAGTCCAAATGACATGGTCGAGCAACTCAAACATACCAGTAAAACCACATGCAGTAGTTCGTATGCAACTGGACTGCCGATGGAAGAGCATGTTAAGCCACTATACGGGCAACTCTAAGAAAGTTCCGAAGAGCAAAATGACTCGAACGAAATAAGAAAGACCCATAAAGGAGACAAACTTCACCGAGAAGAACTTCCATAAAATAAATAGTGTAGCACTCCGAGACATGAGTACAATGGCTCTCTTGAGAACCCATCGTGAAAGTGCGCTAAGACGAAAGCAAAGGAATAAGTCCCTATTTTTTTGTACTTACAGCCTCTACGAGAAAAAAAAATGAATGAGGACAGTGCGTGGCAAACACAACGCTCGAAGGCGGAGAACGAAATTTTGTTTATCTGCATCAAACTTTCGCGAGGCTCATTCAAGCTTAGACAAGAAATGCTGGTCCTAGAAGTATAACATTAATTGCTTGACGTCCTTTTGACAAGAGGTGGAAATCGGTACGGTATTGATATCCCCATACCGAATATCGAAATATCGACTACCGAATTACGTCATAAAATTAATCACAATTCCAATCCCAAAATAATTTCGGTATCCCAATCTCAATCCCTAATATTTTGGTTCGGTATCGGTATATACCACATTAATTTTTTCGTAAATTTTTTTCCACCACAATACACCAAAGTTGTATGCAAAAAGGGGATAAACAATTGTGTCTCATTAAATATTAAAAATATAAAACTTAACAATTAATTAAGACAAACTATCCCTTCAACCCTTCCCATGCCTCATTCAAATCACAATCCACCTAAAAGCCGCCAGTACTAAAGTGGTTTTGAGAATCTCAATTACATGAATCCAACTGCAATAACAAACAAAATCATGGAAATATTTTGAGACTATACAAGTATACAACCCATATATTAACCATGATGACGAACTAAAGTAGGATAAACATGGTGCAACTAAGTAGCAAAACATGATGAGACGAATTGAAGAGGACTACGCTAGGATTTTTTGGTTATGGGCCGAGTATAACTACCTGCAAAAGGAAGTGATGGACTTAGTTTGGGTTGTCAAATTATAAAGGAGGAAAGGATAAGGGTGGTAATCGGTTGGTTAATGGTTTAACTGGTTACTGACTGATTTGTTTTCGATATACCGTTCAAGGCGAGATAGAGTCCGAATATCGGTACCGGTATATAACCGATAAACTGGATAGCCGGTTCACGATTACAAACTGATTATATTGATTTACCGCAAAGGAGAGGGAGAAGCAGATTTCCGATTCGGTTAATCGAGAAATAACCACTCCGAATCTAGGCAGTGGGCAGGCTGTCCAATTTTAGATAATATGATTTTTTTGGCATTCTTATGTAATTAATATTTTAATTCTTAACTCATATTTACAATATCTTTAATTTTTATACTTCCATAATTCCATTCATGTACTATGATTCTATGAATAATGGAATATGTTAATGACTATTGTCAAACATTAAACCGATTAGTCCTTACTCACCAATTAACACCATTGCAAATGAGATAACATAACAATCTGTCTCAATATCTCATCATTCATCCAACATCATCAAATTCAAAGGGACAACAATCAACATAATTGTCAATCGACTAAAGTGCACAATGACAATTTATAAATTCAACATAAGTTCAAACTTAAGAAATTAAAATAGATTTTAGAAGTTCCCAAATTTAACACAAACATCAACTCATCAAGTACAACCACTAGCTCATGCTCCTCCATCTGTGGTAGAACTTGTACCACCAACATTAGCACAACCTTGTTACTTCAAAGTCCTGAGAAGAGTATCATCGGGATCGTCATCGTCATATAGGATAATGTCCTCGTCGTTGGAATCTTCATCATCACCATCCTCCTCCTCCTCATCATCATCATCAACCCCAACAGGTAAGCTATGTGTTACACTTGGCATATCACTTGCAGTTTCCACTCGAGCTTGTAAAATATTAGTGACTAGTGCAAAGAAAAAACACAAATGTTAATAATGAAATAGTTTAATAGTAAAGAGTATAGACAAATTAGAATAATGAATTGAGTTCTTACCACTTTCATAGTCAATTGTCTCTTGATCTTCTTCCTTATCATCCAGTCCATCTGCAGTCTTTCCACTTTCACACCTTATCCAATCTTTAACACAAATTCTACAATGGTTGGGTTCAAAGAAGATCTGAAAGGAATAAGAACTCGACCTCCACAACTGAAAGCGAACTCCAAGGAAATAGAGGAGACTGGAAATGCTAAGATATCCCTAACCATCTCTGAAAGAATGGGATATCTAACATAGTTCCGAGACCACCACTTAAGCGAACTCTGTTGCTGCTCGATTCACTGATGGCTGCTCCTGCTCTGTTCTCTTCCACAAAGCAAAGCAAAGACAGGTCAGAGATAAATAAGCAAGCTAGAGACGAGGAGGAGAGAATCAGGGGCAGGGGATTCAGGTTTACAAATCGGGCAGGCCATCTGGACTGGAGCTTAACGACAACAAAGATGACCGAGGGAAGAGAAGTTCATCGCCGCTGACTGGGGATGAGGGAGACACGCTTCTTCGGCCCTTCTGGAGCTTTGTCGGCCAAGGAATCGTCGATGTCCTCCTCTCCTCTTGTCGATACTTCTTGTCGAGCGGCGGAGAGGGGAGGCAGAGTCAGAGAGGGAAGGCGGCGGCGGATAGGGAAGGGGGAAACTTGACAGGTAAGAGGGAAGCTGCGATGCGAACTGGGTGAAGGAAGGTTGGTCGATCGAATTCGAATGGGGGTGGCTGGGTGAAGGGGGAAACTGTATTAGGGTTTCTCCTTCAAATGCCTAGTTTGAAGGCTCCTTCTTCCGCGTGTTTCCCTTCCTTCCCGGTATCTAGTTTAACGGATAACCGCCGGTATTTACTGACAAGGGGTCCGGTATACCGAGGCATTATTTGTGGTCGCCGACAACCAAAACAAGTCGGTTAACACTATACCGGTAACTATCGGTTATCGGTTCAACCGGATACCGGGAACCGATTGTCAGCCCTAGGAAAGGAATTAGGTAATGGGTTGAACAACTAATTCCGCATTTTAATGGTTGAGGGCCCGTAAAAGTGAGTGAGGTAGCCTGGATAAGGCGGTGAAAATGGACACTAGTTTACATTTTGGTATTTTCGGTATTTCGATATAATACTGATTCCAATCCCGTAATCCCTAATACCGAATTACACTAAAAATCGACTCTCAATTCCAATGCCATAAAATAATACGTGTATTCAATAATACCAAATATTGACAAGTTCGATATAATATTCGATCATCTCAAAATCTCGATATCAAATTTCCAACCCTACTTGTCACTCCTCGATTATAATTAGCTCGTATCCCTTTTTCATATAAAATTTTGCTTGCTATCTATGCCCGCTAACATTACAAACTGAACAATCTTTAGCATCACATCATCCAACAAAGAAACTCGGAGCCGTTGATCACCGTCACGGCGAGTACACGAGAGAAGTGGTGCACCTCAGAGCACAGAGTCCAATACTTATCCGCAGCGTCTGCTGTCCTTATCCGACACGTCCACATTACACCTAGCTCTCATTAGTACGTGTCGTTCACTCTCGGTCCCGCGGCTGGGGTCCTGAATACGATATTGTATATAGACTAAATACAATTTAATATCCAAACATTTCATTTTAAACAATATAATAGCCAAAAATTTTCGAAAACAATCTAATATTCAAATTGTCAACTTTCCGTTCATTTGACCGTTAGTTGACACTTCAAAAAAGCTTTGTTTAGGGGAAATTGTCACAATACAACTTTATTTTCTTGATTTGGCATTGCAGATGACTGAATATTTAGATATTCTATACCATCATGGCGGAGTCATGGACTTCTCGGGTTTGGAACCACGATATGTTGGTGGTTTTTCAGAGAAGATATCGATGGATATTGATGAAGCGTCGTACTTAGAACTTTTTTGAAGTGTAAACTAACGGTCAAACGAACAGAAAGTTGACGATTGGATTTTAGATTGTTTTCGAAAATTTTTTACTATTATATTGTTTAAAACGTAAGATTTGGATATTAAATTGTATTTATCATGATATATATACAATATATACATAGAGGTTAGGTTCGCTAAAGAAAACAGAAATAAACACATACAAAATTACAACATAAAAAAAATGGCTTAAAAGCGCCTAGCCGCCTACCAAATGACACCACCACCTAACTTGAATACAAAGAAGAAAAAGGAGAAACGCCAGCAGCAAAACCCAAAAATCTAACATCAATTTTTCAGACATCAGTCCACCATCAGCAGCCGCCAGCCAGCGGAGACTCTAGCCGTCGCCGGAGGATTGATTCGACGTCAGCTGGAACCTCCGCCGGAGAAATGGGCGCCACGGACCATGTAAGAGAAAGCATAGTTTGATGACAAGTGGATACATCAAAGTTCAGCAAATGAAAAGCCTGTTGAGATTGTTTTCATTTTCCTTTCACGAATTTCGTGTCCAAGTTGACAGAGTTGACGACTCTGTGATTTTCAGGAGGTTGAGAGGGACAGAGAAGAGAGAAATGAAGGAGAAGAACAAGGAAGGGAAGGAGGGGGAATGGGCGAGAGAGATGTGGAGAAAGGAGAAACAGTGAATGGCGGAGGGGGAGATGGAGATGGAGACGGAGGAGAGCACGGGAGAGAGTTTCATATGTCAATGATGCAGAGGTTGAATCCCACGAATCCTTTGAGGATTCATGTCATCAGTCAAGTTCCCAGCAAAGCAGCTACTCCTTCCCCTGCGCAGCCTCCCCTCCAGCCTCGATCCACTCCAACCCCACAAGTATGTGCCTTTTTGTTTCTGATTTCAGCTGATTCATTCGTGCTTTACTGCCTGCCTGGGTTGCTTTGGATTAAAACTTCTCTTTCTGGGTTGCGTTTGAAGTTGGGGTAAAAGTTTGGTTGTTTCTATTGAGTTTCGTTACGCCAGTGTCCGTCAATGAAAGAGCTTTAAATTCCTGGAGTTACGTTTGTTTTCAGAAAGTTCGAAAGAACCTAACCTATATATTGCAAGTAATTTAGTGTTTTGGGTTTCTATCTCTGTTCGCCTTTAGTTCTCTCTTAGCAGAGTTATGCACTTACTAATCCTGGAAACTTGGTTTCTTTTTTTGGGAACTTTCACCTGTTTGTGTTCAACAGCAATCACTCATAACGCTGAACTCGAGAAAGTACACCAACAAGATGTCGCTGTTTCTGTTTTGCCTGCATTTCGTTCTGGCGATTGGGCTAGTGGGTTTTCTGGTATTCAAGGGGGTTCAAGGACTAATTCAAGCATCGGATAGAGTGAAAAGGAAGGAAATGAGGGTCTTGAAGTTTTTCCTGCCACAGGTGGAAGCGGCGTCTCTGTTGAGCATCACTCTTGCATTCGCATGGCAAAAGGCTTTTAGGGTGTGGCCTAACTTCATGGTTCATTTCATAATGTGGTGTTCTTTCTTGACGTCGTTATCTGCTGGGATTCTCTTAATCTGCTTCCAGAAGGCTTCCACAGACGGGGTTGGAGTTTGCCTCATGGGTTTTGCGATTGGTAATGGCTTGTATGCGTGCTGGGTTACTCAAAGAATAGGTTTCTGCACAAAGGTGTTGGTCAAATCGCTGGAACCGGTTTCCAAATTTCCTGACTTGAATCAACCCACTTATTGGATGCTTGGTGTGGGGTTCTTGTGGATGTCTCTGTGGATCATAGCAGTGCTTGGAGCCTTGAATTTCTACTTCCCACCTCTGACCATTATAGCCTTGGTGCTGAGCTTGGCCTGGACTGCTGAAGTGCAGAGGAATGTGGTTAATCTGACTGTAAGTAGGGTGATTTCTCTGTATTACTTGCGAGGGATGCAATCCAGCACCAAGTTCTGCTTCCAAAGAGCCTTGACTAAGAACCTCGGTAGCGCTTGTCTTGGTTCTCTATTTGTTCCAGCAATCGAGGCTCTCAGAATCGTTGCACGCGGTTTGAATTTGCTAGAGGGAGAGGATGAGTTCATGTTCTCGTGTGCTCACTGTTGCCTCAATGTCATGCAGTTCATCTTCAGCTGTGGAAATGGCTGGGCCTTTGTTCAGGTAACACAACTCTCTTATAACCGAATAAATAAAGAGAAGGAGCTCCGTCGTTGGTTATGAAGCATCTGAAAATGATGGATTGTTATTTTCAAGTTGCTTGTGGAGTAATCCCTAAGCAACGGTCCTCAGCCTCACCTTTTGACCATTCTCACTCACCTTCCTTATATAGCCTTGTCAACTAACAAAGATATTCTAATGTCTTTGCGCTTCAATTATATTCTCCTAGCACCATCACTGATTGATTGATTAGCTGTTGCGTGTATTAACATATTATAGTGTTCAATTTTTAAAAAAAAGATGGTGGTGGTGATTAGTCGATGACAGAAGCAATGATGCGGTGCTGATGCTGCTGAAATAAATAAGTAAAGGAGAGCTAATTTGTGATATGCTGTGCAGATAGCTGCATACGGGAAAGGGTTTGTGAAGGCATCAAAGGACACTTGGTCACTGTTCAAGAGCCAAGAAATGGAGGAGATTGTGGATTCAGACATAACAAGCTCCATCTGCTTCCTGACTGGAGTATGCAGCGGCTCAATCTGTGTCATCATGGTGGCGGCCTGGACCTTCAAAGTCCATCAGCCCTTTACAGCAACTATCTCCCTCTTGGCATTCTTTATTGGCTATCTCATGGTACACTTTATCTACTTGCACACCAATATCGATCACGTGGTCAAGTTGCTGCCATCTTTTTCTTGTTTTATCCTGGTGGGGGAATCTCCTTTTGATTTGTTGCTTGATTGGATCCTGTTGGGTTCTTTCTTTATTCTTTTGCAGACAAGGATTGCCATGGCATTGCCTCATGCCTGTGTGAGTTGTTACTATGTTTGCTACGCAGAGAATCCTGACAACAGATTGTTTGATAAAACAATCAAAGACCGTCAGAGCTTGATCAAATCTGGCAGGGATGTCGTCGTGCCAACGCCTCGAGTGCCACGTCGGTTCACCACGTAGATGCCATTCTCCACAGGAAAGCTCGGCCTCCTCTGGCTCAAACCCTGGAGCTTAAAAGATTGTACATATGACTTTTGAGGTAGCTGCGTCTTATCAAAAGAGAAACCAAGACTTGTAAGAAAGGCCAAGCTCAAGCTGATCAAAAGATATGGTGAGGGGAAGGGAAGCAAATGTATCTTCTCTTCTCCAGATAAGATGGGCTTTGCTTGCATTTGGAAGCAACAAAGGCAGAAATGAGCGCTAGTATCGCCATAAGTAGACCCTTTTAGCTGGCTCTATTCTTTGTAGGAGATACAGATACCATTCTTGGGTCAATTGGAGCGACAGCTGATCAGGAAAATGTTCATTTTCCTCTTGCTGGGAGATGTGGTGGGGGCATTTTGCATATACTCTTTAGGATATTCCTTTCGGTAGTAGGGAGCACAATCACATGGAGCACTTCTACCATTTTAATAATAATAACTAAGTTTTTGACCCGCACTTCGTGGCTGGATGCTTGTCGACATTTGCTATTTAATTTGAATTTGTATCTTAATCGAATAATCTAAAGACCGGATAATTTAAAAAAAGTATAGCAGTCTTTGTTTAAAAAAATTAGTTCACTCTAATGGTTTGAATTGTTGAAAGAGATTTAAATGTGCATATATATAAATTTTTCCATAATTTCACAAACCAAAGTAAACTCATAAATGAAAAGTTTATATAGATATATCATACAAAATGTTCAAGTCAAACCTTAATATTACGGAATTGCCATGATATGAACTAGGGGTGGTAGTTAATCGAAAACCGGTTATCGGTTAAATCGAGCCACTGACCGTGAGGGGCACCACGGCTAGCTGATCACTGGTTAACGATTTTGGTTCGGTTAGCCGCATACCCGAAAAACCCTCCCTTCTCTCCTAAAAATTCATTAAAAATTGTTTATGAAAAAAAAAAGCGAAAATTACCATCACTCAATCCTTATCTCCTTCCTTCCTCCATTTCACGCCCACTAGACCACTTCTCCTTCTCTCTCCTTCCTTCCTCCATGGATGGATAGATCTGCAGAGACGAACTGAGAGGTAGTGGATGGACAGATCTACAGGGGCGGATGGTGGTGGGTGGGTGGGGGGGGGGGGGGGGGGCATGGGTGCCGCCTGACTGTCTCTGCTCAGTATGCTGGCTCGACGGAGGAAGGCGGGGATGGCGATGGGAGACACGCGGAGGCCTGGGGTCGTCGGGGATGGGAGATGGCGATGGCCTGGCCTTTGTAGGAGGACGAAGAAGAAATAATTAGGGTTGGGGTTTGGCTGGAGGAGGGGGTCGTTTTCAGTGATGGTGAACGTCGGGGAGAGGGCGAGCAGGGCGGAGGCCGGTGAGGGTCGGGGGAGAGATGCGGAGACCGACGGGGGGTCGGGGGAGGTTTCTGTTCTCTGGTGGATCTGGCAGTGCGGAAGAGAAGAGAGATGGATTTTGGTTGAGGAGGGAGATGGGGGCAAATGGATTATTAGGGTTGAGTTTAGTTTTGGGTGGTAAGCAAAGCTGCATCATTTTGGGGCGGGAAGCGGAAGTGAGGTCGGTTATCTTTGGTTAGAACTGGTTACTCGGCTAACCGAAGCACCACTCACTCCTTCCGACAACCGACCGTGACAAGTGACTGGACGGTTTTCGGTTACCGGTGAGCCGCTAACCAGCAACCGAACTGCCACCCCTAATATGAACACACAAACAATCATGGAACCTATTGCAATGGAAGACCATGAAAGTTATAAAAAATAGAATATGTCTAATGATTAACCCTAGTATGTCTAAACGACTACTAATATCAATAATAATAATAAAAAAAAAATAGAATAATACTGCTAATAGATTATTTGGGTCCTCCAAAGATAGAATTTCTAACAATCTACCCCACTTAAAAGCGACTTTGTCCTTAAGGTTGTAGTCAACTTCAGCTCTCCACTTCAGTTGTCCTTGATAATGTTTCAGTTGTTGCTCGCGCTTCCTCCTCTTCCACTTACCTTCAAACTCTCGAACACGATTTCTAAATTCTAACACAAGCAACTCCAACAAAAATGATTTGTTTTTCATTGGTGTTCGTGCAATCACATTTCCCCTTCCATGTGCAGCCAAAGAACACCAAATCCCAACATGAGGTGATCATTTCCGCCGTCTTCCCAAAATCTAAGCAACCCTGAGGCACATCCTTATACTGGACGCCCATGATTGGAAGGGAATGAACATCGTTTATGCATCCAATAATCATGATGCTAGGAACTGAACAAGCCCCCCCTTCTATTGTTCATCGCAGCCCATATTATGTCAATGACATCTAGAACTGGATTCCAGCAAACCCACTCCTCCACGGGCATGTCATCGAAAAGAATTACGAATTTCGTCATACTCGCCACGCCTAGTCCCTATGGCCACCAAACCTCCACTTCCATTACCCCAGTTTCGACTCAATGCCTCAGCAATTCCATGCTCCTTCTTTTGCAGCACCACATGATCATTGTAGGAGCTTGGAACCCGCAAGGTGCCTCCAACTGTGGTCTTTACATCAACAACCCTTGAAGATGAAACATAAGTGGTCCGCATTGATCTCGAGTTCGTCATGGGTAGGTTTGCCACGGTAACGCCCGATGAGCTGTTATGAGACGTGCTAGCGTGACAATTCCGGTAATTTTGGGCTTATTTATTTTTAGTCATTAGTTGGTATTTTGTTATTAATATGGGATATTAGTATTCATTATTATTAGTAGTTGTTCTACTTAGATTAGGAGATGTGTTAGTTCTTGCATAGTATTTAATTAATGTTTCTTATAAGGGAAAAAATGAATTCTCGTAGGAAAAGATAAGGAGAGAGCTAAAGCCTTGGGTGATAAGGAAATGGATTTGATTGGGTAAGTCTATAAATAGAGAAATTGTCTATGAATAATGGTATGAGAAGATTGGAACTAAATTTATGTTTGGTTATTTATTCGTTAAGTTTAATAGTATTTTTGGGTAGTTCTCACCATTAAGGAGATCTTCTACTCGAGAGCGTCGAGCAACGTATCTAAAAGTTCGGAGAATAAAAAAAATTCACGTAACAATTGGTATCAGAGCCTGATTCTCCGGCATCTCTTCATCTCAAAGTCATAAGCTTTCCCATCTTCATCCTTTGCCGCCAATGTATTCGTACCAGCAAGAATATGAACAAGAAAAAAGATGGCATTACCACAAATGTCCAACTAACACGCCAATGTGAAAGATTTTATGACACAAGAAATCTACCCACAAATCCTTGAGCAGCCAATCATCATGGTACCAGCCACAAGTCTTGTCAAACTACTATAACACCTAAAATATACATGTGTTCACCAACACTTTTATATTATAAAACGACCTAAGTTGTACCAGGGACGGAACCAGGAATTCGGTTGAGGGGGACCGGTAAAAAAATTATGAGAAAGATTAAGTAAAGTCTTTAGAATTTGAAACTATCATATATATATATATATAAATTAGTAATGCGAGCTTAATTTCATATTAGATACTAAGTAATACGATTTATTACTATTCTTCAGAAATTTACCATTATAACTTGAATAATTAAAGTTACTAGTTTGGCGTACGATTTGGCTTTACAAAAGTGTATATTTGATGAGATTTGTCCATCCACTTTGAATATATGAATGATAATTAAGAGCCTATATTTATCTCCATTTTACCTATAAAAATGGATCATATTTATTTTCACATGCATCCATGAAATTGAAATATGGTTTTGATTATATTATGTTCCCCTTGGTAGGTTAATAAATATTTGTGAGAATTATGTATAGTACATCCTAATTAGATTCTAGGTGCATATATCTTCACATTCTTATATTGTATAAGAAATAATTTTTAGATTTATCAAATGAATTGATGATATTTATCAATAAATCATTGAAACACTAGCTTCCTTATAGGGAAACGCAAAAAGAAAAATTGGGGAAGGACTAAAAAAACTAGAAGGAAAAGGGCTGAAAAACGCCACAGCTGGGCAAAATAGCTTATGATGGGTGGTCGAACTCCCCACCTCTGAAAAAGAAAATGCTAAGTTCAACCAATGAACTACAAGGAAAATATTGTTTTGTATGTTTCATGAAATCATTTAATAATCTAGAGGGGGGGAGGGGGGCATGGCCCCCCTGCCATAAGGTTGGCTCCGTCCCTGAGTTGTACTAAGTTCACTCAATTTTCTAGTTTTACCCTTGGGTTTGTGTTTGAGTGATGTTTCAGGATATTATATCCAATAAGAACGAAAGAATGACTCACTTCAGCAAAAATATATAAGAAGGAAAGAATGAGCCAATTCAACAAAAAGATGGTTACGGTTAGGGCTGCTAACCAGTTTTGCGGTAGCCGGTTTAACCGGTAACCGTACCGGTAACCGACGGTTACCGGTTAAACCGGTTACCGAACATAACGGTATTCGGATGGGGAAGTGTTTGCTGGCGGTATGCCGTTACCGATGGAGCATATTACCGTCGGCGGATCGGTAATCCGACAACGATTAAGAAACCACAAAAATCAAACGCCAAGCCCAGCTGGCAACTTCCCAGGACCAATAATAATTAAACGTTGGGCGTCGGCAGCAAGGCAACCCTAGAAAGTAAAAACTAAAAACTAAAAAAATCCCTACGAGCTACGACGAACGATCTCTATCTAATCGATTGCATCCCCTGCGCCTGAGTGACTGTTGCACGGCTGCACCGTGCACGACCGCCGTCTTCCGATCCCTCCTCCTCCGTTCATCGAAGTCAACCTCCACGCATCCACCCAGGGGCACGAGTGCACGACGACAGGCGACAGCAGCAGCCCTCATCATCGTTGACTATGTTTCCATCATCGTTTTCGTTGGCGGTTGGGTTGGTCGTTGCTCTGTTTCCTTGAAAGGCAGTCGTCGCCGTCGAACCCCTTCGTCTCCTTGTCACTTGTCTCATCATCGTTGGCACGTTGGTCGTTGCTTTGTTTCCGTCGAAGCCAGTCGTCGCCGTCGAACCCTGTCGTCTCCGTCGCTAGCGTCCCTGTCGTCTCCGGCTGTCGTCTCCGGCAAGCGTCCCTGTCACGGAGCGGAGTCACGGAGCGGAGGGGACTTTCTTTAAAACAAATCTAATAACAATTAATGAAAACAAAAAAGAACAATGCATAGGATAGAAGTGACAGGCCAGCAGCTACAGCCTACAGGCCTACAGGCTACAGCCGACATGTGCTTGCGGGACAGGACAGCGGACACGGACAGCCGGACAGGGACTGGCCGCCTTTCTCGGTCGGTAAATTCGGGACACCGCTCCTTACCGATACCGTAGCGTCCCGGTAAACGGCTTACCGCGTCCAGGTCGGCAACGGCTTCCGACGGATATTTTGGTGCTCTCGGTATTACCGAAACCGGTAAAACGGTAAACGGTAAACTGGATACCGTACCGGTTAGCATCCCTAGTTACGGTTCGAAATCTGACGTTAGTGGAACTCGAGTCTGCAACGTCCCTGGCGAGGCAAAGAGCCGTACCACTCTGCCTGCGTCTCCTTTTGGTACTATATACGAAACCCACCGTGTATTATGGTGACAAATCACGGAGAGAGAGGTGATTGACAATGTCGAGTCAAACTGCAAAGTGCAGAGTTAAATTGCCTCCTGCTAAGCTGAAGGAAAAGCTGTCAAAAGGGCCAACGTGAGGATCAACATGGTCATGTTAACAAACCACATCAACATCAACATAGTCTACAACAGACCCATGTTCAAGACCACGTCAACAAAAGTAAAAAAGATATCAAAAGGGCTAACGTCAGTGGCAAAACACGGATTATCGAGAAATCGTGCAAAATTTACGATTTTCTTTTCATTGGAGTGCGAATTGTGTTGAAAAAATTGCAAGCTCTAAAGGCAACATTTGACCTTTGCCTCCGTTGACACCAGAACCACCACCATGTTTGTCGACTGTCGCCAGTAAGGTTCTCTCCAACCGACGATCCTTTTTCTTCTCCCTTCGTTTCATCCAGATCAAAACCCAAAATAAAAAGGGGCCAAAACCCTAAAATTAACCTAAATTAGAATCTAATAAAAAAGACGGACATGCATGGCTCGAAAAGCCTATTTGAATCACGATTATCTCGTCATTTGTGCCACTAACAAGAGGAGAAGAAGTAGATTCGAAGCTTCCTTTCATCGTCTTCATTCACTGTTGATGGGAAGAGAGTCAAGAATATATAGGTAGATGACGAAGGCAAGAGAGAAGGAGATTGGAATTGTTTGGCTGCCGAACATTGGCATCATTTCTTTTTTAGTTCTGTTTTGCCTGGTTTCTAGAATGAAAGAAGGCGAGGGAGGTTGAAGTTGGGAGAGAAGAGGGTTGGTAAGGGGGCGACCTAAAAAAATGAAAGAGCTAGGTTAAATTTTTAGTCGCTAAAAGCAATTATATATCATCGTGCTATTGTCCTTTTTGCCCCTTGTATGCCTGTAAAACCTCACTTCGTGCCACTATTCTCTAAAAAGGTAAAAATGAAAAACAAATAGAGTATGTATGGTGAATTAAACTGTTGGCCTCCAACTATTGCAACTTTCAAACGACCCATATGTCTTTAGCTTTAGCCCAATTGGGCTTCCTGTCCGTTCAAAGAAAGGCTTTGGGCTTCCTCTCATGTTCAGTCCAAAGTCTAGACGGGCCGGATCGTCAGAAGAAGAAGAACAAAAAAAATACGAGTCGGAGAATTTGGGCGGGCTTTCGGAACTCGGTTCATTTCAGTTTTCAGCTCCGTTCTACTTCTATTCTTCCCATCAGCCGTCCTGGTCGAAACTCTCCTCCGATCACGATTCACCAGAGGTGAGCTAAATCCAACCGCTCCAAAATCTCGCATTCAAAAACCCAAACTAGAAAACGCAAACTCGTCCGTTCCCGGAGCGCGCAAAAATGTCGGCCTTCTCCTTCCCCTCGTCGTCTTCGATGTCCTCTCCTTCCTCTTCGCCCTTGGCATTCGGCTCCACCGCTGCCCCCTTCGGATCCACCACCACTTCCTCCTCCTCCACCGCCGCCCCCGGCTTCACCTTCGGCTCATCTCCTTTCTCCTCCTCCTCCGTCGCTAACCCTAGCTCTTCCGCTCCGGCTGCATCTCCGTTCAACTTCGGCCTCACTGCTGCCTCCGCCGCCGTTAACCCTAGCCCCGCCCCTTCCACCTCTCCCTTCGGCTTCTCGAATTCTTCCTCCGCGGCTCCAGCTCCGGCTACTTCTGCCCCTTCCTTTGGGTTCGGGTTGGCGACTCCCACTTCTTCTTCTGCCGCTCCTTCCCTCTCGTTTCCCTTCGCCTCAGCCACATCCTCCGCCGCCCCCGCCACAGCCACCGCTCCGTCTATCTTTGGCTCAGGTGCTACCTCTTCGCCATCCCCTTTCTCAACAGCTTCTTCATCCGCAATTTCAGGATCCTCACTGTTTGGTTCAGCCTCTTCCGCCCTCGGTACCGCTTCAACCTTGTTCGGCGCAGCTTCTGCTTCCGCTTCCGCGACTCCATCGTCACTGTTTAGCGCGGCTTCATCTGCGCCTGCAAGTTCCCCTGCCCTGCCCTTGTTTGGTGCTGGTGCGACTTCGTCTGCCCCAGTATTTGGAGCAGCTGCATCAGCTGGTTCGCCTCTATTTGCGGCAGCTCCCGCAGCATCAAGTTCTGCTTCGCCTCTATTTGGGGCAGCTTCCGCAGCATCAAGTTTTGCTTCGCCTCACTTTGGGGCAGGCTCGGCTGCAGCAAGTACTGCCCCATCTTTGTTCGCGGCAGCTACCTCAATACCGTCTCCGTTTTCGGCTCCCTCCTCCGCCGCAGCAAGTTCAGCTTCACCTCAAATTGGAGGACTATCAGCGGCCAGTGCTGCTTCCCCCCTATTTGGATCGTCTACTACTTCAGTCACCAACATCAATTCTAGCTTGTTTGGCTCGTCTACTCCAGCTACTGCTACCGGCTTCTCTGCCGCCTTTTCCTTCACCAAGAGCACTCCAGTCTCTACAGCCGCAGCAACTCCACCTGCAACAAAAGCATCATCTGAAAGCAGTTCAAGTTTCTCGTTCGGGACACCAGCTGCTGCATCTTCTTCACAACCTTCTTTTGGGTTTGGCAATGCGGCTTCAACTTCTCAAGTTTTCTCCACCACAACCACTGCCAAACCTACATCTTCCTCTCCATTGTTCTCCACAATCACAACAACGACTGCATCAACCACCGTAGGTGGCACGGCTGTGAGCTCCGCGGCTGCAGCTTCAGTGCCATCTCTATCTACCAGTAGCAGTATTCCATCTTCTTCGGCAGCTGCTGCTACTTCTGGGATTACTCCATCAACTGGATTTGGAGTTTCTAGCACAGCGGCGTCGTCTGGAACTACTAGCCCCTTCACTGCATTTTCTCTGCCTGGTAAAACAACCGCGATCGTCGTTTATCATCACAGCTTCTACAACCTTATTCAGTTAGTTTGTGGATCTCTTGCTTTTTTGTTATTTAGAAGTATGTCCCGATATGTACTAGATGAATATTCTTTTCGCCTATGAGTATGATTAGAGTTAAGATTGGAGAACACTGAGATTGTCTGAGGCAGCTGAGATGGATTCCTGCAAAGGCTGCAATATTTGCTTTTCTTCATTACCTCCAGCATACTGTTTTTCTATTCTCTTAAGATGGGCATCGTATGCAGATGAACCACTTGGTTCTCCGAAATTGTGTGAACAATTATAGCTTGTGTGAACAATTATAGCTGATCCTTGTGTACTGACTGCATTCTTATCATCAAGTCTTCGATGCCAAGTTTGTTACTGTTCCTGCCATGCTGCCAAGTTTGTCACTTTGAAGTTTGCAGTGCTAGCTGTATAGATGAAGCAGTTACTGGTTACAAACAGTAGGACTAAGATTTCTGCTAATGTATCCTGCAGGTGTCTCTACTTCATCTTCAACAGCCCTAACAACTCCCAGCTCGACAACCACAACTGCCCCTACACAATTGGCCCTTGTGCACTCCAGCAGTGGGTTCGTGCAGCTTTCTTTCTTGGTTTCTTAGTGTCTCTGTATCTTTAAAAGTTAGCGTTTACATTTTAACTTTGTGGAATGTCCTTGTTTGTTCCCTTTTAGATAATTGATTCAAATTTTCATTTTAGTACTGAATATGATATCACTTATTTGTAGGAAGAATCTTTTCTTAAAACTTTTTTATGGTGTGGAGATATATACGGTCATGGTTTTCGTCTCACATCATGGTTGTCTGTAGGACCAGTACTAGTGCTGCCACTACTGTAACAGCTACACCAAAGATGCCTTCTGAGATTACTGGGAAAACTGTTGAGGAGGTCATATTACATGCTAACTACTCTTTATAATGCTGGTGTCTGTACTTTTCAACTTCTTATTTTACTGACACCCTAAACCCGTTTTCTTTTGGTAGTTATGATTTGCCTCCTTACTATTCTTATCTGACTCCGATGTTCCTTTTACTGTTAAAGATCATCAAAGAGTGGAATTCAGAGCTACAAGAGCGCACTGGAAAATTTCGGAAGCAAGCCACTGCGATAGCTGAGTGGGACAAAAGGATCTTGCAAAACCGTGATGCTCTTCTGAGGCTTGAGGTACTTTGTACGGCTTAGCAATAGAAATCCTATGTTCCGATGATACAGTGCTATAATTGTATTTTACAGTGGGTTATCGTTAGTGGATTGTTTTTATGTATTTGAGTTGTGAATCTGATGGACAATGTTCCTTACCAGATTGAAGTGGCAAAAGTGGTCGAGACTCAAGCCAGCTTGGAAAGACAATTAGAGTTAATTGAGACTCATCAACAAGAGGTATTTTCACCATTGCACTCTGCAGTGTCGATAGTTATTATTTCTGTGATTTAAGTACATAATTGCCATTAGGTGCCAGAATTTTTGGTTCTACCTTCAGGGATGCTTATTTATTTAGTGGTTAAGATTTATGCCATAATCTACTTTATTACTTATTAAAGTCTACCTTGATATCATGTCTTTTCACTAATTTCATCCTACTTGAGGCGTTTTTTCCGTGCTATTCATAACATCAGACTTCCTATCGTTTGTTGCATAGCAAGGATGAAACATGATGACTGTTTATAACATGATTTTCTTCGGCTAGCTTCACTAGTTCTCTCAACGAGGGAACACTTCATGGAAATGTGGAGTGAACCATCTAGTGCCTGAATAGTTACTACAATATCTTATATGATTCGTATGGTTGCCAAAAGTGATTCATCTTGATAGTGTGAGAAATAACTAGAATTTGCATTAGACGCTCTTTTTTATTTATTTTTATATATAAGAATTATATTTAGAAAGCTTCATATTAGATGGTTGCTTGAGCTTTTGTTAGTAGGATTTCAACCTTCTGTGAAGGTTCGCTGAAACTTTTGGATTGTCAGGTTGACAAGGCCTTGCAGAGCATCGAAGATGAAACTGAGCGTATATACAAGGACGAGCGCGGGCTGCTTCTCAGTGATGAAGCTGCTTCTACAAGAGATGCAATGTGAGGGGGGTCCTATGGGTCCATTGGTTTGTGTGCTAGAAGTGCCGTGCTTGTGTTGCTATACCCATTCACCGTAACTATGTGTTTTTGCTAATTTAGGTACGAGCAAGCTGAGGTTGTAGAGAGGGAGCTGGAGCAGATGACAGAACAGATCAAGTCGGTTATAGAGCACCTAAATGCTAACCAGGTTAGTTTGAATTTGGATGTCAGCTGTAATTTATTCACTTAAATCTTAGTAGATGATAGCAGTGTGACGATGGTTGTCATGTACTGTTCAGGGTGGGGAGCTTGATCCGATTGATGGGATGACTCCATTGGATGTTGTTGTTCGCATCTTGAACAATCAATTAAGTTCCTTAATGTGGATTGACGAGAAGGTCAGTGTTGTGCATACACCCTACTTGAACCCCCTACCTATGGATCCTTGAAAGCTTCAAAACCTGCATCTTGTGTGATACCCTGATGATAGACAGCTAACTGTATATTGGAAGCTTAACAAAAGGAACAGCAAAGCTATTTCTATTACTACTACTATAACTGCCCTAGGTGGTAACTAGTTTGTATGTTATGAACAGGCAGAAGAGTTCTCTTCCCGTATCCAAAACATTGCTTCACAAGGTGGTTCTGCAGCAGATCGTGAACCAGTTGGTCCCAGGTTGTGGTTATCTTAAGACTTCTGTCTCGAGTATCTTCTTCACATCGCCTGTCATCTCCATGCTAGCCTAAGCCTTGCCGTCATTTTCCACCCTGAACCAGTGCAAGATGTCTTCTTTTAGGCGGGATGGACCATGTAATAGTAGTAGGACAACCTGAGCTCATTTCTGGTTATTGTTTTCTCTTTTGGCAATCAGTTTTCAGTGACTAAAGAGATTGTGAATGCGCAAGTGGGGTGGGTGGGTCAGACACATGAATTCAATGGAAGGAAGAGTGTTGGCTCTGTGAGTCAGATTTCGTTCCGCTTGATTTCACCGGTACTGGTACAAAGATAATTGGACTTGAGGACTATGTAATCACAATCTGCATTGTGCCGTTTGTGGGTACGACAGTTTGTTGTTAAACTTCTTGCAATAGAGCTGAGAAAAACAGAGTCTAGTTTTGTCTAGCTCGGACTTGGCTTCTTAACGAGCTGTGGCTTGTTAAAAATGGCTCCTTTATTAATGGTGTCTTAATTGCAAGTTTGGTCACTTGAATTGCTACAAAACTTCACGTTTGGTCACTAAAATTGGTTTATTCCATTAGTAGTCACTTAAATTAGTTGAACAGTTCAAGTTTGGTTACTCTCCGTTAACCTCCGTTAGACTCCGTTAATGACGACCGTTAAGTGATGACGTGGCTAACAGAAAATCATAGTCAGCATATTTTAACCCTAAAAAATGACTACCCGACCCGCCACGTCAGATTTGCCCGCCATGTCACCCTTCCCTACCCAACCTGCAAACCAACCCAATAATCGACCCCACCCCAAACCCGACCCCCTGAATCTGAAGAAGAAGACTATGGTGCTGCTTCCGCAATTCCAACCCCCAATCTCCATTTCCCTTCCAGTTACAACGATCCCTCCTCTCAATATTCTTCTTCTTCTGCTGCTGCATCTCCTTCCGCTATCTAGTACCGAAACTTCCTCCCTCAACACCACCACCACCACGCCGTCACCGCCCCGTCCTCCGTGGCCTTCAATTTCAACAACCGGCGGCTCGACTTCGTGGACCTGTCCCTCGGGAGCTCGAGCGATGCGGATCCCGATCTCCACCGCGGAGCCGGACCGTCTTCGACGGCGATGCCGATAGAGAAGGAGCATGTTTGACAAAGTGGTGACGCCGAGCGACGTCGGGAAGCTGAACCGGCTGGTGATACCGAAGCAACACGCAGAGATGTGAAACTGATCGACGCCTAGGCGAGCCCTTACGTAATGAGGCCTAGAATCGCGCTCAACGTCAAATCCGTCGAGTACGAGTTCCTCCAGGAGCAGTTCGGATCCAAGTGCGAGCTCCTCCTCAAATCAAACCCTGTCCTTCTGCACAACGGCAAACCCATCTGCGTATCCGTAGCGGCGGAGGTAGGTTTTGACTCCGGCGATGGCCGGGTGGCGGCAACCGATTTTGGGGGCTTCGGTGAATGGTCGAGGAAGGAGGTGGGCGTTTGATGAGGAGGGGAGGGTTTGGAGGAGGAGGAGGAGGAGAAGAAAGAAGGAAGTCGATTTTACTTTTCAGATTCAGGGGGGTCGGGTTTGGGGTTGGGTCGATTATTGGGTTGGTTTGCGGGTTGGGTAGGGAAGGGTGATATGGTGGGCAAATCTTACGTGGCGGGTCGGGTAGTCATTTTTTAGGGTTAAAAAATGCTGACTGTGATTTTCTGTTAGCCACGTCATCACTTAACGGTCGCCATTAACGGAGTCTAACGGAGGTTAACGGAGAGTGACCGAACTTGGACTGTTCAACTAATTTAAGTGACTACTAATGGAATAAACCAATTTTAGTGACCAAACGTGAAATTTTGTAGCAATTGGAGTGACCAAACTTGCAATTAAGCCTTTATTAATGTGTTGAGTTAGAGTTCTACTCGTTAACTAAAATGTTGATTCCTGTTTGTTTTTATTTAACTCATCAATAAAATGAGGAACTCGAGCTGAACTCAAGTATCCTAAATAGTTGAATTCTTTAAATTAAACTCTAAATAATTTATAAATTAAATACTCTAATACTTGATGAAAATAGAATAATAATACAATTTTTATTGTTAACCTATCTCATGTTTTATATACTCTATCGGCATCATATTATTTAGTCGATACATTTTAACTAGTTTATCTATAGCGATTAGTATCTAAGAAATTTATGATACATAATCTCACTTTTAAATTATAAATGCCCCATATTCGCTCACATACTGAAAGCCTAAAAAATCATATGAGGTGAGATATATAATTTAACATCCTATGAATTATCAACATGTCAACTCATATTATGTAGATCGATTCGCCCATAAGCTGATAGTCGAGTTGGCTTGCTAGCCACAATGTTGAGACATCTCATGAGCTCAAAACGAGTTAGCCCACGAGTTGAGCTCAACAAGCTACCGAGTCGAGTTGGCTTGGAAGCCTCGCAGGCTGAACATGGGTTAGTTCAAACTCAGACCATTAATAAACGAGTCAAGTTTCGACCAAATTTTTTCAAAGACAAACATCGGGCCGCTGGTGAGTAGTTAAACTCATTTGAAGCCCTATTTTACAGCAACTACAATCAAGAGTGTTACAACAGTGAGTATCAATGGTGACCCGATTTTTTGGCGGAGTAGATTTTCTATCGGGTTTCGGATTGAGTATTATATTAAGGAATTGATAAATATTTCGGGATTGAGAATGAGAATTAGAGATCAGAATAGAGATTTGGAGAAGAATTAGGGAGGAACAGAGATAGATGGCTGACGGCCTTAAGGGAGAAAGAGAGGTTGAGAGTTAGGGTTTGCTTCATATTCTTCTTGATTGATTAATAATGAATCCCAAAGTACATATTTATAGGTAGATATTGGAATATCCTAATCATTAACCTAATTCTAATTGACTACTAATAACCCGAATAATAATTATTCTTATAGTTTTTTTGTACAATAATTATTCTTATATGAAAACAACAACAACAACAATAGAAACCACATGTTTCTATCATACCTTCCCCTTGAGACCAACCTTGCCCTCACTGTTGATTGACTTGAGCCACTCCTACGTGTCTCTCGCGTAATCTGCGCTTTTGCTCCTCCATCTCTTGCGCTTCCTTTTCTTCCAATTATGCTCCATCTCATGACTTAAGCTTCTTGCTTTGACCTTCTTGTGCTTATCAAAAGCTTTAATTTTCATTTGTGAGGGCCCAATCTTTGCGTCTTTGAGGAATTCCAACGTTAATAACTCATCTTTCGTTGGCATCATACTCCAGCAGCTTAAGGAAACTACTCTCATGTGATGTTCTATTGCCTTGCCTATAGCATTAGATGCTTTAGTCGTGTGATCTTATATCATTCAAATGATTTAGTTATCTAATGCTTTAATCATTCTTTGCTTATATCATTCTATTATGTACTACTATGATATTGTTTATAATGTCATGAATCATGATAAGTTATTAGGAAACTACTCTCATGTGATTCTGGGTTGCAAAAGAAATTGAAGAGTTGAAGAAAGCTAAAGAGAGTCTTAATTGAAAGAAATCAAGAATTAATTGATTGTCTTTGGGTGATAGAAGCACTTAATTTTTTCAACAGGCAGTCAAAATCAGAATACCCAAAATGACACTAAAAAAGGTGGTTGTCAAAGGTGGTACAAGAGATAACATACATAGACAAAATAGTTGAAGAATAAGTGAGTTCTTATAAGTCTTTGTTTGGCAAAGTAATTAAAGCGTTAATTCAAATTGAAATATAGAGTGTCTTGTTACAAAAAGATTTGGTGATGCAGACAAGAGCTTTCTTTCTTTTCCTATTATAGCTTATTAAATCTAGAGACACTTTCCCATATGAATTCACATATAGCACCTGACCTTGATAGGTTCTCGACAGGATTCTATAGGAAGACTTTGCACATTATTGAGGTTGAGGTGACGACTGGAGTGCTTGATTTCTTTGCTCCTGGAAGACTGCCAAGTAGTGTAAATGCCACTATTGTGTTTCTTTGTCCTAAGATTTTATTTGCCCGTACTTTAAAATATTTTAGACTCATATCATATATCAACTTGCTCTATAAAATCTTTGCATTTGCTAGTTTTTTTTTTTAACAAGGATGAGAAATTGCATTAAGAAGAAACATAGAGGCCACAGGTACCAAAAAAAAAAAAAACAAATGAAGAGTAGAGGAAGTGACCCTCACAAGAGGTGAGAGGTCATTGAAATAGCTACAAGAAAGAAAAAAGAACAACAAAGAGAAAAAGTACGTGCAAAGACCCTCCACGAACCCAAAGCAAAGCATGATACCAGGTGCAAGAAGCCAAACAAAACAGACGACCCAACCCAAAACGAGAAGGAGCAAAACCAAAGCAACATCGAAGCAGCATCTACTGGCCTAAAACACGCCTTGCTCTCAACCATTTGATTCCTTAATTTCTGTCAATCTTCCCCGCACCAACGAGCCAGTCCATTGCAGATTTGATTACATTGATAGTTATTGCACTATGTGGGAAACTTGTGTCTCTAAATGTTCTCTCATTCCTCTCGCGCCAAACCTGCCAGCAAATCGCGTGGAGCAAACAATAAACAACGCAACCATTCAAATTATCGGGTTTCTTGCTACTCCATCTTTGAATAAGGTCTCGAACACCACCCTGCGACTGAGGAAAGTTGAAGCAGAGAGATTTGACTTCCTTCCACACGCCTTGTGTGAATGCACAATCCACGAATACATGATCAATCGTCTCAGCATCTTTGATACACAAGTTGCATATGTTTGCAAGATATCATCCTTTCTTCTGCAGGTTATCCAAAGTTAGGATTTTCATATGGGTGATGGTCCACACGAAATCACAAACCTTGAAGGGGATGACCTTCCTCCACACGGATTCAACAGGAAAATCAGCTAGCCTAGGGAACTCGATGGTGGCCAAGAACCTGTAAAGAGAAGTCATAGAGAATGATGACTTGGGTTGAGGCGATCAGACAAGCCGACTCGGACACCCGAGAAGAATCGATAGAATTAAGTGTCAAGAACCAGTTGGTCCCAATAACTCGAGTTGTTGGGAGAGATTCAATCGTGGATCATATATCACAACACTAACACGCCCCCTCAAACGAAAGCCACTCACAAGGGCTTGAAATTTGCACAGGTCTCAAGACAAGAATACCATGTGCTTAACAAATGGGGGTCACCGAGAATCGAACACAAGACCTCTCGATGACAGAAGGCTCTGATATCATGTCAAGAACCAGTTAGTCCCAATAACTCGAGTTGTTGGGAGAGATTCAATCGTGGATCATATATCACAACACTAACATTAAGGGTATTCAAGAAAGGAACACGCTCTCTCTCAGCCCCCCTCTCAAAACAACATCCAGATCAATAAACCGCTCAATGTTCTTACCTCTGCGATTGGCGATGTCCGAGATCCAAGCATCAGGATGGGAAGCGGCTGCAACAACTCTTAGAAACTCCTTAGTGAGAATCGTGTTCAATAACCATCAATCGTACCAAAAGGATGTACCAGTTCCACTCCGGAATTAATTACAGTGACCTTCCAAAACACCTCAAACATTACTAAATTAATTACAATTTAGTAATGTTTGTCCTAATGGATCCACCAAACCCACCTCCACATCGCTGACTCAGCCACTGGGAAGAAGAAGAAGAAGAAGGATGTTTGATTTTGATGAGCGTCCTCCACCAACTCAAACTCTCAGAGGCGAATCTCCACACAAACTTGATTAGTAATGCCTTGTTGAAGCAATTGAGAACTTTGATGCCCAAACCGCCATTTTCAATAGGAGCCTTATAGAGATCCCACCGGGCTAAAGGAATTTTGTGAATGTCACTAGCCACGCTCCACACAAATCTTCTTTGTATCTTCTCAATTCTGTTAACCACAGTCGCAAGGGCGCGGAGCAAAGAAAAGTAGTAGACATGCCGGCTATTCAAAACAACATTGTTAAGGATAAGGCGGGCACCAAAGGACAAGTGCCTACCTTTCCATCCCTCAAGGTGCCTCTGATATTTGTCAACGATCGAGTCCCAAATAGATATGAAGTTCACCTTCGTGCCCAAAGGAAAACCAAGGTACTTTGATGGATCCTTCAATTGCACCCAAAAAAAAAACAACAAAATATTCATATTAACATCCCCACCGTGAACATCAATGACTTTTCCAGATTGATCTTAAGTCCGGCGACTGTCTGTAAATACACGATTGTAGCCAGCAGATTCAACACTTGTTCATAATCACATAAGGCCAAATTGTCATCAGCAAAGAGTAGATGGGTAACTTCCCCTCTACCATGTTAGTTATTTTAGAACCTTATGTTCCTATGTTCTCTACGGTGATGATTGTTTTAACATTTTGCTTTAATTTTATAGCATTCCTTCTCCTTTTTAAGAGGTTTGTAGTGTACTCACGTTTTAATAACATCATCATTTCTTAATTATAGGATTTAACATTTATTTTTGTTTAAATTAGCTTTTATTCCCCTTTCTTAGGGGCTCCTTATTAATTTTTAATATATACTATTTTGCTTCATCATTATTTAATTCACTTTCCATTATTAAATTAGATTTTTTTCTTTATTATGTAAAACAAATTACTTTACATGAGATAAATCACACTTTTTACTCGTGGCTCCACCACTTGTAAACTTCTTTCGGTGTTGCATATTCGATAATTCCGACTAATTTCTAAGGGTACGTTATAATCTCTCGAGTTAGAGATTGTTAGTACTATAGTGGTTGCCATTCTGGCTTACCACTTTGCAGGGGTATTATAGTGTTATGAAGATCAATCAAGGAAGTGCAGTCAATTACATTTGTTTGTATCAAATTTGATGATGGTCCTATAGGCCTTTGTTAGCGAGATGATGTGTAATGCATTTATTTCTATGTGACTTGTGACAAAGACTCGGAAATGGTCATCTAACAAGCTCTGCCTGAGGAAGCTACGCGTTTGCTGGCTGGAACGATCTTAGAGGAGTTTGTTTTCTTCTTATGTCCTTTGTGTCTTTTCAATGTTTTCTTCTCATTATTCGACTCATTGTCGCGTCTTTTACTCTTCATAAATTTTCCAGAGCTGCCCATGTAGTGGCATAACGGGCTCTTTCTTCGGTAGTTTATTTGCCTACAAACTACCGCGCTTATTCTGAATCAGTTTTGTTATTGAGTCTTGAGTCGAGTCATTGTCGCATACCCTTTGGGCTTGCCTTGAAAAAAAAAAGAAGGTTTGGAGCTAGTTCATGGCATTTGTTCAAAATTTCTTTAGCATGATGGTGGTGAAGGCAAGGAAAAATTGGATGAGAAAGAGTAGCCATAAGTCATAAAGAAGGGGTCTAGGGCTCAAAGATTTATTCTTATGGAACCAAACCTACACTACTATAAGTGGGATCATTTTTGTAGCTTGGATGTTTAAATAAAAGGTGAAAACGGGTAGCATCTGGACTGAAAGTTCCAGTCGGTGTAGATCATGGGCTTGGAGGTGGGTAGTCAAAATTAGGGCTGCAAACGATCCGAGTCGATTTGACTTTGTCAAGTTGAGTACAAGCTAGGCTCATGATGATTTCGATTTGAAATCATTCTTGGTGAAATATGTGTACAAGTAAGAGTTTAAATGATAGAAAGAACACTAAAAACTATAAATAACTGCTAACTTCCATATACATCCGTATTTAGAAGATAATGTTCATGTTCATAAGAGTAATTACTCCTTCCACAAGCTCTAAACAAGTCAGCTCGCGAGCTTAGCTCAACAAGCCACCGAGTCAAGTTAGTTCACGAGCTTATCAACCTAGCATGGTCTAGCTCAAGCTTGGCTTGTTTACTAATGAGTTGGTTCACGAACCAACTTTTTAAATAACGAGCCGAGTGTCGAACGTGTTTTTTCCGATTCGAATGCCGAGTTGCTCGCGAACGATTTGACTCATTTGCGGCCCTACTCAAAATGAGGCCACTTTTTCAAAGGCATTTCAGTCAGCATGGTACTGTGTGGTGTTGGGACTGTGGGCCTATGGAAAACTATTAAGGTTGTTGTGGTTTTGAAAGTTTGAAACCTAAGTGGCCTGAGGTTGAGTAGTCGGCAATGTTGTGGAGTAAAAGGCACATCCCTCGATTTAGCTTTATAGTTTGGATGGTTATGTTAGATGGAATCGTTACTAGAGACAACCTGAAGGTGTGGTGAAAGATCATGGTAGGGCACTGTTTGTTGTGTGATTATACTATGGAATCCGGGCAACATATTTTCTTTCCGTGTGTTCATATTTCAGGAAGTTATTGGACTATATATGCTGTCGTAGATTGCTTATCCTAAGGATCATGTCCTGATTATGTTGTAGGCTGTCATCTCATCTCATCTCATCTCATCTCAGCAAGAAGATGCATGTTGGATGCATTTTTATGGTGTATGTTCTGATTATGTTCTTGCATACTAGTTTTGGCAATAAAAATGGAATAGATTCAACAAACAAATCTTTGGTTTAATGCCCTCCCTCAATTAATTCATTGTGACACATTTTATTCGACGGTACTCTGGATGGTAAATACGATTTGATGGGTTACTTTTTATTGGCATTGGAAACACATCAACCTCAATTAATCAATGGATGATATAATTTTTGTTTTTATTTAAATTTAAAAAATTTGGATCAAATCTCATTCTTTTTTTTTTTTTTTTGGATCAAATCTTATTCTTAGAAGAAGCAACATAATTCATTAGATGGTCCTGATGTTGGTCTTTATGAGATCATGAGCTTACCTGTCATCAAACTGCTAGCCTGATCGGTACACTTGTCGTAGATGCCAAATAATTAAAAGACTTAAAACAATTTCATGTTGATAAACTAAAAGCATGTTCAGTTCTGAAAGTGTTCCAAATATAGGATTCGTCCAAATTGGCATTGGTTCCTTCCTCTTACGAGAAACAAGAAGGCTTTCGATCTCTCATTTTTTTCAGATCCATTTCCTGTTTGTTGTTTCATCTTTCTTGATTTCAATCGTGGGAGATGGGAGACGCGAGTGGTCAATCGAGGTACGTGAAGTTAACAAAGGAACAAGGTCCAGCCGAAGACATCACTCCCGGCGAACTCAATCAGCCCATCCAAGTCCCTCAGGTCAGGTCATTCTTCCTTCTTTGTAATTACTAAACAATCACTCTTTCAACACATGGTATGGTTTATTCGTTTGCGGAGATCTTAACGTTCATTATGATGATTACTATTACCACCACCAGCTGATCATCCACCGATGCCATGAATGTGGGCAACCTCTGCCGGAGAGCTACGAGCCTCCCGCCGACGAGGACTGGACTACCGGCCTCTTCTCTTGTGCTCAAGATCCCGATAGCTGTACGTAAATAAAAATTTTCTCACTTTCACCTTCATCATTCGAATGGACTAACGAATGAATGAATGAATCTAGGCCGAAGGGGTCTGCTGTGCCCGTGCGTGCTGTTCGGCGAAAACGTCGAGACGGTGAGGGGTGAAGAGTACTGTCCATGGAGGCACGCCTGCGTGTGTCACGCCATATGCGTGGAAGGAGGCATCGCCGCGGCGGCACTCACGGCCGTCCTCGGCGGGATTGATGTACAGACGTCTCTCCTGGTGTGCGAGGGATTGCTGTTCGCGTGGTGGATGTGCGGAATCCACACGGGACTCTTCCGGGAGTCGCTGCAGAAGAAATATCATCTCAAGGAATCGCCATGCGACGCATGCCTCGTCCACTGCTGCTTCCACTGGTGTGCCATCTGCCAGGAGCACAGGGAGATGAGGAACCATCTCTCCTATGATTCCTCTATGCAAGTCACCGTCGTCAACCCTCCTCCTATTCAGCAAATGACCGTCATTCATCACGACGCCTCGACAATTTCGTCGTTGCCATCCGTTGCTACTGCAGCCCAGCCGGTTGTATCGGACACTGGCCATGTCAGGCTAGAGATACAGCCTGTGTAGTACATACATACAAACAATTGCCAAGTATTTCTTTAAATGCTGTGGCCAACTCCAGTGTCACCAAATAATTTTCACCCTCTTGAGTTCCTGCTGTACTACGATGTTTGGAAAAGTTCTCTAGCTTACGGGCCAGTCTTTCTTCTTTCCCTTGTTTTCTTGATCATCATCATAGAACACAGAGCGTTATTTTACTGGAGATAATCTATGGACAAGTTTAAGTTTATCTGCCCATGAACTCATTCAGAGGTTTATTTTGCAGAGTCTAGTTACCGCGATAAAACAGATGTAGAATCTATCAAGATACGACATATTAATATCAGTCTCCCGTACTCACTGTTTATCACTACATTGTTGAGCCTGCACATTTACGTGTAACAGGTACGACCCAACCGTTTGCTCGCCAAAGCATATTATCTCAAGGGCACTCACTTCTGAGAGATGAGAGCTCCAACCTAAGTAACAATAAATAGAAAAGTAAAGAGTCAAAAAACCCAATTGAACACAGACAATCATTTGCAGCAGTTTAGAACAAGAGATTTGGTATGAGCGTTTGTAGGGCTTTGTTGTAAACAAGTAGTTGGAAAGGAAGGCGCTAGCAAAGTAGTTTTCTCTTGTGTTTCGATTTCAGTTCTACTGTTAGCGAGTTACCTTGAGAGCTATTTTTGTGGAATTAACTGGAGCTAGATGGAGGAGCGTCTGGCTGACTTTCAGGCATAGCATCCTGAATAGATGGTAGCTCACTGTATGCCTCGTGAAGCCTTAGCAGAAGAGGGAACTGGGTCTGCATAAAAATTTGATAAATAGTATGTCGTCAAAATATGCATGCTTTTCAGAGCAGTGCAACATGGGGAAAACCATAAAAGAAACACACAAGCAGAGGCCTGTTGCTCCCTATCACATATTGCTTCTTTGATTGAGAGGAAATGTAACTACTTCAGAAGGCCCTGTCAAAACATGTCCATGTTAATTGAATTACCATGTCAACTTTGAATCTCCTAATTGCTCCATCAACTTGCGGTGCTACAAACAAATCTGCCTGCAAGTTAACAGAACAACAAAGGCGGTTATCCCTTCATATTGCACATTATACCACTTTATGAACTTCAGCTTCACCAGCTGTCGTTACAAGTAGATTAAACAGGCATAATAACCTGCAAGTAAATGATAGGGTCAACTCATTATAAAAAAAAATGATAGGGTCAACTGCTTTGTCCATTCAGTGCTTCCAACAAAACTATGCCCCACAAAAGTTTGAAAAAAAAAGGCGTCGGTTGAAACCACGAAATGTAGATTACAAAATTACCATGAAAACCTCGTCTCCTGTTGCGTATTTTCCAGCATGGTCTTTAAGGAGCTTCTCAAGAGCTGACACTCACAAAAGCAGCAATCAGATGGGAGACATAAGAAACCATGCATAAGGAAAAGCTGAAATTGAATAGATAATCTCCATCAAATCTCGCCTTGCCAAGATTCAGTAAATCTTAAACTTCACTGCCCAGGGCCAGTATTGAAATTAGACGTCATTGCTCCAATCCACCAAATATACTGTTAACCCTTTTCATGTATCAACAGCAACACTTTACTATAACTTACCTGCAAAGCCCCTTTCAATATGGTGCCGAGCCCATGTTTGTGGATCAATTTTACCTTCCACAAATTTCTGTAATAGAAAAGTGAACATCAAATAGAAGCATCAGGTAACCCATTCCGATTTCATCTAACCTTCATCAAACTCAAGGAGATGGTGAGCCTCCTGTTAATCATCCACACCAAGACATACTCACCAGCACAACTAAATTCTGGAATGGCTGTATGCTTGAGGAAACAATATTTGCAACCTACAGGTTCGGTAAACCAACATAAGATATTAGTGGCAGATATCTACACTAATTAATGAAGTGAATTCATAAGCAGACACTCTGCCAAGAAGACAAGAGCACGAGAATGAACGCCCAGTCTTTGTTCATGGCACATGGCATCACAAGAAAATGTGCAAGTAAAGCAGGAAGTTGGCAAGACCGCAAGAGAAGAACGAAAGCAAGGACAAACCAACGACATTGCTTGAAATGAGCAGCGTGTTGACTCGTAATAAAATAAAAATAAAAAAATAGGATGGAAGGCAGTGCAGTTCAAGTTCAACCTGGTAATTGAGGGCTCTCTTAGCAAGATCACTTGGCAACAGTGGATGCTGGGGATACTTATCTTCAAGATACTGACCACAGGAATTATGTGCCCATGAGGAACAAATGCTATTATTATTATTATTCGTAACGTAATTAAATTTCAAGCAAACTGACTAACCCCATTATTGATTGAACAAATCCGGAAATGAAGATCCAAAGAATAAAAGGGAAGGGAAGGAAACGCACCATTAAAATGGCAAAAGAATCAGAAACCACAACCTCTCCATCCACCAGCACCGGCACAAAACCAAGAGGATTAAGCTTCAAAAACTCTACAAAATGAAGGCAACCAAAAGAATGGCCCGGTAAAATGGTGAATTGAATAGCTCGATCGAAAATCTCACGCCACCTTTCAGAAAATAGTCAACAAACTGCTTCTAAACCCTAAAGCACCGCTTGATCAAACGATGCACTTGGAATCAGAATTTCGCTCTGTTGGATCAGGTCTCCGTCATATTCCGGATTCAGAAGTTCAGAACTCCAAAGGAGAAACAAAACAAAGAAAACATACAATACGAGCAACAAGCAGTACAAATCCGGTGGGACGGGGGAACCGTAGGCTACTCACCAGAGTTGGATTGCTCTCCCTTGGCCAAGTTGACTGCCACATATTCGTACTTAATCCCTGCAGTGCAGACCCAAACATTTACAGAAGAATTCTCAAAACAAATCATTTTACTTGGCGAGTTGAATTCGATGATAACAGTAACAGCAACTCGATGGGGTGGGTTCAGATTAGATGAGGAAGAAGAAAAAGGAAGGAAGGGAACCTTTGAGGTTGAGCGCGATTCGGACGCGGCAGGAGCAAGAGCTCCGCCAGTAGGAGTAGAGCTTCAGCTGACTTCCTTCCGCTTCCATTTGATTTGAACACGCACGAAGAAGACGAGTTTCTTCTTCTTCCTTCCCTTCTTTGTTCTTCTAGTTTTGCAGGTATGGGGAGGGGCTTTAGCGGTTCGTTTTTTTTTTTTTTTGTCAAAGTTTAGCGGTTCGCTTTCTTCTTGGTCGCTTTCTTCTAGTAGTTTGACACGTAAACCACAGCCAAGTTGTCAGCTATATCACACGGATAAATTTCTTTTCGTTTGGAATGCTCCAAATGGACGAGGAATTCTAACTTTCTAAGTTTAATCAATCAATTGCAATTGTCTGATAATTGAACTAAATTGACCTGTCTAACAGTAAAAATTTGGACCAACTGATTTGAATTGGAAAATTTGAAATGGATCCAGTCAATTCCAATTATCTATGGACAATTCGAATTGACTTATTATAATTGAACTGGATGATAATTTTAAAATCACAACTCAAATATTATTAATTCAAGTATTGTATATTTAGTTGCAGCATTGAATGTGTAGAAGTGATTTATAATTATTAATTTAATATTAATTTTTAGAACAATGGCCTCAGGGACTGGGAGGGGTTTCTTGGCAGTACTTGTGCAAAAGTGTAGAAGGTCATTCATGGATATTATATTTAGTCCAGCTATCTTGTTAATATTTGGGTTAAAATTTGATTTACATTCTTATACAATCTTATGATACATGAAGGTTTTGTAAAATAATATTTTACTTTTGATAGTCACAAGAAAATTTTGCTCATGTAGTAGCAATATGCATGAAAGAATTTTTATGGTTTTATGTGTGCCATCATTTCTGAATTTATGCGTATCACCAAATCCTTATTAATTTCTACATTGACATGTAGAGAAATGAAAGTTCCGTACCTCATATTTTTATGGCTTTATGCGTGCCATCTGTTGGATAAGTATGGATGAACCCATGGGGGACATGGGTTCAAGAGACTTGGTTGGGCCTAAACCTAATTGAGGGCATGAGTGACAAAGCAGGAGTTGGGCCCAAATGTGGAGGAGTGTAACGACAAAGAAGACGCGGGGACCACGATGCTTCGGGACCAAGAGGCTGAGAGCGTGCCACCTGGAAGTGTGGTCCTGCCAGGCGCCTGGGCGCCAGGGTCCGGGAGCTGCCACGTGTAGGTGCCCGACTGTTGGGCCGTATCAGGCATTTAATGACGCGCTGACGTGGAGTTGGATTCCAGGAGCCTGGTTGGAACCTCGACGAGTATAAATAGTACTAGGTAGGTAGCATTTAAGCATGTTGGCTTCTCTCACTAAAAACCCTCAGATTACTTATCTCTCTAAAAGCAGGCTCTGACTTAAGCGTCGGAGTGCTAACGGGCAGTTCCAAACCCATTAGGCGTTTACCTGTGCAGGATCTGTGCGCCTGACAGGAAGTGCTTTTGTTAAGGAGGAGAAGCAAGGTTCGGAGGATCGTGGCTTCAACACCATCATTTCTGAATTTATGCGAATCACCAAATCCTTATCAATTTTAATAGAAGGGCATGTTTGGTAATGTTTTCAAAGTACAAAGACATGTTTGATGTAAAAAAAATAGTAGAGGGACCTGTTTAACATCATAGTAGAGGGACATATTATACCTATAACCCTATTATATTTTATTTAATTATTGAATTTTTTATTAACTTTTATTTCCACGTGGCATCCACATCAACATAGCATGTTGATTCACTAACGGTCAACATCAATTTGAGGCTATGATGGCGATTTCTAAAACACGAGCCAAAGTTGATTACTTGTGTTGTGTATAGTTCGAACCAAAATAAGTTATTAACCTATGATTTTACAATCACTATCCAAGCCGACCAGTACTTTCCTAACTCTGGAACAGATCTAGTCAGTAACCTTGTGATGCAATAACCTCATGCATAAACCAATAAGAATCCGCCACATCAGCGCCTTCTTCTCTCTCCTCGAAAAAGCTTTAATTTTCCTTCTCTTAATCTTTAACGGGTGATTTCTCACACGTTTTAAGTCAGAATTGAATTTTTTTGCACTGTTATATCAGATTAATTGTGTTATTCAAAATGATATCCACTTTGATATTTTTTGGAACAAAAAAATTTGCCAGTTATTACCACTCTATATCATACTTATTGACTGGTATTAAATAAGAGCATACCATATGGTATGAAAAATACCACCCCATACCAGGGTGGTATAGTATGTTATAGAGTTGGTAACGAGAGGTATGAAATTTTTTCACCCATAAATTTTTGAAATCCAATGGATCATGATTAAATCGTTCCTTCTGTGCAAAAATTTCCGAAAACAACTAAAAACGGAGGAGATACCATATGGTATAGACTTGGTAACGAGAGGTATGAAAAAAAATTCTCATAAAATATTGAAAATGCATATCATTTTGTAGAGCACAACGAACTCGTTCCATCTATGCAAAAATAATTGAAATCTGAGTTAGAATGAAGAATATATGATCCAATCAGGAAAACTAGCGAAAATAAATTTCTTTAATTCTCCACCCCTAAATCTGCAACCATGATAGGGCAAAAGCGTATAGCTTCAATTCCTATCTTGTAGTAAACCGGAAAGTCCGGGTATCGTCTCTCAGGGACTGGTACAACCTTAAGATTTAGCGATTTAATAGAGCAAACTATAGGTGAAAATGATTTAATGAGATTATTAACTACTAGCAAAATTAACTAAACAAGCAAATTAAAGTGTCGGGTTTAATTCAATGGGAGAAGCTCTGGGAGAAGCTCTGGGAGAAACACCGGGATTCACTACCTATCCTATCCAGATTAATTCACATATTCCAATCAATTTAATCCATATCTCTACAGCCAGGATATCACTACTGTGCTAGCTATCCCTGTCGGGAATTACTACGTACTAAACAATTAAATCAAATCCTACTGTCGTAGCTCAATGACTTAATTATTCAGCCTGAAGAACGATATCCTATTTAAGACCGCATAGCACATTATTTAATCCACTGTCGCTTCGATAAGTTACTATGTCACATGAAATAGGTTCAGTTATTAGGGTTTCACTGTCGCTAATAACCTAATTAACTACAAATCATTGTATTGGTGGTCAGTCAACACAAAGCATTAAGTAATTTCATGCAATAGAGATTGGAAGAAAAGAATTCTAAATCAATCCATCAAATCAAGAAATAGCTACATCCTATGGTGTTTCCCCCAGAAATTGGGGTTTAGTTCATGACGAAATTAAGATAAATCGATAGGGTTTTGTTCATCATGTTCTAAAACAACAAGAAACAACTAATTCGGTTTAGAAAATCCAACCAACTAATCGCTCTCGTTGAATTCAGCTCAAGCCTTGGAAAAACTGCTCGTTAATTGCTCAATCGCTCTCTGATTTCCGCTTGTCCAAAGCCTTGCGCTGCCTGTGTGCCGCTGTCCTTCTTTTCCCAAAGAATTTTTCGTTCTCCCCGAAAATAAAGTGCCCCTGCTTCGCTTTTCTTCTCCCCAGGAAATCCGCCCAGCCAATTAAATTGCCTTCGTCCCAAAAATATTCCTCTGGCCCAATCCGCTCCAAAAATAAAAGTAAAAGTCAAAGAGTCCTCTCTCCAATTAAAATTGCCTCCCTTTACCCCGTTAAACCACTTCCTGTTGCCTTCCTTTTCTAATTAAATTGCATCCCGAGACTCCCAATATAATTCCGCCTCTGGAATCTCTTGTCCCCCATCAAATCAATTCGCCAAATCCCCTTGGCCCGTCCCAAAAGTGAAGTCTCCTCTCCTCCCCGGTCCAAGTCATTAATTCCCGTCCAGCTGGGCTTTAAGCCCATCATTCAAGAATTGTTTGCCGATGCAACTTATTTTTCGTGTTTTCTTCACCTGTAATACATCAAACTCATGGCACTAGGCAGTAATGGTTTTTCAACCATTCCCGGGTTAGCGAGCCCTAAAATAGCACAAATTGGCTAAAACATACCATGGATAATCACTAAAGTCCTAAAATTCAATATGTTAAAGCCGATTATCACAACCCCACACTCAATTGTTGCTTGTCCCTAAGCAACGACTCAAAAGACACAAAATGGTAACCATCCAAAACAAAGACACCACAGACTCACTAATCAAACACTCAAAGCAAAACACAAAATTTCCTTGTACTCTTGTTGTAATCAGTAGTTTTTTTCTCAACGGACAAGTTGTGCTTTAATGGTCATACCTTTCACCCCACACTCAAGTTCTTTGCAACCATTATCATTGACTGACTCAAATCCCTCAAAAACTCAAATAGCAACACTCAATTTCGATCGTCGGTAGTTGGTGGTTAACAACTTATGGTGCAACAATTATTAGGAGAATCTAACCACATCAGTGAGGTGCATATCTCGTGAGGACAATCTGGCTTACTCACACCAATCATAAGCAATTAATTAAGCACGAGTCTAAAAACAAATGGGGGAAGCTTTTGGCAAACTTGGTTTTAACTTTAAGAACATCACTACCTTTCTGACAAGGAGAGGCTTTCTCTCTTTCTAATTTTGCTTGCCGAGTGGTTGTATTTAGTACAAGTGGGATTTGCTTCTTACTACCGGTGACCGAGCAAGAGCAATTTCTGCTTCTTAGCACTCGCATAAGGGCTTCTTTTAACTCCTTTTCCTCGGTCCGTGTGGAGGGTCATTGTACATCCTCTAATGGCACTTCACTCTACTGGGGATCGTACTTGATAAGCAACATCGTACGGTCGCGAACCGATTCTCAATTGAATCTTTCCTCATCCCCATGTGCAATGAGTGATTGCCTCACACGATTTTGGCATTTTTACCCACACTTTAATTGTTATGGCAACTTTCTTATCTTTTACTTGTCAGGTACTGTTTTCTTTTATGAAGATACAGTTCACCCCATCATAAAACATTCAAAACAGAGAAACTCGTTGCCAAATCAAAACTCACAATTGATGCAAGTAAGCACGGTATCCAAACATGTCGAATGGTCAATGTTCTCCACCTAACTACTTCACCAAAAGTCATTACACTATCCTCACAAAAGAGAATGTTGCTAAAAGAGTTGCTCATTCAAAGCATATCAAGTCAGTCAAAACATTTAAGCCATTGTGAAGAACCATGCAACTCAACACTAGTGGGGTGATTTTGATGATTTCCTTCAAGCACAAACTCATTTTCAAAGCATCACGGTCATTTACATAATGTTACCACAAGAGTACAAGGTTTTGTTTTTATTTTTTCTGATTTTTAGGTGTTTTTTAGCCATTAGATTAACACAGGCAGCCTGCTTTTTACACAGGCAAACTGCATGCAGTTTGGCTGTGCTCAACCTAATGGCAAATTTTTTTTTTTTTGGATTTTTTTTTACCGACCACATGACAAAAGGAACAAACAAACACTAAGACTCGCCACCCCACACTCAGGATGGAACATTGTCCCTAATGTTCAACTCCTAATCTAAACATGCACGGTTTGACACAACGAAAAAGAAAAATAAAGAAAAGAAAACTTACCTTGGGTTGCCTCCCAAGAAGCGCTTGTTTAACATCCTCAGCCTGACGTTCATGGAGCTTTCAACCAATGGGTATGGAAAGGTATCCAGAATACCCTCCCGAGCAATGATAGAACGCATAACCTCCATCCAGCATATGAGTCACCTCTGCAGGGCCAGGTGTGCGAAAATTGGGTATGACATTCTTAGCTGGCATGTTAGACCTTTAGTGAGGCGTAGGTGGTACTGCAGCGCCTCAAGCAGGTACTCTTCCTGTTTCAATGTCAGTGAAGAAGGAATAATAACAGGAAGATTGAAATCCTTACCCAAATATCTATACTTGAGGTGATCTGGCAAGGATTTCTGTCCTTGCTTTGATTTCAGAATCTGAGCAGATAGGACATGTGATAGTTCTTCAGGTTGTCCACTATCCCAGGAGAATGAATTTTTCCTTTCTCGAGCTCCACTTTCAAAGTCATCAAATGCATCGTGATTATGGTCAACTTGAAAGACATTAAAAATTTCCTCCTTCTTACCTACTCGGAATGTCAACTTGCCTCTACCAACATCGATGAGTGCATCACCAGTGGCTAGAAAGGTCTCCCAAGAATGAGAGGCACTCCCCGATCTTCTTCCATCTCCAGAATCACAAAATCTGTAGGGAGAATAAACTTCCCCACCTTCACCAATACATTCTCCACCACTCCTTTTGGAATTTTCACTGATCGATCAGCCAATTGGAGAGTGATCCGAGTAGGCTTAAGAACATCTCCCAATCCCAATTTCTTGTAGACTGAGTATGGCATCAAATTAATTCCTGCTCCAAGATCACAAAGTGATTTATCGAACTCTCTACCTCCAATGACACATGGAATGGTGAAGCTGCCCGGATCATCCCTCTTTTCTGGTAATTTATTCTGAATCACAGCACTACATTCAGAAGTAAGGGTTACCTTCTCCAGATCAACCCATTTGCGCTTCTTTGTCAGCAACTCCCTTAAGAATTTAGCATATGTAGGCATCTGTTCAAGTGCCTCCGCCAATGGTATGTTGATATGAAGTTGCTTGAAGATATTCACAAATTTCTTGAAGTTTGGGTCTTCCATGGGCTTCATTAACCTTGAGGGAATGGTGCGGGAGGTTCATAAGGCTTTACCTCTTCCTTCTTCAATTTTTCCACTTTTCGAGGTACACGGGCAGATTGCTTTTGCACAGGCAGATTGCATGCAGTTTGCCTGTGCAAGTCAGATTTTTCAAATTTTGCACTTTCTTCATCCTCTACCTCTGCAACTCCTTCTTTTTCAGATTTTGTTGACTTCCTTGAACTCTCTGGATCCTCCAAGGCCTTTCCACTCCTCAAGGTGACGGCTACAACCATGGCGTCCTTTGCATTTCTCTCAGTATTTGCTGGTAAAGTCCCAGGAATCCTACCTTGAATATCTGCCAAAGTTTGAGCCATCTGTCCTATTTGCCTCTCCATAGCTAGCATAGATGATTGCATATTATTGTTGATGGCTAGCTGTTGAGTGACAAATTGACCAAGACCCTTGAAATTATTGTCTGTTTTCTGCATATGAGCCAAAATCAACTCCTCCAGCTGGGGCTTCTTCTCTGGTTGAGGCTGCTGCTGTTGAAAACCAGGAGGTGGGATGTTTCGAACACCAGCTAGATTATTGTTTGACCATGACATATTGGGGTGATGTCTCCAGTGAGAGTTGTATGTATTTGAATGCATACCACCCTGGCCTTGACTTCGCGGATTGTTGATATAGTGCACATCTTCCACCTGATCAGCCACCAGTGGACATAGATCCCTATGATGAGCACCTTCACATAATTCGCAATAAGCAACCTCCTCTTGTCTACCAAGAGCCAACTTAGCCAGCCTTCGTTCGAGTGCATCGAACTTGGAATCCAACTTAGCATCAATCTTTGCTTCTAAGCTTGCAACTCTGTCTATCTCATGCAAGCCTCCTCTCATTCGAATGCCGGTCTCACTACCCCATTCAGTATCTTCAGAGCATATCTTCTCCACCAGTTCATATGCTTCTGGTGCTTCCATTCTTGTGAAACCATTCCGGGAAGCATTATTCAGAGCATCTCGGTATTGTCTTCTGATTCCGTTGAAGAAAATGGAGATCACGTTCCAGTCTTCAAGACCGTGGCTCGGGCATCTCATCAACAACCCCTTGTAGCGCTCCCATGCCTCAGTCAGACTCTCATCATCAGCCTGCTTAAAAGTAACAATCTCTTCTTGCCTCTTCATTGCCAAGGCAGGTGGGAAGTATTTATCCAGAAAGACCTTCTCAAGCTGACCCCATGTCGTGATGGAACGGGATGTTAAGTTCTGGAACCAGTGTGATGCATTCCCTAGCAGAGAAAATGAGAACATCCGAAGACGGATTGCATCATCAGACACAGCCGGGCTCTTCATTGTGTCACAAATGCTTGCAAACCGGCGAAGATGTTCATGAGGATCCTCGGTGCTGGCCCCTGAGAAGGTGTACCCATTCGTGATCATATTGATGAAGGCTGGGGCAATCTCCATGTTTGCATCCCCAGTCGGAATGACAACACATGAAGCTCGGGCTCCAGTCCTCCGATTCAGACGAGCCCTGATCGAACGATCCTGTTCAGCCATGATGATAGGCTCGATGACGCGTGGCGGTGGTGTAGGTGGTGTAGGGATGACAGGTGGTGACACCTGCCTTCTCGGTTGACGATTCTGAGTTAGGGAAGGCCTAGGAGTTGTGGATGTGGTAGGCTGCTTCCCTAACTTGACCTGCTTCCTGTTCTGTCGGCAGGTCCTCTCGATCTCGGGATCTAGTGGCAGTAAATTGCCAGTCGTCCTCCTTGGCATGCACGAGGAGGATTAACCTGAAAAATTCACCTGCACACTAACACCCAGATCAAAATAGTTCACTCACAAAAAATCAACAAAAAATAAGGTATGGCAGTCCCCAGCAACGGCGCCAAAAACTTGATAGGGCAAAAGCGTATAGCTTCAATTCCTATCTTGTAGTAAACCGGAAAGTCCGGGTATCGTCTCTCAGGGACTGGTACAACCTTAAGATTTATCGATTTAATAGAGCAAACTATAGGTGAAAATGATTTAATGAGATTATTAACTACTAGCAAAATTAACTAAACAAGCAAATTAAAGTGTCGGGTTTAATTCAATGGGAGAAAGCTCTGGGAGAAACACCAGGATTCACTACCTATCCAGATTAATTCACATATTCCAATCAATTTAATCCATATCTCTACAGCCAGGATATCACTACTGTGCTAGCTATCCCTGTCGGGAATTACTACGTACTAAACAATTAAATCAAATCCTACTGTCGTAGCTCAATGACTTAATTATTCAGCCTGAAGAACGATATCCTATTTAAGACCGCATAGCACATTATTTAATCCACTGTCGCTTCGATAATTACTATGTCACATGAAATAGGTTCAGTTATTAGGGTTTCACTGTCGCTAATAACCTAATTAACTACAAATCATTGTATTGGTGGCCAGTCAACACAAAGCATTAAGTAATTTCATGCAATAGAGATTGGAAGAAAAGAATTCTAAATCAATCCATCAAATCAAGAAATAGCTACATCCTATGGTGTTTCCCCCAGAAATTGGGGTTTAGTTCATGACGAAATTAAGATAAATCGATAGGGTTTTGTTCATCATGTTCTAAAACAACAAGAAACAACTAATTCGGTTTAGAAAATCCAACCAACTAATCGCTCTCATTGAATTCAGCTCAAGCCTTGGAAAAACTGCTCGCTAATTGCTCAATCGCTCTCTGCTTTCCGCTCGTCCAAAGCCTTGCGCTGCCTGTGTGCCGCTGTCCTTCTTTTCCCAAAGAATTTTTCGTTCTCCCCGAAAATAAAGTGCCCCTGCTTCGCTTTTCTTCTCCCCAGGAAATCCGCCCAGCCAATTAAATTGCCTTCGTCCCAAAAATATTCCTCTGGCACAATCCGCTCCAAAAATAAAAGTAAAAGTCAAAGAGTCCTCTCTCCAATTAAAATTGCCTCCCTTTACCCCGTTAAGCCACTTCCTGCTGCCTTCCTTTTCTAATTAAATTGCGTCCCGAGACTCCCAATATAATTCCGCCTCTGGAATCTCTTGTCCCCCATCAAATCAATTCGCCAAATCCCCTTGGCCCGTCCCAAAAGTGAAGTCTCCTCTCCTCCCCGGTCCAAGTCATTAATCCCCGTCCAGCTGGGCTTTAAGCTCAGCATTCCAGAATTGTTTGCCGATGCAACTTCTTTTTCGTGTTTTTTTCATCTGTAATACATCAAACTCATGGCACTAGGCAGTAATGGTTTTTCAACCATTCCCGGGTTAGCGAGCCCTAAAATAGCTCCAATTGGCTAAAACATACCACGGATAATCACATAAAGTCCAAAAGTTCAATATGTTAAAGCTGATTATCAAACCACTTAAAAAAAAGTTTCAGATTTGGTTACTAATAGTTAGGGTAAATTGCAAGGTTGGTCACTGAAATTACTAAAAAGTGTCACGTTTAGTCACTAGAATTATTTAATTCCAATGTTAGTCACTCAAATTAGTCAAACAGTTCACATTTGGTCACTCGAATTAATCAAACATTTCACGTTTGATCACTCTCCGTTAGCCTCTGTTAACGGCGTCAGTTTTTTGCCGACGTGGCTAACAGAAATGCCTAATAAGCTTTTTTCAACCCAAAAAAATTTACATCCAGACCCGCCATGTCATAAAAAATTGCCACATCATCAAAATGAACCAACCTGTAACCCGGCCCTTCCCAAACTATGACTCGACCCTATTCTCTATCCCACCAACACGCTATCCTTTCTTCTCCACTTCCCCGTGCCGCTGAACGAAACGTTGGTCTTGAAGGGTAAACGATTCCTAGCTTCGTTTTCTCCTCTAGTCTCCAGATCCATCATTCACATCTACAGCTCGCCACCTCCGTTGCTACTGCTCCTCATCGACTCGTCACCTTCATCAATATTTTTTTTGGTAGGAGCCTTCATCAATCTTTAATTGCACACTTCACATCCATGAATCCTCGAATGTCGCTTGCATTATCGGCATCTCCTTATCCAGCTTCCTCACTCCACCATCGACGCATCTTTTCCCCTCAGCCGTCCGAATCCAGGTGTTGGCTTCCACCTAGATCGATCCCAGTTTCATTGGCCCTCCCCCTGCCCATCCCCTCTCCTCTCAATTGGTTCTTATTGGCAGGTGAAGACGGAGAACGGAAACCACTTTTTTCCAGCTACAGACAATGACGATGTTTCAGGGGAGCAAATAAGATCGACAATGGCCGACGAGGATTGGGATTGTCGACAATGAGCTCTCCGGATCTGGATCAACGATTGGGTAAATCCCCCTGCCCACCGGGAAAAGTAAAAAAATCTCAGATTCTCCTTCCCCTGAAAACACAGTCACAGAGGATTCAGATCTATCATTTTCTCTTTCTTACTTCACTTCTTGTTGTGGTTGTAAATTTTTAGGGTTTTGGATTGTGATTATCGTCCTCTTCTCGTCCATCGTCTTTTGGTTCAGGATCATCGTCCTCTACCTCGTTTTCCTACTTGATTCACTTGCGTCGGTCCTATTCGTTGTTAAAATTGGAGCTCCAGTGAGAAGATGGAGTTGACGATGCTCTTGCGAAAGAGAGAAAAAATCCGAATGAGTAATCACGTTGGAGAGAGAGATAGAGAAGCTATCCGGTCCGAGCCTTCCTTCAACCATAATAATGGAAGCGTGAGGCAGAATAAGAACACAAATCAACGGCAGAAGAGATAGCCGGCAGCAATAACGACGAAGCGGAATTTGGGGATGACAAAGAGGATTCCGGACTGGGATTGAAGTGTCTTGGGCTTTCCTATCTCCGGGCGTCGTCTTCTCGTCGGAAAGTTTCATATCCAGGGGGCGGGTGAGATGAGAGATGGAGTAGATTTAGAGAGGTGGGGCGGCCTAGGGTTTGTTCATGGGTTGGGTTCAAGGGTTAGATTGGGCAAGATGACGTGGCGGGTCGGGTTTGGTGATGTGGCCGGTTTAAATAGGGTGAGTCAGCATTTTTGTTAGTCACGTCAGCAAATGACTGACGGTGTTAACGGAAATTGACGGAGACTAATGGAGAGTGACCAGATATGAATTGTGTGACTAATTTGAGTGACCAACACTGGAATTAATTATTTTTAGTGACTAAACATGACATTTTTTAGTAATCCTAGTGACCAAATTTGTAATTTGCCCCTAATAGTTATGTACACTTTAGGTTATTCACCCTATCTTTAGCCCCTAATTCCCACTCTTTGGCGGACCATGTGACGACAAAACAAGTGACAGGCCATTTGATATTTATCAGACCTGGCACGACCGTTGTCCATAGCATGCAAAGTAATAATAAAATAAGTTCAGAATGGGATAAAGGAACTTGCTTGAAAAAAACTATATAATGTAGGTGCTAAAATAAAAATAAAAAATACTATTAATTGACTTACCGAAGACGAAGAATCATGACATGGACGCTCTATCCGTTACTTTTTTTTTTTTTGCCTGTTTCTTTCTTTAAGACGGCTCTATCCGTTCCCTTAGTGGGGAGTTACGTGAGTTTTATTGCTTTGGTTTTGTGTGGTCACTGTGGTAGGAAAGAAACACAGAAAACTGCAAAGCGCCGGAAAAGGCGATATGAAAGGCTGGAAAGTAGCAGCGGCGGTTCTATCCCGGCGAGCGAAGGCGGGTTATCGCCACGTGAGCAGAGGCGTCGGCTCTCTGGCGAGCAGTAAGAGTAACCCTGTCGACGTTTATGATCACAACGAGGTTTGGAATGAATTCATGCAATGGCTGTTTCGTTTTCCCCCCAAAATTCCCCACTTTTGGCCCCAATCGGCTGTCTTGACGATGGGAATTGCAGGTGCTGGTGGAAGGCAGAGCTCATTCCCGAACTGCGGTTCTCAACCGGCCTTCTTCACTCAATGCCCTCAACACGACGATGGTGGTGGCTTTTTTCTCTTTCCAAGTTTTCTCTTGGATTATGTTTGGACCCGAATTGGGGACTGAGGGGTTTCTTCTTTCTCTTTCGGAATTGGCTGATTATTTCGTCGTAGGGCGCTAGATTAAACAGTTTGTACAAATCGTGGGAGGATGATCCAGATGTTGGATTTGTCGCTATGAAGGTACTGCTTCCTGTTCGTATCTGCTTTACCTTTCTGTTCCAAGTAAGAGGTGGTTTGGATGTTGGATTTTGGTGTGGAATTTGGTAGCCAAATACTTCCATTTTGTCCGAAACTGTGATCTGATGGCGAAATATTTTAGATACTAAGTTCTTAGGCCTCAGATTTTTTGGAACTCTTTGAAATATAAAATCCGTGCGTCTTACAAACTTGGGAAACCCACACATCGAGATGTGATTTGGCAAATCCTACTACCACTCAGACCAATCTCTGCTCCAGATTGGAGTATTTTGTTTACGGTGTGATTTATTTGTTGTGTCAATGAAGGGCAGCGGCAGGGCATTTTGTGCTGGTGGAGATATTGTTGCTCTGTATCACCTCATAAACCAGGGTAACGCCTTACTTACAGCTTGCCCTTTGCTTCTTATCCAGTGAAAGTATGAAATGCTTTACAGTGATGCTAATTACTACTGTTTGATCGTCTGTTTTTTTTCCCCTGCAGGGAAGTTGGGTCATTGTAAGGAATTCTTTTCCACATTGTACAGTTATATATACCTCTTAGGTACATACTTGAAGCCAAATGTGAGTACTTACGCAATTCACAGACTTCTACCCATTTTGACTAGGAAATGATACAAATCATGTTGATGGTAATGAACCATGTTCTTGTAGGTAGCTCTTCTGAATGGCATCACCATGGGTGGTGGAGCTGGAGTTTCAGTCCCTGGGATGTTTAGAGTTGCAACAGAAAGAACTGTATGCCACAGTGAAAGCCATTAGAGATATTGTTTTGTTTCCAATACTCTAATGCAGTGTAGTTTCTTTTCTTGTTATCTTCTTCCAGTCATTTGCTTGTCGTAATGGAAACAATCAATGGGTTGTAATATTTTGCAGAGGTTTGCTACCCCTGAAACCCTAATTGGTTTTCATCCTGATGCTGGTGCATCCTTCTACCTTTCACATTTACCTGGTCATTTAGGTACTGTTGAATCTCTCTTCTGGTTTTTGCTCATCGCTGTCCCTTTAGAAGAAAAAAAAAACGGATATTAGTGTTTTGTTTGCAACTGTCTTGTTTGTAGGGGAATATCTTGGTCTTACGGGGGAGACAATAAATGGAGCTGAAATGATTGCTTGTGGCTTAGCTACTCATTACACCCATAGTACAGTTAATGGCTCATTATTAACTTTTTCTCCTCTCTTCGCATACTGTTTTCCAACTAAAATACTGAACAGTCTTCTCTCTTGCTTGGATTGGTACTTAAACAGAAGCTTCGATTAGTAGACCAACAGCTTGGTAATCTGGACACAGATGACCCTTCTGTTATTGAAGCTTCATTGGAAGAGTATGGTGACCATGTCCATCCAGATCACATGAGTGTATTTCACAGGTTTGTTCATTGTTTTGGTATTAAATTGTACAATCAGCTTAGCGAACTTTAATGAAGATGTTATCTAAGTTGATTTCTGACTGGCTCCTCTATCCAGGATTGATATGGTTGATAAATGTTTCAGTAAGGAGACAGTTGAAGAGATCATAGATGCTTTGGTAAGATTTTGCAACTCTAGTTGCTTGCTCCTTTGGTGGTGGTAGGAATCTTTCCTTTGAAGTTAGGATATGCACTTGGAATTTATAGATGCACAGTGTGTCTTCTGTTTTATCATGCATTTTGATAAGGAATTTTCTAATCAGGAAACTGAGGCATCTGAAACGAATGATCTGTGGTGCAACTCTACACTGAGAAGACTGAAAGAATGCTCCCCATTGAGCTTAAAGGTTTCCTTGAGATCTGTAAGTACCTGCTACCCTTAACCACTGTGACTGCCTCCTGCAAGGGCTTCCTGATCTGTCCCATATATTGACTGTTTCAGATACGAGAAGGAAGATTTCAGACACTTGATCAGTGCTTAGTCCGAGAATACAGAATGTCTCTACAGGGGATGTCTCAGCGTGACTTCAGCGAGGTAAAACTCAAGTTCAATTTGTGTTATCTGGACTATGCAAACGATCCTTTACGCATCACTTACTCTGCTTCTATGTCCAGGGTGTTAGGGCTCGGATGGTGGACAAGGACTTGGCTGCACAGGTACACCACCTACTTGAGTTTACGAAGTTGCTGTTTGCATGATATTTGCACGTATACCATGTATGCTATGGAACTCATTATGACAAAAAAGGCTTGAATTTGGCAGTGGAATCCTCCAAGGTTGGAACAAGTGACTGAGGACATGGTGGATCATTATTTCAGTCCTCTGAGTGAATCAGAGCCAGATCTACAACTTCCGACACAGCAGCGGGAAGCATTTGCCTCGTAATTTCAGAGGAAGCAACTGCTTGTGTAAAGGGCACAGCTCTAGGGAAGGCAATGGGTCGGGTTGGGCGTGGATGTGCGTATCCGTTACCCTATCCAAAGTAGTTTGGGTTTTACCCATACCCACATAAGAAATGGGTAGAAATCAAAACCATGTCCATACCCGTTCGGGTTTCGGGTATCCACTGTTATCCATGGATACTAATTTCTCTTTATAACTTCAACCATCAACCAATATGTTAACATTCACACGTATTCTCACATTACATAAGAGGAAAAGTACGATCATAATTCACTAGAATGAAGAAAATTAATCAAAACGACACAACTTCATGAAAATATTATATTTATATGCTAAATAGAAAATATGTTAGAAAAAAATAACGTTTATTTATATACAAAATATATATGCATGTGTATAATCAAGCGGGTTCGGAGTGGATAGTGAGAAATTCATGTCCATCCATTATCCGCAATATTTGGGTTCGAGTTTTACCCGTACCTACAAAAATTCCTTCGGGTTCGGGTTTTACCCTACCCAATTAAGTCGGATTCGGGTGAATATCCACGGTTACATATATTTTTGTCATTTTTACACAGCTCAGATCCTTGGGAACCATCTGGGAAGTAAGAATTATTCAATAACTTGTACAGATAAGATCGGGCATCCTTGCTCCCATAGTTTGATCAATAAATGGCAAGATCTCATCTCCCTGCCTAAGGTAGAGCTGTAAAGGTGATACATTTTTTTTTTAAGTAGGATTCATTTTGGAGATGGTTTTTGCCCAGTCATCTTTTTTTTGGTAGAAATTTGCTGAGTCATCTTGGTCCCGTTGTATGAAAATTTTAAGTTTATTCTAGTTGTGACTTGTGAGGTGGCTTTTCAATTTTAATATTCTGTGGGGTGGTTTATGCCATTTTTTTCTCAAACTGTCCAAAATTTTACAATGCTATGCTGTATTGTATTGGTGTTATAGATTTTTGCTTTTATAATTTAAAGGGTTAATATTTTCGTATGGCCTGAACTTTGACCAAAATAAACATCCTGGCCAATCTTTTCGATCTATAACATCCTGGCCCGAACTATACACCAAAATAAACAATTTGGCCAAATCCAACTTTTGACCGTTAACTTGGACGGTCAAACGCGTTGACCGTTAGTCAACACGCCATGTCACTGCCAAGTCAGCATAAAATATTTAAAATAATTCACAATTTCCACACATTCCCTAATTTTAAATTATTATAAATTAAAAAAAATCATCTAATACCTTAGTTAAACCAAAAATAAAAAACGAAAAAAATTAAATATTTATCAGATCTTCTGACTTGGCACTGACGTGGCGCGTTGACCGTTAGTCAACGCGTTTGACCGTCCAAGTTAAAGGTCAAACATCGGGTTTGGCCAAATTGTTTATTTTGGTGTATAGTTCGGGCCATGATGTTATAGATCGAAAAGATTGGCCAGGATGTTTATTTTGGTCAAAGTTAAGGTCATACGAAAATATTAACCCTAATTTAAAATTGTACACTTAACGTTATGATACAACATTAGATTGTAGCTATATTTTTGTACAAATTCTTTTATAGTACAACTTGAACTTGTACCTTTATGTGATGGTACAAATTTAAGTTGTAAAGTTCTACAAATTCCTTTATGGTACGATCTGAACATATACATTTAACGTTATGATACAACTTCAAGTTGTACATTAAAGCACCAATGCTTTATAGCATAGTAGAAGTGCATCACAACTAGACAATTTTTTCAATAATCTAAATTTGGATTAAAATGTTCTCCCTATCATTGTTTTTGTCAAAAAAAAAAAAAATTGTGTCAACGTTATCACGAAAAAGTTAGTACAACGAGCAATAAATTGAACGAAGCTGACTCGCTCGGACTACACCGCAGATTTATAATCCTGACTAAAACTCAAGTATAAACTCTAGTCGGATGAAGTATAGTGCAAGTATGTTATCTAGCAAACGATTTTGGGTTTAAAACTAATAAAACTACCAAATAAACAAACAAGTAAAGTAAATCGAGGTTGTCCCAATGAGAGAAGAATTAATCCGGGTATTGCTCCCCCTAGCCATATATCAAGATCGATAAAAAAGAATGCAATTGTGTGAAGGTGTGTTCATACACCGTTAGGAGGGTACAACAAGTGAAGGAAACCTCACTCTCTTAATCAATCGGTTAAGGAAAATACTTAAGCTAGAAACCCTAGCTCTCTCAATCAATGGATTAAGGATTGCTACAATAAACTAGCAAGTCTAGCTCTCTTAACCTTTCGGCTAAGAATTGCAACAATAAGTTAGGAGTCCTAACTCTCTTAACCGATCAACTAAGGGTTGCAAGACCCAATCCCTCGGAACTTCCGGACGACAAAGTAACAACCAATCAAGGTGCTAAATCGAGATTTGAGACTTGTCCTAATTCGCCCTACTAGGTGACTGAATTGGCCAAGGCTTGCCCTAAACAGTGATAACCCTTACGCTCGCGAGACGCGCAAAATTGTTCTAGATCCCATGATTTTCACGCCCTCGGGGAAATTGTCACGGTTGCCATCCAAATCGTGACTTTGGACTTTTCTTCATTTGTGGCGCTTTTCGACCTCCAATTGTTCTGAAACTCATCCTCGACCCTTTCACACGTGCTAGGACGTGTAATGTATAAAAAATAGCACAATTTAGCGTAAAATAGGTCGATGGATGATGAAATGCAAAGTCAAATTATCAAGAAATGAGGGGTAAATGTGTACAACTGGACCCGAACAACACCCCCACAGTTGAACGTTTGCTTGTTCCCAAGCAAACCAATCTCAAACAAGGTAATATTTCAACCTAACAAAAATAACCTGGGGACACATCAAAGGGCACAAAATGGATGAATCTCAAAGTTTATTTGGCACCGACACATGGACAATCACAAGCGATACTGGCAACCACCACAAATGACATAAGAATGCATTAGGTTTCGAATAGAACCATCCCTACAAGCAACGACCACTAGCATCGGCCAAAAACCAAACTTCCCTTGTTCCAAATCACTACCAATCAACTACATTCAAACATACTTTCTCAGCTACACCTACTATCCAACTTTCGAGCATAGTAGTGAAGGAGGTCCTACCTTAAATAGGGCCACTATAAAAGAGACGAGAAGAAGAATGGACAAACATTAAAAGAAACTAATCCACATATTCATAGGCCGTGCAACTCCAAAAATATAAGTCAACTGGTTTAAGTTTTTTTTTTTAAGTTGTGGCTTACAGTTTTCGTGGCTTCTTAAAACTAGATCAGAGCCCGCCGTTCGGCGGATGAATTTCATCAATGATACACATAAGATACTTTTTATTTCTTAACTAAAAAATTTAAAATTATTTAGTTAATGGAAATATGAAAAAGTATCATACACGTAAAATTTCCAACGTGCTAACATATTTATTAATAAAGTTCCTTACCCTAAGTAAACAACATCAATAATTATCCCAAATAAGACATATTTTATTTGATACCATAAAAATTCAAATTATTTAATTATTAAAAATATAAAAAAGTACCATACTCGTTAAATTTTTCGGTATGCCAATAGATACACCGACAAAAGTCCTTACCCAAACTAAACAACAAAAGTCGTGCAATGGAATCGGCTTTAGAAAACTTAATCAAACCACACTATTTGCACCTCATTGTCAAGAAAAAGTGCAAATTTCATTTTTGATTTCTTGGTGATCGCTTTGCCATTAAAAAAATCATCATCTCCACCAGTATTAATGTTTTTGTCTTCGTTAATGAAACATTTATCTTCACAACAGCTCTTCCTTCTTTTTAAACATTTCATTGGAAGTCAATCTTTAATGGTAAAATGTTTGGAATATGAAACATCATTTTCACAAAGCAGAATTTATGTTGTTAGTCATTATCATTTTTTTAGATTTATTTTTTTCTCTCTAACACTTTAAGCTACCTAGTGCTAACAAATTTTGATAACCTATAGATTGAAAGCTTAATGAATTACCCATAGGAGTGTTGAAAATTCTCCAACAGGTACCATTTTCTATATAAAGAACATATTTTCTTCTTCATTGAAAATTCTCTTCAACTCTGTCTTATGTGAGTTAATATATGAAATGCAAATAATATAGATCGGACACTATAATAGGAAAATTGATAATTCAAGAATGTTATTATGTATGATGTTATAGGACTCTCGATTGACATATATATTTTTTATTTCAAAATATTTCAGTGAATATAATTTTTTAGAGCATAATTAATTTAATTTTTATGTCAAAAATTGATTATTAAAATTAAATTGAATGATATATGATTCATTAAAAACTAATAACGAATGGTTATGTGAGCTTTCGAATTTTACACCTGATATGAATTACCTAGATGGATACAAGAAAGCAAGGATTACGAAACTGTACTGAAGGTTGAAAAGAGCCAACAATAGTGTATTTTATGTTGAACCATTGATATGATACAGTTTCAAAAACATTGTAATAAAATAACAACCGCTAATAATCTATACTATATATTATGGCAATTCAAAAGTAACTTCTTGCCACATAAGCACTTGGACAATTCACAAGTTGCCAAGGTGGACAACTTTTTTTGCAAACAAAAAATTCATTATTGATCTATTTATGGAGCTATCTCTCTCTTCTTTTAATATTTCTACTCATTTTTACTAAATATTAATAATAAATTACATTTTTATGAGAATGTAAACAAACACACAAAAGTATAATATTTTTGTCAATTAAAAAAAATAAAGATGGAAATAGAGAGTGACTATATCGAATTTGTTTAAATAAAAAATATATGATTAAATTTTATCAAGTAAATTTTCTACTCATTTTCAACCAAAACTTAATAATAAGTTACATTTTGAAAAAAATTTAAAAAAGTACACATATATAATAATATTTTTATCAATTAAACAAAATATTACAATAGAAACATTGAAAACAAATTACTAAAAAATTACACACATATATAATAATATCTTTATCAATCGACTTTGAAAATGAAATATATGAATTTATATTTTTTGTATTAACAACTCTCTTATTTCTAATGTATTTTTTTGTCGAATTATTTATAATATATATTTCTATCAAACAAAACAAGTATTATATAGTAAAAGGTCTGAATATAAATTTGGCTAAGCAATAATAGTTCTTTCTTTAAAAAACTTTTTATTCATCATGATTAAGTGAAAACATATATTCATGTTCTATCTTCTGTTTCTCAAATTAAGAAGAATCAGGTGTGCAATACTTTATAATTTGTCCTAGGGTTCATATAAAAATATTCACTCTATATCATATTAATTGAACAATCTCTATTGAAGTCATAAGTCGAATGCTAAGTAATTTCTTTTCAGATTGACTGGCCGAGTTATAGTCTTCTTCCCATTCTTTTCTTAATATCTTCCAGATTACGACGGCTGGATAGTAAATTTCCCTTTTCGATTCAATGGTTGTATTTCTTCTTCGTTATTCATGTAGTTGTTTTATGGTTCTCTGTTATCCTGTATACTTTGATGTACACATGTAACATATAATTCAAAGGGTTCGTTGCTTGGACTTGGAGCATCTCTCCTTTGGTTGAAGAATTGATCGTTTTTCTTGGAGGCCTATTGCAACTCGATTCCTTGGATGTAAAGATGGAAAGCATAGTTGTGAGGGTTGTTCATTATGTTTATTATGTTCACGAGTGACATGCTACTAGCTAGCTATGTGACGATGATCTGATCAAGTAAATAGTATGTAAGAGGGGGTTATAAGTAGGAGGGAACATATTTGAGATTTTATAAAGGGCGCGAAGAAGAAATAAAATGGTAGTAAATGTCGATGTTTTCCCCCATTTCTAGACGTTTGTAATGACATTGGTTTGTTTCCTTAGCTTGAATTTTGCCTAATTAAATCCCTAACTAAAGCTTGATTTTGGCCTGATTATTTCTTAATAACTACTATTTGGATTGATGCATCAATTCGATTCACAATGGGGACTCTGCAAGATATAAGGACTTGAGTTATATTGAAGTATACAACTTTTACTATTCATTTATGTTATTATTAGGTAGAAAAACATGATCCTTTTGGCGGGGTATGTAGGTCTCTACAAAATATAAATAATGATTATATGCAGTTTAGTTTACTGAAAACATAGTTTTAATAAATTAGTTACAAACAATAGTTTTATTTGTGGTTGGTTTTGCTAGAATATTTTCAAGGTAAATTCAATGAATAAGCGGAAGATTGATAATGTGGATGCCAATGTGGTTTCTCATTCTTCCAAAATTACACGAGTAACTGATACTACACGATATTTGTGGGAACTAGATCGCGATATTCTCTATTATCATATACCAACATACGAGAAGGGTGAGAAAATGAAAGTTCTTCACTTTTTTTTATTAATTGAAATATATTTGCAAATTTTAACTTCTTCTTTTGTGTCCTTCAAAATTTTAACTTTTTTGTCACTTTGTGTGCTAAAAAATTAATAATCTCTTAGTTTATATCTTAAATGGTGGATTCGATACATAATTATAAATCAATAAAGAAAGTACTACAGAGAGCTCATTTAATAAAATTAAATTTTCATAAATAAATGAAAGATATAAAAATATTAAATTTGGTAAGTGAGATTAACAATTCAATGTATAATAGTTTAACATAATGAATCATAAATAAAATTATAATACTAGGACGAAAAATATAATAACCAATCAAAATTTGCCGCACAACGGGCGGGTATAAAGCTAGTATTAATATATAAATATAGGATAACATAGCAACTAAAAAACAATGCAAGTTTTTCAATTGAAGTCCAATCCTTTCTCTAATTAATGAGTTTGGTGATTTAAGCCCACCAAAATAACCTGCTTACCGGATCAATCAAAAAGACCAAATAACCCTCCCTTGCTTTGCGCAGGAGCTCGAAAAAAACAAATTAGATGGGTTGCTAAGAAGAAACTCTATATATTGTTTGGAGGAGGATTGGAGGAAGGAAGGAGGAGGAAGGACTTGGACAACTAACCTTCTTTAATTAGTGTCCACAAGCTTCCACACATAGCGCACACATATAGTTGTAGTCAGTTCTGAATTTTCACAAAGATTGGGAAAAACTTCATTATTTTCAACAACCAGATCTGGCTTGACTGGTGGTGGTGAAGCTGCTGCATCCTACAACTATGGCTGGCTTGCTAAAAGAAAGGCGAGGCCATGGGGAAGATTTTGACTAGTCACACTATCAGAATCTGGTTTCTGTATCGAGATCCATTTTCCCGTTTTTGGGACCCTAAACTTAGTCACCATTCTATAACCAAACAATCCCTCTGCATCGAGCTTATTAATTACTACTAAACTTGTGACTACTCGTACAAACTACCCCCATTAATTCTCAAATCATCCTCCATACTTAAATTATCACATACTTTTTTCTACACAGTTCAATCTTGCGCGCAGGAAAAAAGGAAACAGAAATGAGCAAAGATCCAGTAAGGGTTCTCGTCACTGGAGCTGCTGGTTGGTACCAACTGATCATCCATCTCAGTACTCTCCCTTTTGCAATTTCAAATGGACTTGGTAAACTTAATTTTTAGGGTTACGTTCCTCCTCTTCTGTGTACGCACAGGGCAAATTGGGTACGCAATTGTCCCCATGGTTGCAAGAGGAGTCATGCTCGGCCCTGACCAGCCCGTAATCCTTCACTTGCTCGACATTGAGCCTGCTGCCGAGGCTCTCAAGGGTGTGCAGATGGAACTGCTCGATGCCGCTTTCCCGCTCCTCAAAGGTCAAAATAAAGTATCAGCGATTCAGCGTTGTAGATCATACGTACATGCAATGCAGTTAAAAGCGTGATTCTAGATAGAAACAACAAATGGGTAAAATCGTAAAGCGTAGAAACAGTAAGTTTTTTATGCATATGGTAAAAAATAGTTTAAAATTTGTCAAGTACGACATATATACTATGTAAAATATGAGTATATATAATTTTAGATAAGTTAATAAATACATGCAATTCATGCATGTCTAAAGCAGAACAACTCATAGCACATTAACAATAAGTTCGTAAACATAGGTCTTAACAATAAGCCACCTTCCCTTCTATGCTAATGAATTTGGAAAAAGGGTCTAGCTGGTGAACTAGATTACTCTATTGAAGCTTAGGATGCATGGAAGTACCTGGTATGTATCTTTTCATCTCAAATTTATCACATTGCCCTTGATTTACGTTTAAAATAAAACTTTTAATAATTAATTTCATGAAAAGAATACTCGTTTAGTGAACTAGAAGTATAAAGCGATTTGACAAACTAGAAGCGTAAAAAAATCAGAAGATTTTAAGTTTTAAAGCGCAATTTAGTCCGATTTTATACGCTAAAGATTTTATATGAAAACAAAAGCGTTTTTGGTGATCTAGAAGAGTAAAATCGTAAGCTTTTAAGTTTTAAATCGCGATTTTGACCGCATTGCATACGCATGCAGTCACTTTTTCTCTGTCTATATATTAGGGGTGTGCAACGGTTCGGTTCGGTCCGGACCGGACCAAACTCATGAGAACCGCGGTCCATTAGTGAAAGACATGTTAGGACCAAGGACCAGACCATTCTTGCATTTGGTCCATTTGATCCGGTTCGGTCCGGTCCAAATATAAAAAAAACCTCACTAAAAAACCATTAATAAAATGCGATGAATCAGGTGTGGTGGCTACGACGGACGTGGTGGAAGCGTGCAAAGGAGTGAAGGTGGCGGTGATGGTTGGCGGGTTCCCGAGGAAAGAAGGCATGGAGCGGAAAGACGTGATGTCGAAGAACGTTTCCATCTACAAGGCGCAGGCCTCCGCGCTAGAAAAGAACGCGGCCCAGGGCTGCAAAGTCGTGGTGGTGGCGAACCCGGCCAACACCAACGCGCTCATCCTCAAGGAGTTCGCGCCTTCCATCCCGCCGGACAACATCACATGCCTCACCCGCCTCGACCACAACCGGGCGCTGGGACAGATCGCGTGGAGGGTGAAGGCGCAGGTGAGCGACGTGAAGAACGTGATCATCTGGGGGAACCATTCCTCCACCCAGTACCCGGACGTGAATCATGCCACGGTTCGAACAAGCTGCAACGGTGAGGATAAATCGGTGAGGGAGCTTGTGGGCGACGACCAGTGGCTGAACGGTGATTTCATCGCCACCGTCCAGCAACGCGGCGCGGCGATCATCAAGGCTCGCAAGTTGTCCAGCGCGCTCTCTGCTGCCAGCTCCGCTTGTGATCACATCAGGGATTGGCTCCTTGGGACACCCAAGGTAGTATGTGCACACTGGCACTACCAATATAGTCAGAATCGCGTTTTGAAACTTAAAAAACTTACAAGATTTTACGTTTTTAGGTCACTAAAGCACTTCTACACAAAATCTCAGTTTTTTTTAACTTATATAGTTAAAAACTCCGCTTTAAAACTTGAAAACTTATAATTTTACGCTTCTAAATTACAAAAAACGTTTAAATACGTAGAAACTCGCTTTTGACTACCTTGCACCGTGCTAGCTAGCCTGCAGCGCTCACGATATATTATTATTGATTGTTGATTTGGTGGGAATGATTTGAATTAATATTCTTTTTCTCTTCTGATCTGGGCAACCTACCTGAAAATATAACAAACAAGGGGACATGGGTTTCAATGGGAGTGTACTCGGATGGATCCTATGGAGTTCCAGCGGGTCTTATGTACTCCTTCCCTGTCACCTGCGACAATGGGAACTGGTCCATAGTCCAAGGTGAAAGAAATTCCAAATCTAGTTGCTGACATGTATGATTTTTTTTTTTTTAATAATGATCATAAGTATAAGTGGTGCCATGTTTTTAGGATTGCGGATTGACGACTTCTCGAGGGAAAAGATGGATGCCACTGCAAAGGAGCTCAGTGAGGAGAAGGCATTAGCCTACTCTTGTCTCGATTGATCTAATGAATTCCTTTCCTTTCTTGTAGTAACCACTCACTCCTTTTGGTACTCTTTATCTTAGAGGAATAATAAGATAGTTCACTTAGTTAGATAGGGTCCTCTTCCGATCCCACCTCTCTCGAGCTCTCTCCTATGTAATAATCTAAAGCTCATTCGCCAGCCCTCTTTAGCCTTCTATATCTATATACATTTCGTATATTATATCATAGATAATGATTCACTAAAACTGGATTTTATAATGACTATAAGGCTGAGTATGATTATCATCATCATCATCACATTATATTACTTTCGATGCCCGAACTATGATGTTTTCCCTATTTCAACACTTGAATTAATTTCACTCCTAATTTGATCCTTAATTTTTCTGCAATTTTCTAACTTAGCGCTTTCTGTTCATACATGGTTAGACAACTGTTAAATATATTAGGCAGAATACACCTCCATGGCCACAACTTTCAAAGTTTATAACAGTTATAACAACAACTTTTGGCCACAAAATCCAATCTCTTTCACAGAAGATGCTCTCCCAATCCCATATGCCAACTGTGTGGGGATCATCCAGTAGTGGCCCAACCGCCTGAGGGTTCATTACTTAACATCATCCATACATTAAAAACATACATTCTCATACATAGCACAACGTGTGCCTCTACCTTAAGTAGGCGGTGGGATGCCTCACACACATAATCGTGCATTACTCAAAATTAACTAAATAATAACTTGAAACGAAAAGCATAAACTAAAAAGACCTCGACAGAGATTTTACCCCCTTTACACTCACCTTGAAAAGATGACTTCTCGATTCCTTACTCGTAGCCGAATTATCTCATGAAACCTATTAATAAGAGGCTCATTTCCTTAAACGACCTTTCTCGATTTTAAACCCCTTTTGAAATACTAAAACGTCATCTCCTCAAGATCTAGTCCTCCAGCCTCATCTAAAAGATCCCTTAACCCCCTTTAAAAATTTTCTAGAAATAATCCTTTCAAAACCAACCATTTTTCCTAATTAATTTTGCATTGGATGAATTTTTCACCTAACTTGTTCCTCCTTAAAAATTTAGATAATAAACTTCTCTTGCCAACCATGAGAACATATATCCTGAAAAATTATCAAACCCTTCAAAAAACCTTGGCATGATTTTTATTTAATTAAAATCAACATTCAGCCAATTTATAAAAATAGTATTTCATCTTCAAAAATTCCCAAATTAAATCACATGCATCTCCTATAACTACTTCAGTTTATAAAATTTCTAAATCCAGAATCAATTACCTACAGAGGTTTAGTGACCGCTCAAAATCTGTCACTAAATGCCTGTAAAGTCCGTCACTAGAACCCAGAATTGCACACTCAAGAAAAATCACCAAAACCACCAATCTAAAACGAAGGGATCGAGTTTCCTTCATGGATTAGTGTGAAGGCCCTTACTGCCGAAATTAGGCCCCCAGGAATCAATTTCATCGTCCCCTTGAACAGAGATGTGCCCTTGCCTTCAATTTCGAGACTGACTTCCTTCGTATAGCAATCCACCTTCGCCCGGTTCTTGGACAACCATTCCCTGGCAAAATGACCCGGCTCGTTGCAGTAGTAGCAGACCCCTAAGTGTTGCTTGCACACCCCTGAGTGGTCTCGCTCGTACTGGTTGCAGGGAACCCTATTGCTGAAAGTTCGACCGGGTCGAACTGAGCCGCTCTGGCTCTAAGTACCCCAAAAAGTAAAGATGCCACTCGGCCTCCTCTTGAACTTACTAGAATGACCAGCTCCCTCAGGCATGCTATTCGCCTTCCTCTTACTACCCTCTCGTTGCATCCCTTCCGCATGTGAGGTTGCCTCATCCCTCTCTATCCGGAGAGACGCCTGATAAATTAAATTTCCTCCATGTTGTTCCACATCAGCATACTCAACTGCTTCTTAAGGGCAGGCTTCAGACTCGCTAAATAGTGGACATGCTTGGCCGACTCCCCTTGGAATTGGGGTCCTCCGTAGGGCAGTAGCTTCTCGAACCGCAAAGTATACTCCACAATGTCCTCCTTGCCTTCATTGACGCAGCTCTACTTGATCAATATGAACTCCCTCTTCTTGCCGAGACGGTAGGCCTCGGGCACAAAATGATCGCGGAATATGCACACCAGCTCTGGCCAGGTGATGCCTGGTGGGTCCACTCGGCTGGATGGGTGGTCCACCAATTGTATGTCGCATCTTGCAGTAGGGATACCATTAGCAGTACCATATCCTCATCATCTTCCCTCATTTCGGTCAACATGCGCATAACCTTTGCTAGCCATTTCTCCACTTCACTTGTAAATCGGTACGGTATCGATACGGTACGGTATTGATATCCCAATACCAAATCCCGAATATCAAATTACACCCTAAACTCAATCCCAATCCCTAAATAATTTCGATATCCCGGCCCAATCCCAATCCCCAAATATTTTGATATCCCAATACGGTACGGTCTACTACTCCTCTCCTTCGAAAAGCTATGTAATCCGGGGGTTGCTTGGCTGCCGCTTGATTGACAGGTGCGTTATTTTCTTTGCAAGCAAGTAGATTAGAACCACATTTATTTGTCTAATCATGCTTGAGTATACTAGGGACTCTATAAACCTTTTCAAATCGGTTGGCCAACCCTTTTTTCTTGAAATTCCTCTTTTTCTTTTAAAAACTTAATCTTTTGAAAACCCAGATTGTCACTCCAGTATTCCTTGGAGACCAAGAGATAGAGAAATGTCGGATCTGATACCAAAATGAAACAACCCGATCTTTTTTTGACAAACCAAACCATAATCTAAAACAAAAACCGGTTACTCCAGAGCAACCCAAATCATACTTTAAAGTCAAATAAAAAATCATTGCCCCGACGACATTCAGAAATCTCAAACGAAAGCCCTAAACACTTGGGCAAAATCTCAATCCCAAACACTTAAACATAAACCTTGAGTTTCCCAGTATACTCATTAGAAACGAAATAAAGACAAATATGACAACGGGTCCCTTCTAATTACCCTGAGTCTTCTGACATCTTCAAGCTTGACACGGTTGACCTCCTCGATTAACCTCCTCGTGCTGGTTACGTAATCTTCCCCTTTCCACACCTGATGAGTGAGAAGGGGTCCGTCTCGTCGTTACTTTCTAAGGTATTTGCCTAAGCAAATCCTTACTAACACATTATTCGAACATTCCTATCTTAGATGAAAGTCGTTCTCACTTTCATCCTTAACACTTTAGTCCTTAATAGCTTATAGAAGTTCTCTACTTCTATCTTAACTTGTATACTTATTACTAGGGTTCACCGCATTACGTATCGTCGTCCGGTGTCCCTATCCTCAAGGTAATGGTACTGCGTTACGTATCGTCATCCAGTCCATGCCTGGTCAACTACTGCTTTACGTATCGCCCGCCAGTAGTAACCCGACCATCTACCGCGTCCAGTAGTGACCTAATTGCCCGGGGGTTCATTACTTAACATCATCCATACATTACAAACATACATTCTCATACATAGTAAAACGCGTGCCTCCACCTAAAATAGGCGGTGGGATGCCTCACACACATAATCGTGCATTACTCAAAAATTAACTACATAATAACTTGACAAGAAAAGCATAAACTAAAAATACCTCGACTGAGATTTTACCCCCTTCACACTCACCTTGAAAAGATGACTCCTCAATTCCTTACTCGAAGAAATTCCTCCGTAGCCGCATTATCTCGGGAAACCTATTAATAAGAAGCTCATTTCCTTAGACAACCTTAAAACCTCTTTTGAAACACTAGAACATCCTTTCCTCAAGATCCTGTCCTCGAGCCTCATCCCAAAGATCCCTTAACCTACTTTAAAAATTTTCTAGAAATAATTCCTTCAAAATCGACCATTTTTCCTAATTAATTTTGTCTTGGATAAAATTTTCATCTAACTTGAACCTCCTTAAAAATTAAGATAATAATTTTTCCAAGTCCACCATGAGAACGTTTATCCTAGAATATTATCAAACCCTTTGATTTTGTTCAATTAAAATCAACATTCAACCAATTTCTAAAAATAGTAGTTCATCTTCAAAAATTCTCAAATTAAATCACACGCATCTCCTAGACCACCTTCAATTTATACAAATTTCTAACCCCAAAATTAACTACCTACAGAGGTTCAAAACAATTAAAACAACTTAAGTAACGTTTCTTGAAATTTCCTGCAGCTTTAGTGACCACTCAAAATCTGTCACTAAATGCCTGTAAAGTCCGCCGCTAGAACCCAGAATTGCATTCTCACGAAAAATCACCAAAACTACAAATCTAAAACGAAGGGATCGAGTTCCCTTACCTCTAGGATGTGTCTTGGTTTAAACTTGATGACTAAGGCGTCGATTTTCCTTGATCAACCACCGATTAAACCTCGATCCCTTGCCTTCACGCTAGGGTTCATGATTGACGAGTTTGGGTTGGTTTGATTGATCAAGAAACATGGAAAACAACTTGGGATTATCGTCCTTACCTTTTGGACGATTGCAATTGTGGCTGGTCGAAGGAAACAGGGAGAGCGACTACTAGGGAGAGGGCGCCGACAACGGTTGCTGCTCTTCTTACGAGAGCTGAGAGATGGAGAAGGGATTAAGGGAGTCGGGGTGGGGTGGGTTTCTTGTGCATCTATGGGGGGTTTGTGACGCTTGTCGCTGCTGTATAATAAAAGGGGGTGGGGATTTGCACTGGGGAAGGGTTTTGTGATGGGGGAAATAATTGAGATGGGGTCGGGGGAATTACAAGAGGGCCGAGCGGCTCTCCCCTCTTATATAATATTTTTTGGTAAATAATAATAATAATATAGTTGTTATTATTATTATTCATAATCCGCGGTTGCATCCCTTCGTATGTAACCATTAACCCAACCGTTCACGTAATTTGGTCAAACTTGAACACACAATATCAGGGTGTTACAAAGGTTGTTTGTTGGATCTAACCGTGGTGCACTACAAGAGAACCCACGTATAGCGACTAATTGTTGAGGCTAATATTGTATTTGCTGCTAAAAAGATATTATAAACAACACATATATAATTGGCCTCAATAGGCACTATTATGTGCCTCTAAAAGTATTACATATGCAACACATATAAATTTGCCTCGATAAGCATAATTATGTGCTTCTAAAAGTATTAGATTTACTACACATACATAATTTGCCTCTATAGCAATTAAGTTTTGAAACTCCAAAAGCTTTATAACTACTAATGATTCCTTTGCCGCAATAGGTATTATATATTTTTTTCTATAACTATTTCATTTTTTCATTTTGGACTGGCGGGCTTAGTTCCCACTTCCCACTCCCATTTCAAATTTTTTCATTTTCATCTCCCACTCCCAGACCTCTTCCTTAAAAAGTTCCAATTAGAGGGAAAGAGAGCATATCATCCATACCCCAAATCAATATATCTTCACACCCCAAACCCTTCTCCCCGTTAGTCATCGCTAGCCCAAACCCTAGATTTCTCCCACCGCCCTCCCAACCATGCCGTACAATCCGGCCGAGAGTCTCTTCCTCCAGGCGCAAGAACCAGAAGACCGCATCTTCTTCTTGCCGGCGGCCTCTGCATTAATCGCTCGCCAACTATGTAAGTCTAATGTTCTGCTGTGCCTCTCACACACCCATTCCTTTCCCTCGAGTTTCACCCAGTCTCCTGTTTCCTGTCCAGCGCTGGCCCCTATTGACGGTATTGATTTCTTTTACCAGTTCACAGGTTCTGAGCTAAATATTGGGTTGGGGAAGGGGGTTCAGTTCATTGAAAGGGACTTAGCGTATAACCTTATAGCAAAAAAATTACACATATAAAGTATTCTTATTCCCAGTTTGATGGGTTATTTGTGGTTGGCTGGTTCAACTATTGCATTAGCTTGTTTTTATTGTTTGGTTTCTCCATTGTTAGTCCTGGAGCTTGTTCCATTTTTCTCATCTAGTTTGGATTTGTGACAGTGGCTGTTTGAAGATGTGATTGGGTGGTGCTGTTGTCGGCTTTGTCATCTGGAGAAGCAGTTTGTAAAGGGATTAACGATGGCAACTTGATGTCTCTCCTGAGAGCTTAGAGTAATGGTGGGTGATGTTAAGTTTGAGTAGCTTAGGAAGCTTGGCTAGTTGTATTTATATTATGTTTTTTTTTTGCATTCATTTTGAAGGAACTAAGTTGATTGCTTGGAAATGTTTTATGTTTGATACTGTAATTTTTTCAAAGTCACTGCTGCAATTCGCTGAGCAATCTTGTAGCTTAGCAAACTTAGCTAGTTGATTGCACACCAGGTTGTGTCATAGTGTTGTGTGATTGTGTCTCACTAGTTCTGTTTTCCCTTGTCATACTCTTTTTCTTTGGTTTCTCTGTTTCAGGTAATGCTGCTTGAAGTGTTCTGTGCAGGCTGCAATCTCAGGGTGCTCTACCAGATTGTGCAGCTCTATTTCTACTAACCCATAGCAAGTATGTGAATTATTTTCTCTTTCCCTAACTCTGTTTATGTATGGAAATTTGCTCTTTTGAAATTTGGTTGCTGCGTGCTTTGTTTTTGGACAGAATAGGGGGAGCTTGTTATTTCAAGTTTATGATGTCCCCCCTGCTCAGGCTTATGTAAATTGCTTTGATTCAAGCTTATGTAGACTGTTATGTTCATATTAAAGTTCTTATATGAATGAGTCATGAGTTGCATCAGTTTCTTTTCCTTTTTTACAACTTTATGAACTAGTTTGCATGCTTGTGATAGATGTATTCTGCTCAATAATCATTATAATCATAGTCTAATAGTGAGTTAGTTTGCCCATATGTTTTTTTGAATGCCGGAGCTGCTACTGTAATGAAATTTGGTCCATCAAGCACCACCTTGTGAATGAATGAATGAATAGACCATGGAATTTGTCAATTCTTAACACAATGAACCTGCAGAATTACAGATTGTAATGAACTTAAAAGTTTGTTAGTTTGTTTTCTTGAATGGAGTTTTCAAAATATGAGTAAGCTGACCTTTTGTTTGTAATTTGCAGTTACACCATTATCCTTGCAACTATAACAACATATGGTGGGAGGTTTGGAAACTTTGGCAGGTTGTAATTTACGAGCTATTTGCCACATGAATTAGCTTACATCAAGGTTGTCAAACCGGTTTATGCCAGTGTGCCGGTTTAGCAAGTGGAATGGTTCAATCGGTGGCACATACCGGTCAATATTACTATTAAAATTATAAATGCTCATATTTAAACATGACATTTAACGTCAATACCTAAGCATTTATACTTGAATCGAACAAATAACATCAATATTTAATTTTTATACTCATAAAATAAATAATAAAATAATTTTATCAATTAAATTCTCTAAAATAAATTCATTTACTTAGAGATTCGTATATCGATCATGCCGATCATACCGGTGGTGTCATGCCGGTACCGGTTGAACCCGGTACAACTAGTGGCACGCCGGCCGGCGTGACAACCGTGGCTTACATCATTTTTGTAGCAGTAAAGTAGGATTTTATATTCAAGCAGGTGTTGTAGTGAAATGGCAATAAAGAAATATATATTATTCCATTGTGATTGATAGTAGCTTGTCAGAAACTAGCTTTGTTTTTTTGTCAGTTAGAAGCTAGGATGTACACCAGGAAACTCAGGTATATATGTATATTAAAAATCCTTGGTCGAAGTTGTTTATTGTAACATAACGATGGAATTCCATGTCCCTCAGCTCGTCATTGCTATATAGATTAGTGTTATTGTTATCAATGACGATAATAATTCGTTGTTAACAGTACTAAAAATGGACCATTGTCCATTGTTAACAACTATCAACGACGGAATTTGGCTCGTAAACAACAGATTTTTCTGTCTTTAATGACTGTTTTTCTTGTAGTGTGTATTAGCCTCAATAGATTAATTTCACAAGCAAATCTATTTGCCTCTAAAGATAATATTAGAGGAAAATATTTATGTCTTTAATAGAGAATACAAGGCAAAATAAAAGTGACATTAGCAGCTAAAATATTAGCTACAAAATCTCTAATCAGCAACAGATAATATATGCCGCTATATTTGCCTCTGTAGGGCTAAAGCCACTCGAGTATTTGAGGCAAATAATGGTTGTATAGAGGCAAATTTTCATAGTCGCTAATAGAAGAGCTACTGGAGTGAAAAAGGAGAGCCACCTTGGGGTGAGAAAATTAGGGCTTGAGAGAGCTTCATTGAAGATCCATTCAACCCAAGGAGCAAAAGAAGGTGCAAGCAAAGGAGAAGAAGCTTGATTTCATCATTCCCCTCTTCTAGTTTGTATTTTCTTCTTCTCTCTAATAACTTGAATCTCTAGTGGTTGTTTAGGGTAGATGAATCCTAGTTGTAGGTTGTGAATGTTTGTGTTCTGAATGAATGATTGTGTTTGTCTAGTTGATTTTAATGTCAATCTCTCCTAAATGATGACGCTTGGGTAATTTGCCCTAATCTTCCCTCTTAGCCTACTTTATGCTACCGCGCTGGGTACAAAGTTATAGGGTTAGACGGGTATGCGCCAAATGGCGAGTTTAGGTTAGATCTGCCAATGGGAGCCTATAGTGGTCGAGGCGACCAAACCCTTGCTATAGGTAGCCTTTATAGATGAAACCCGAGATGAAACCTCTGTGTGGACGGTGGATAGTGTCCATTGAAATGAGCCATAATTTTAATGTCCCAGATACGATAGCCTAGATCTCGGTGACTGGAACAAGGGTTTAAGGAATGCGTAGTCGGAGGCATGTGGATAACCAATAAAGCCCACGGAAAAGAGCTCACTCACCACATTCGATTAACCCTACTTTAAAAACTTAGCTAAGAGGATTCGACCCTAGGAAACCATTTCATCTCTAGAGTTCTCCCAACCACTTGGTTGGTTGTTTATTTTGCCTTAGGAGTAGGTTAATTTAGCTAAAACCACTCACCAAACTTCCATCCCGATTAGGTAGTAGTTCGGAGCGAAGTAATAATTAATACACTTAGGGCTCCCTTGGGATACGACCGAGCCACTTTAGTACAACCGTAGCTAGGTTAGACTTGGGTTAGTTAGGATTGATAGAGAGTGTGTTTCGACTTTATAAATTTAAAGCTCGATCGCGCACCGGAGCACGATCAACTATGGATTTTGGCTCAATGTCGTTTGGCCAAGTTTCTGCGTAGCGGGAGCGATTTCTTGTGCACGTGAGTATCACACAACAAGGTGGAGGTTTACTTGCATAGTTGAGAATTGGAGAACGAAGGAGACAAAGACGCGAATGTGGTTACTGCGACTACGAGCAGAAGATTGGGGTATAAATATCAGGAAGAGAGAGAAGGTGTGGACGGCAAAATCAAATCACAAACTGCACCGTCGCAGACTTAACCTTTTTTCTCTCTAGTTCGTAGAACCGCTCTGTCAAAGATCTCCTTTGCAGAGTCATAGATCGTAGACGTAGTCGTACTCGCGGAGCTCTTCAGAGGAACCTCAACAGGAGTAGAAGTAACGTAGCTTAGAAATCCTCCTCGTTTCCTCGTTGTTCGTAGAACACCCTCGTTCGAACATTGTTTGAAGAGGTGTGAACCGAGTAACGGTCTTTTGGTTCTTTAATCTTGTGTTCTTGTTTTATTTGAAAGCATAGCGCATTAAACACGCTAGTTTCCACAGCGAAACAAGAACTTTAGACGATGATTCACATAATATATGGACTTGCTGGCATGTGTACCATGTACAGCAAACGAATAATGGATATTGAATTCAGGGAAGAGATTTGATTCCAGAGCATCAAACAACGCAACGTAACTTTCTTCTGTGGCCAGGCCAGGCCATGATCAGTATTCAGTAGTTCAGTAGTTCAACCCAAGAGATTTGCTTACCAGTTCTCTCTCTCTCTCTCTCTCTCTCTCTCTCTCTCTCTCTCTCTCTCTCTCTCTCTCGTCATTTTTGTTGTTTGCATCAATTTTGAGTCATATGACAAGTCCCAGTCGAAAATGTGGAGCCCATAGCTCAGTGGAGAAGTTCAACTAAAGAAAGAAAAGCACTGAATACACCAAGTATTACGCCTACTGTTCACTGCTAGCTGACGCTGACATACATAGCCCTCATGCCTCCTCCTGGCCTCTTCGCTTGGCTTAACTTGTTCATAAATCATGACTCCCCTCGCTCAACTCAACTACCTCCCACTTCCCACGTTAAATGCTATCTCTATTTTCAACCTTTACCAACCTACCTAGCATGGTAACAACTATAATCCATCTGCTAGCACAGCGTTATGAATGTTGATGCCAATTTGTGAATACGATGAATCAAGTTCAACTACTGGCTAGTATTACATGTTGCTCTTGGCCTGGTAAAAACCCTCTACGGGTCGTTTGTTTCATGTTGCTTGTTGTATTTGATTATGAATTTTGTTTGATTAGCTTTGTGGATATGAAATATAAATGGTTGGCGAGGAGGCGATGAACAGTGGACCAGTGGAGGAGGATCGTGGATATGAAATGGTGGAACAGGTTCTTTAGGTTTTGCCGACAATGACGGCGGCGCGGCGCGATGAAGGGCTGGAGAAGCGGGGGTCGAGTGAGGAGAGAGGAGACCAAGAGATTTTTGTTTCTTATAATTTCTGTTAGTTTATTCATTTTTATGTAAAAATAAATAATAAAATTCCACGTCAGATGCCACATCAACGCTGACTAGGCTTTCTGTTAACAACTAACGGTCAACGGCAGTCAACTCTAACGGAAAAATAGTTTAAGACACAAATGTAATGTCGAATACTTTATGACACAAATGACACATTCTTAATAGTTCGGGTTTCCTAGTGGTATTAGCCCTAGATTTTAATCCATCACTCAAATCCCACTTCAAGAGGTGGAACTTCCGAATTCGTGAAGTCCACGGATTTGGACCCCCAAAGTCTGTGGGCCTCACAGACTCCATCTTCCTAATTCTCTAAGACAAACAATGAATTTCAGTTCAAGTCCATGATAGATAGATTTTCATGATCAAATCTATCGTCAAAATCCTAAGCACACTACCTGTAAACCAAAGCGTGCAGATGAACAAGCATTATTGAATAGGCACATGGTGAATCACTTTACTTCAACACTTTTAACAAATTAACCATAAGGATCTTATCAACTTCCCCTAGATAATAATAGTAAATTACAATACAAGAAAACTTAGCTAGATTAGATAGTTGCATCGAAATTTTAAATGTAACGCTTAGAGGGGGATGATATATAATACCCGTTCTTAGATGGGGTTTGGTACTCATCAGTGAGAAAGGCTAATAATTATTAATTAAAAGATGATTAGTAAAATTAACGCTAATTGAGGAGGATTAACTGCATGCATGCATGCAAGCATATGTTTAATTCACCATAATTAAACCAATTGCCTTCCACAACAATATAATAATAATAATTAATACAGATGCTTGCTTTGGGGTGACATAAAACTTGTCCTTAATTTTTGTGGACTTCGATAAGTTCACCCACTTAAGAAGAAGAGTGAGCTTGACGATGCTGAAGAAGAAGACGAGGCAGCCGTGCCTTGATGATACGGCCTTTGCTTGAAGCAGTCCAGAAACATCCTGGGAGGCGACACAGCCACCGTCACCGACGACGAAGATTGAACACCGGAGTCCGACGGCGACCCTGCGCCAGCAAAGATTTTTCAAAACGCAGGGAAGTAATAAGATAGCTAGCTTAATTAATTATGGATTCTGTTGATGATTATCCTCACTTGCAGTAGTGAGGTTATGAGAAGGAGAGTCGTCGGCGGGCCCGGTTTCCTTGAGTGCCGCTGCTGCCTCCTGGCTCTGCTGCAGGGTGTTAACGGCGTTCTGGTGCGACTTTCGCCTGCGACGGTTGTGATCAGCGAGTCTCTTTCTGCAGCTCCGCTTCCCGTTGTCAAACTCCGTCAGAACATGGAATCTGACCAATCCAAAAAGGGCGTTGGTTAACTTGAACAAATAATTAATATATTAGCTAAAGATCATAATTTTCATTATTACTATAATTAAGATATTATTAGATATGGTTAGTAGTCATTGAGTCGTATTAGAATAGTCTATTAGGTTGTTCCTTCATTTATAATGAATCAAGAACATACCTGTTATCTCAATCCTCTTAATTCCAGATCTCAATCCTTCTAAAAACCTAGACCGATTCACTATCCTTCTCTTCTCAAATCCCTAATTCTAGAAATCGGCTCTATGTCATCGTTATGATTCTGAGTTATAATAACTCGTGTTGTGGGAGACAAATGCCCTTGGTACGGCCCCCGAATAGATGTGGAGGGTGTTTCCGTCATTTCGTTTCGCGCTAGCTAGAAGGCAGGAAGATATGATCTCCCGACGATGCGAATAATTAACTGATGAACGGAGCGGATAGTTACAAGCAAACAAACAAACAAACAAACAAGGAGACTCTGACTGGACTGGGCTGGGCTTGGGAGCAAAATCCACTAAGCAACAAAATAGTACGTACGGTACGTTAGTTGTGTATTGATTTTGTTTGGAGTAGGAGAAAAAAAAAATCAATTTCAATTATTTTGTTTTAATAAAGTAAAATTCAAACAAATAAGGAAGAGAGAGAAGATTGGTATACGGGACGGACACAAATGCCCTCGGGATTGCTCCCCGTACGGAGGCCACCACCAAACCAGACCAAATCAATTTTGGCTGCTCTGCTCTCTCAGATTCGCCAATTAGTATCTCTGTCATCTCAAGACTAGCAACAATATTAAGCTTCCTAGAATTTGAAGATGAAGGGAAAGAAGTGGGAGGGGATAGCTACCTGCTACACTGCTGACAGAAGCGCTGGGTGAGGCCGGCGGCGACCACCGTGGAGGCCTTGGAGTGGAACTCGCAGACTTTGTGGCGGCGGTGGTAGTGCTTGGCGTGGGTGAGATCGGCGGTGCATCCCTCCGCCTGGCACCTGGGAGGGTTGCTGGCTCCACCTCCGCCGCCCGGGTCCAGCGACCTGCGGTACAGCCGGCTCACGAAATCGTCTTCCGCGGAGGAGAAGTAGGTCCGCCCGCCCAAATTGAGGCCCATCCTGGAGCTGAGATGATGCGGGTCTCCTACTTCCTCGGACTTGGGCACCAGGCCGAAATAGGGGTTATTATTATTGGCGGAGGAGATCTGGTCTAAGGAGAGGAAGGAGTGATGATGAGGCGGGTAGGTGGCACCACGTGGGTCGAAGAAGGAAGTGGTTTGGCTGCAGGGGAACAAGGCGGAGGAGGAGTGCGGCTGCGGAGGAAGCTGCAGCTGGTGGTGATGCGCAGCGGCCGAGTAATGATCGAAAACCTGGCGGGTCGGGTAGTCGGGCTGGGCCGGGGCGGCTTCCTCTGATCCCTCCTGATCAAGCATCATCGCCGATGGGTTCGCCGCCCATTCGTACTCCAACATTGTTCGGACCCGGCAGCAGTCAGTTCAGTCACAAATAATCTGGAAAGAGAGAAAGCAGAGGAGTTAGTGTAAGGTAAGAGAAAGATATCAGTGGAGGAGAGGAGCTAGCTAGTAGGGGAGGGTGCGGGGAAGGTGTTTGATAATATGCCACAGAGAGAGAGAAGTAGTGTTGAGTGCAGAGATGATGAGTTTGAAGTTAAACCCACCACTGATACACAAACACAGGGTGCAGTTAGGGAGGCAAAAGCAGTTGTGAAAAGTGGCCGCCGGGAGAGGGGAGCAGATTTCGAGGAACCGTATTAATCTCTCTCTAGATCTATATATAGTGTGTAGGGAAGGGAGGAGGCAGGATGGATCAGAAAGTTTTGGAGTTGCAAGCTATAGTAAGTGTGCTTTTCACACAAACAACATAGAAGGAGAATGTCGCTGTAGCTGGCCTTTGCTTTTGGGAAGGCCAGCTGCTTGTTGATGGACGCTGGGTGGGTGGGTTTTTTGTGTTTCAGGAATTGGATGCACACATTATTGACCCCCTTTTATTCAAGGTAAGATAGGGTGGAGACTAGAGTTGTTGAGGAAGTTAAACGATAGATGACAAGAGTTCACTTCTCTCTCTCTCTGTGAGAGTTTAGGGAGGGAGGGGCAGTACTACCCGCAGTAGCGTCTTTACCTTGGCTGCTGATCGACGAGTCACTCTTTTCTGGTTGCTTTTTAATTGGCCAGCAGACGGAGGCTCTGAAATAGGCGGGGAATTGGATATTTCAGCTGCTTCCGGCTGTTTTCTTTGGCTAATTTAAGAAGATTTTAGAAAGTAGTAGGATGAGTTTATTAGTCCCCCTACGTCCAAATTTATGGTTACTTGTCACATGGGATGTGCGAAACTTAAAATAAAGAAGATAATAGCTCATTAAAAACAAGAAGAATTATAAAAGGACTTTAGTCTCATCTTTTAGATTTGACAGCACTTAAAATCAAGCATCCAAATGTAGTTATCCAATGGTTATGCACCCTATGGTTACGAAACCAATCTTGGACCTCGTATATGCACTGGATTGGGGAGAACTACAAAAATATTATGAAAATTAAAAAAGTTACCATGAATTTGGTGTTAAAATTGTGTTTACATGAAATATTATTCTATTGAGATGCATATGTGTGGACCTATGCATATCGAGCGAAAGTATGACTGTTTAACTCTATTTGCACATCTTCGTGATTATCAAACAAAACATATTACTTTTAGTTTAGTATCGAGCGAAACATAATACTTTTAACGCCATATGAATCTACATATGATAGCTCGTCATCATCTTCATTAGCTTCAAAATAATAATCCGGAGGATCATTAGACTCTTCTATTTGCTCTTGTTCCTCATTTCTTTGATGGTCACCATCCCCTCCCCTCCCCCCACCCCTTCCTTCTTTTCTTCTATATCATCGTAGTCATGGCACGAATTTCATTTTTTAGGAAAAGAAAAGGCTTGGGGGAAAGATTGGTAGTAGGAGGAGACAAGAGAAAGCATCGGAGATGGGAAAGTGAATGAGTTTTTTATTTTAATTTTGAATAAAAATAATATAAAAAAATTTCATATAAGATGCTATGTCAATGCTAACTGAATTTTTTTTATAAATACTTACCGTCAATACTGATAACACTAAACGGAAAAATAATTCATGCTAGAATTGTCAATTTGAATACTTTAGAATAAGTAACATTTTTGTGATAGTTGTAATGTTTTAGTGGAATTAGCTCTTCACTTTTTTATGTTTGATTTGAATATATGTGTGATTGTTATGGGTTTTTAGTGTTTTGGAATTATTCATGGATAATCGAAAGTGTTTAAAATAATTGCTTATCAAATTTTGTGTCTTGGACTTGTGGCTCATGGAAAAAACAAATTTGCTATTAAATTATCAAGACAGGTCGAACATGATCTAAAACACGAGCGTGCTCTCGACCCATTACAACCGAAACTAAGCTCGGAATTCTTCTGTTTTGAGTTTTGTCGGGTGGCAAACTCTGTGTGAATAATGCACGATAAAGTAGGTGAATAGTAAAGGTTAAAAAAAATAACAATTTGGTAGCTATGCTATACTGTTCATACCCGACTCAGTCGTCTATGTGTGGCTGGCAAATGCAAATCAGCAAAGTAAGGAAAATCATGCAAATCCAGAGGAAAGTATATCAAAATCTAATATAACTTGCCTAATAAAACAAACTGAAATTTTAACCGTCAACCAAAAGAAGAAGAAAAAAATACCAAATAAAAGAATACACAGAAAAATACCCGCATTGCTTTAAGAATTGGGGTAATTTCTGTGTGGGCGCACACATGCATGTTTTTTTTTTTTGTGTTTGTCTTTTTGGTGGTGCAGAAGAGAAAGGGAAGAGAGGGATAAATAGTGGACGGTCAGGAGGGAAGAAAGGAAGTTTCTCATAATTGACCACTCAAAACAATAAAAAGACAAACCAAGCTTTCAACCAAACCTCCATCTTCCAGAAAGACTCAGCTCAGCAGCTCCCTCCCTCCCTCCTGCCTTTTCCTCGTTAGCTTCCTCAATCGCTCTGTTGTTTTGTAATGTGCACTCTCATCTCATCTCATAATCAACTCTCAGTGGGTTTAAGAAAAATTTTACGGAATGTAAATTCAAAGAGGGCAGATATAATCAGCGACGACTAGTTTTGGTGATCATTATTCACCATGCAATTAACGTCAGGATCACAAGCTGACGCGCGAGGCAACAAAACAGAAAGAAAACAGTGGGAAACTAAAAGGGAAGGAAGGAAGGAGGGTTGGCCGGTTGGGTTTTGTTTGTTTCTTTCTTTCTTTTCCAATGGGCTGCTTGTATCTGTAATCTGTATGTAAACCATGTGGGGAACTTGCAGGTGAAGAAAAAGAGAAAGGAAAGCAAAATATTATCAATCAATGAATGACCCAAAGGGCCCGGGCCGGACCTGACCACAAAACAAAATGGGTTACTTGCGTTACATTAATAAATGGTATCTACTGGACCCACGCCCGAAACTTGGTGTCCTTTTAAGTGAAAAAGCCTTCAATTCAGATGGTCCCTCCACTCCATGAAACTAACACCATTATTCACTGACATCGCCAATTCCCTGTGGGGAAGAAAACAACAACAACAGCTACATCAGATTGTGAAACCCTCACACACACACACACCATGACCAAGCAAAACCAAACTCTCCCTGTAACGCAACAACACATGCCTTCACACACATAAACCTCCCTCGGCTTACTTGTCAATTGAATCAATTGTTTAGACTAATAAGTAAGGTTGCTGAGTAAATGATATATTCGATACTGGCAAAGTATTCTTAGTGAGATTTCTCTATCTAAAGTATAAGTTAAACCCAATTTTGTCAACTTGAACGTAGATCGGTTGAAGGTATGGTTGTTAGGCTCTCGCCACAGAAACCAGAGGAGAGCACCAAAATTCTACAGCTACTCTTTAGGGAACAATTTGACTTTAAAGTGTGGTTTGGGTTGCTCCGGAGTAACCAATTTTTGTTTTAAATTGTGGTTTGGTTTTTCGAAAAAAGATCGGGTTGTTTCAACCTTGTCCACAAAATAAACAACGACGTTTTTCTTGCCTAAGCAACGTTGCTCCATAGTATTGCGGCATTGTTTTGCCTTGCAGCTTTGCTCATTCGTTAAACCAAAGTGGTTTTGAATTGGAACGTGTTTGCAACGTCGTTAGGGCCAAATTAACTTAGGCAAAATGACATTGTTGCTTACCCAATCGAACTTGCAACGTCATTCACGTCATTGAGCTTGCAACCTCGCTTAGTCATGACATGACCACTCCTGGTTATCTCACGGCCCTGTTCAGTTTCTAGGACGAGTTGATGTTGTAGAAATCACGACATTGTTTGGACCGAACTACGTCTTTTCACAGAATCTCAAGCTCGTCAAGCTCGCGGCATCCCCAAACACATGCCACTACTGAACTCTCGCTACTGCGACGTTGTTTTAAGCTAAACAACGTTGCTTCCTAACCTCGCGGTGTCGTTGAACTTGATAGTAACTCGGCGAAACTTGTAAAATCACGGTACGGTCTTAGTGGGCGCACATATGGCCCCTGACTTGTGATGTTGATTTCTACCAAACAACATCGTTTCATGTATCACGAAGTTGTTTTTGTATTAAACCATGTCACTCTTGGTTTTCTGACCAAGACTCACCCGCTTGGCTTGTCTAAACGAATTTGTTTGCCAGTATCGCGACATTGTTGTAATATTAAACGACATCATTTTCAGTCTCGCGGTGTTGTTGGGATTATGACAATGTCATCGCCCTCCGCGATATTACTTGTCACTAAACAATGTTGTTTCTCTCCTCTGGCAACATGGTCAAGGTCGTAGTTGAGATACGACCTTGGCCTAATCTTCTCCTTCTCCGGTAAGGAATAAAAAGCACTCCTTTTCCAACCCCAACATCGACTTTGCAAATCCTCGCGACGTTACTTTCTATTAAACAATGTCGTTTCAACTATCGTGACATGTTTGGCTCTCTCCAGCTTTGTGGTGTCGTTTTAGCTCTCCACGGTGTTGCTTGGTACTAAACGAAGTCATTTGATATCATGCAACATCGAATTAAATGCCGAGACTAATTAATGCGGTATTTAATTGAATCCTCTCTTTCCCATAATCAATACACCCACCATCTTTTATTTTTATTTTTAATTTTTATTGATCGAGTTACCCGCTATTACTACGACTGTCAAACCGGTTTAAATCGTTGAGTCGATCAAACAAGTGATTTGATATTTAATGGTATGATCGCGATCTATTCTGTTTGATCCGTTTTGTACATTTTCTAAATATATATACATATAAGATAATAATTTAAAACTTTAATGATTGAACTCAAATTACCTTAAATATAACTATTAAAAACTTGCCTTACATTAAAAAAAAGCTACATAACCCCATTACCACCAACCATCGTCCTTCCCTCTCTCTTCGTATCCCTTTCTAGGGAACAAATACCGACAGGGTATTATTCAGTCGAGACTAATCACACTAGGAGAACCCAGGAGGCCCCTCGGTCGTGAACCATAAATACCCTACCATGTATTTCACCCAAAGGTTAGGTATTTACCTTCGCGTGAGAAGCTGATACGTGTAGTTTTTCTATACCTGGTTTGATCCCCTAATACTCGACCGGGTATACCCACCTAGGGTTGTTACAAGCAGAATGCGGGTTTTGGTCTACGGGGGGAGTTTGGAAGTTAAGAACAGAGGTTTAGAGAGAGAAAGTGACGAACAAAGACCCTTGAGTGCCATAGATCAAGTTTTTCGATCATTGGAGCTCGATTCAAGTCTCGAGCAGTGACGATTGACGACCCGGAGCATACTTCTTCCATATGCATGATGATTTCTACTTCCAGCATAGCTTTCCTCTCTCTCTCTCTCTCTCTCTCTCTCTCTCTATATATATATATATATATATATATATATATATATATATATATATATATGGATTATGGAGTAATCCCCTCTATCACTTGGGTATGTAAGAACCCTAGATTCTATGTTAGGAAGAGTTGTATGAACCCTTTGCCATGAATGCTTGATTGATTTATATCCAGTTGAAGTACTTATTCACAATTGCTTGATTCTTGATCAAATTCTAGTGATCCCTACTTTGACCTAGAAAGATAATCTTTGCATAGGTCAATAGAGCATCTTGAATTGGAAGTAGTGAACTAGCGACTTTAGTCAAGAATTCGATTCACTGCTCTGTACTGGGGTAGAACCTAGTAGAGTAAGTTTGAATATTATTACCTCGATTAGCTTACGCCGGTGAAGGTTAGTTGTCCGCCGGGTATTCAAACTGAGAGGGTCTGGATCACTTTAGTCGAGACTCCAGACTGTTTATGAACTTTCCGCATTTTAAACCTCAATGTCTTGGGTGAATTACAACTTGGCCTAACTACAATCTAGGGGGACTCATACCTGAGTGAGCCTTCTTAATCTGAATATAACTGTTCCCTGCTTTCTGTTTGTTTTGTTTTTGGACATTTCACTCAATTTTTCCCGGCTAGATATTAGATAATAGATAATCACAGAGTAGGAAGTACATCGAGGCATCGGGTTGATAAGTAAAACTTATCCACTATATTGCATTTCCAAACTGCGATTACACTTTGTTGTAGTTTGGTTGGGGATCTCTAGGTTAATGTAAAAACGTGAATATCTGTTACTTTAGCATTTACCTTTCTGCATTTGTTTCCTATACCTGTTTGCCTTACCGGGTTGTGTCTACAGTCTTTGTGCAGGTAGTGCATGATCCGTAGCCAGTCGGGAGATCTACATCCATTAGACCACGAGCTAGAATAGACTTGTAGTCAGTTTAAGAGAGCACTAAAGGCGCGATTGGCTGCAGACAATGTAGTCAAAAGCGAGTTTCTACGTAGAAACGTTTTGGTGATCTAGAAACATAAAATCCTAAGTTTTTAAGCGGAGTTTTTAACTACATAACTTATAAAAACTGAGATTTTGTGTAGAAGCGTTTTAGTGATCTAGAAACATAAAATCGTAAGTTTTTAAGTTTTAAAGCGCGATTTT